AGACACACTACAGAAGACAAACACACAAACACTGTGTGAGGAGCCGTTACCTCTCCAGGAAAGATTCGGCCAAACGTGGTGAACTGAAAACGCCATGAAGCTTTGTCAGTTTGTGATAAACCAGAAAGTGTGTTCATTTGATTTTTAATGAGAACCGGCTTAATGGTTCTGCTTGACATCATAACAATAAAATAACCCTTTTTGGTGCTATTTAGAGCCCTTTTCAAAAAGGTTCTGCATAGAACCATCTACAACACATTCTCCATTAAACTGAAGAATGTTTTCAGGTTCTTTGAGTGTCCATGATTTTACGTTACTAAAGAACCCTTAAAGAACCATCTTTTTTAAGAGTGCATGATACAAGCTTTTAACACTAGAAGAACCCTTTTTGGTGCTATACTGAACCATTTTCAAAAAGGTTCTATATAGAACCATCTACCACACATTCTCCATCAATCTGCAAAGGACTTTTTGAGTCATCATGGTTCTATCTAGAACGATTTCCTTTACTAAAGTACCTCTGAGGAGCCATCTTTTTTAAGAGTGTAGTCTACTGTCGATCAGTCCAGACATCACTATGATTTTTACCTATTTATTTTATTTTTATTATTTTTTTTTATTGCTCTATGTCCCGGAGATGGGATCCTACTCTGAATTTAAAGGAACAGTTCTAGCCACTGTTAAATATTAACACTGTTTTTATTTTATTGCAGTTTATTTGGACACTTTGACTTTAGCTGCCATTGAGGACCGACACCTTCGCTGGACTCTGAGCAGCAGCTGTCATTTCAGCACAAACACAGATCGTTTATTTTCCTGTTCAAACCTGTCCGGATTCTTCGCCCTGCTGATAATGAAGCGACCGCAGAAATCAAAGAGGCGTTTAGAGAGAGAGAGAGAGAGAGAGAGAGAGAGGGGGAGAGAGCGAGCGAGGGAGAGACCTATTGGCTATAATTTCCAGCAGCTCTGTATCGTGGTTGCAGTGCTGGCTCCTGCAGGACAGTGTGGATTACAGTCCAGTGAATATGGGCTTATATTAATTAGTGGAGCCCTTATTAAAACACCGTCCTGTGTCACTAGGACAACATTCAGGCTTCCAGGTCCTGAATGTTGCCCTAGTGACACAGGACGGTGTTTTAAGTTGAGGGTGATGAAGTTTCAGGCAGAAAAACCCACAACTTCATGCTAAATTCTTTATTTTGCTTTTTGTTTGTTGTTTTCTTTTTTTAAATCACAAATACATGACAGAACAGAACAGAGCTGAGTGTATTTTGGTCATTTCAGGGCTCAGTAGCTGCTTGCATGTTACCGTCATGCCTCAAAGTGCCAACAGCTGGTGAAGGAAGTGATTTGCATCAGTTTAAACTGCAGCATTAAATTAAACAGTGCACGGCTACTGAACATTTTGATATAGAATATATATATATAATATATATAATATAATAATACAAACTCCACCCTTATGGCCACTGTACACCAAAATGAATAATAAATAAATAAACGTTTTCTATCAGGAGAGGGTCAATCAGTGTCCACTGAAGCTACAGGTGTGTATGAGAGTCGTACACACACACACATGCACTTTATAACTTCATAGTTTCATCCTTTTCCTTCCTCACCGTTACATATGTCTACATTCCCATGCAAAAAATGGGCCAAGCACAAAATATAAAGGTTTTTATTGATGGTTCTGGCTGGTCAGAGTCCAGATTTAAACCCTGTTGAGAATATTTGGTCTCACATTAAACACAAACTAGCCAATATTGCCAACTTAGCAACTTTGTCGCTAGATTCAGTGATTTTTAGACTCGTTTAGCAACTCTTTTTTATTAAAAAAAAGCACCTAGTGATAAACCTAGCAACTTTTTGAACATACCTTACATAGACGTGAATGAGCTGTGCATGTGCAAACGGTGCTGCCAAGGACCATCACTAATCCGTACTGTTTAGCTGCGTCTCAGCTTAGCTTGACTAACCTTTTTCTGGTTCTTCATAAGCCCGTAGGCAAAACGGTAGGTCACTTCTAGCCTGCAAAACTTCAGAACGGTTAAAGATACTAACATGATCCACATATCAGGACATTCAGCAGACCCACCTCTAACTAGCAAGCATGTGATTTATCATTGAGCTGTGACGTCATCATCAGTGAGTAATTCAGCTCTGAAAAACACCTAAAATCCTAATATTATTGCTCTGCTGTTTGGCCTTCATATTCCAACAAAGGGATAAAACAGTGACATGATTCACAATGAGATCACTCATCAGACTCTGCCTCACCATCCAGAGTGATTTCATCCACCTGTGACCGTCCATCAGCCAGAGATCAGCTCCAAAATCACCCAAACCCACTCACTATTGTTATATTATATATCTCTGCTTTTAGCCTTCATATTATAAACAAAAGGCTTCCAGTTTACATGGATTTTGAGTATTAAAAATATCTGATAGTAAATATGCAACTCAATTTGTAATTAAAAATAAAGCTAGTCTTGCAGTGTATCAGAGTTTTAGAACTCAGTCTGAATCAAAGAGGACAGAAAAATCAATAAAAAACATGTCAATGGGGTTGTAGAACGTTTGTGGCTCATTTCTGTGTTTCTTTGAAAGTTTCAAAGTGGCCCTCTGATTCTCACTACTGATGAGCAGTTTGCTGACGTGTGGTATGGGCTCTATGTTTCTGTTCTCAAAGTCTTCTTCGAATGGCGGATTGTGATACCTTCACCCCTGCCCTGTGGTGGTTGTTGGTGACGTCACATTGTTTTTTTGTTTTTTTTCCACAGCTTTCATGATGTTCCTGTCATCAACTGCTGTTGTTTTCCTTGGCTGACCAGTTCAATGTCTGGTTGTTAGTACACCAATTGTCTCTTTATTTTGCAGGACAGTCCAAATTGTTGTATTGGCTACGTCCAATGCTTGTCAAATGGCTCTGATTTTCTTTTTTTCTCAGCTTGCTTTTCTCCCAAAGACAGTTAACAGGAATAGAAAAACTATGCATATTATTTTAAAATCATATAATGCAGACAGATGAAATTAAAAAGATAAATATAAAAAAGAGCCGTAGAGTTTTAATAAAGCTCTGAGTTAAAGAGCTGCATTTTCAGATGTTTATTAAAAGTGAGCTCTGAGCTTGACTGTCTAATACAAGGTGAACTGAGCTCCACAGTTTAGAAGCAGAATAACTGAAAGAGTCTCTCCATGTTTTCTGTGTTTTACTGAAGGTGTTTGCAGAAGGTCAGAATCTGCAGATCTGAGATCACAAACAGACAACACTCTGTGATGTAAGTGGAGCTTTAAGGTCATTTAGAGCTTTAAAAACTAGTAGCAGAGCTTTAAAATCTTTCTTGAACAATACAGGCAGCGAGTGCAGCTCTTAAAAGGGACTGATCTGATCTCTCTGTTTAGTTTTTGTTAGGATGCTGCCGCATTTTTGTACGAGTTGTAAGGGATGTATTGTTTTCTTAGGAAGTCCAGTAAGAAGATCATTACAGTGATCAACTCTGCTTGTAACAAATGTGTCACTCTAAGATAAAAAAGGCTGAACTTTAATGATTTTCTCACATGATAAAAAGCTGCTTTAGTCACTATGTTTACATGCAGATTAAACAGAGCTCAGAGTCTAAGATCACACCCAGGTTTCTACTGAAGTTTTGGGATATGAAGCTAAAGAGTCGAGCTTCTCATAAAGCAGTTTTCTCTGAGTTTCTGTATCAAATATCAGTATTTCAGTTTTTTCATGATTTAATTGTAGAGCATTTTGCGACATCCACTAAGAAATATCTGACACACAGCTGGTCAGTCTGTCTACAAAGTCTTGATCATCAGAAGGAATGAAAATGTATAACTGTGTGTCATCAGCATAACTATGAATATTGATATTGTGTTTCCTGATGACATCACCGAGGGGTAACATGTACAAAGAGAAAAGCAAAGACCCTAAAACTGAACCCTGTGGCACTCCGTAAGTAATGTCACATTTTTTTGATGAATGATTTCCCAGTGAAATCATAAACTGTCTATGAACTACCCTGCTGAAAAAAAGACCCTTATCACCATTAGGACTAAAACTTTGTTGGTTTTGCTTTCTAATGGGAATTGGCTTAATGGTTTTAATTAGAGACCACTAGTATTCCTGTAGAACACCTTTACATCCCGATAGGAAACTATCCCGTTAGGAAACCTTTACACTGTGATATCAACCCATTGGGAAAACACAGAGTAACATCAGTGAGTACTGGACACCAGCAGAAACCAACAGTTCCAATGGTCACTTATTAGAACAACCAGTTTTTAAGTTGTTCTAAGCTAAAATTCTGATCGATCACCTCAAATGTCAAATGTCTTCAGTGTATAGCAGCAACAAAAGAGCTAACCTTGCCATTTTGATGTGATTTCCCAGTTAAATCGTTAAATCGATTCTGGGTTATTTTTTGATTACATACACATATTTGATCATTCAAATTCTAATTTCTCAATTGATAATTTCTGTATCTGCCAAATATAATTTTTGAATATGATTTTCATTTATCCTGTTACATCAGCAAAATTAATAACATTACATATTATAATTATACATATACATATTATATATTATTTAATAACATATACATATATATGTGTGTGTGTGTGTGTGTGTGTTTTTCTGTAGTGCTTTCCACTTTTTCTACAGTACAAATATGTGGATGTTGCAAAGCTTTTACTATATTAATGTAAATTTGTCATGTCAACAAAGCACCTTGTCACTAACCTTGAACTGAGAGAGAGGAAGTGCAGGGGGTCCTCAGGGTGATGTTACACACTCAGATGGGGGATTTCCTCCCACTTCAAACACAACACTGCACATATAAACTATAAAGTAAACCTCCACTCTCTCTCTCTCGCTCTCTCTCTCTCTCCTCTCTGTCTCTCGCTCTCTCTCTCTCTCCTCTCTCTCTAACTCCTCCTCTCCGGTCTGACTGTATTGGTATGTAAATGTCTGAGGGCTGAAACACCTCACAGGTGAAGCTCTGCTGTCAGACACTGACGTTCAGCTCTTTAACTCAGACTCAGTGAGTGTCGAGTGTTCAGATTTGCAGTGTACAGTCTGTCACTCTGTATCACTACTGACTCTCATTATGGGAACATTAACAGCTAAATACAAATGTGTACGTTCTTAATAGGGTTCCAATGTGTTTAGAACATTTTTTGCCTTTAGCTGAGTGTGTTTTGGATTTGTTGTTCTACAGTCTAGACTTTTTGCTCTCTAAACTTTCACTAAGCAATGCCTCTGCTCTCCTCTGTGGATAACTCTGGACCTTACTGGAGAAGGAACACAGTTCTAGATGTTATTAGAGCCTGAGGATGGTTCTGGACGTTATTGGAGACTGAAGATGGTCCTGGATGTGATTGGTGCCTGATGACTGTTCTCTGCATTACTGGAGCCTGGACTGTTCTAGATGTTCTTCTAGGACGGTTCTGAGAGGTACTGGGGTCCACTGTGGTGGAGCTGGGCTGGTATGAAGGATTTTGGTGGGTGTTCAGTTCTGGATCTGATCAGCTGGGTGTGAGAGCAGCTCTGATGCTGCTGCATTTCGAGCTCCTTCTCTGCTGCATCATCAGCGGCTGTTCGGCACTGTGGAGACCATGTACAGGTACAGCCTCTCACCGTGCACAGGTGTTCTGTCTCAGCACCGGCAGATTTTACTCAGCACTTTACCAATGACAGTTACACCTAACTTGCACAGGTACACGTTAGCTGGCACAGGTGCATTTTTCCCAACACAAGTACACCTCATCTAGCAGAGGTCGCTTCAGCTGGATAAAGTACACCTTACCTGGCACAGGTGCACCTCACCCAGCATTGATACAGCTCACCTATCACAGGTATACCTGAACCAGTATACGTATAGCTCACCTGGCACAGGGACACTTAGCAAACATCCACCTCACTCAGCACAGGTACACTGGATCTGGCACAGGTACTCTTTGCCTGGCACACGCACACTTTACCCAACACAGGCACACTTCACACAGCACATGTATGGCCTTTCACCAACACATGTACACCTCACCTGGCACAGGTATATTTTACCCAGCACTGGTAAACCTAAACTAGCATAAATACACCTCAACTGGCAAAGGCACACTTTACCCTGCACAGGTACACTTCATCCAGCACAGGAACACCTCACCTAACACAGTTACACCTCACCTAACACAGTTACACCTCACCTAGCACAGGTACACTATACTGAGCACAGAAACACCTCATCTTGCATATTACATTTTACCCAGCACAGGTACACCTCACCCTGCACAGGTACACCTCACCCTGCACAGGTACACCTCACCTAGCACAGGTACACTTTACTGAGCACAGAAACACCTCACCTAGCATAGTTACATTTTACCCAGCGCAGGTACACTTTACTGAGCACAGAAACACCTCACCTAGCACAGGTACCCCTCACCTAGCACAGGTACACCTCACCTTGCACAGGTACACCTCACCTAGCACAGGTACACTTTACTGAGCACAGGTACACCTCACCTAGCACAGGTACACTTTACTGAGCACAGGTACACCTCACCTAGCACAGGTACACTTTACTCAGTACAGTTAAAACCACCTCACCTGGCAGCAGCATGATCTCTGCTTCCAAAACTGTTATTTTGCCTAAATCATCTTTAAATCATTCATTATGAACAGCGAGCCACAGCGCAGGTGACTGTGCTCATCTGAAGGCGGCTGCCTGTTTCTTTATGCCGTGATGTTACAGAGTGCAGCTCAGCAGGTTCTGACACGTCCTTTTAATGTTAACTGTCAAAGGCAGTATTTCACTCTACTGTTCCAGTCAGGCTTTGTAATTACTGCAGATTTTCTACCAGATTGCCAGAGGATTATGAGCTTCAAGTTCAGTAAACTGTTTAAGCTAACTAATTATGTTCTATCATTCAAAAGCCTGCAGGTAAAGGGGAGGCGCAGGGCTGTTCTTCTGTTCTTCTGTATGATCTTTCCTTCCTCGCTCCCTCTTTCCTTATAGCTGAAGTGGACGTGGTGGAACTAGATGTAGTTGCTGTCGCGGAGATGAGATTCAGATTAGATGTGCCATCCAAGTGTTGAGATAAAACAGTTACGTCTCTGATGTGAGAAAATGAAACAATTTCTGCACAATATAAAAAAATGGACTGTCGAATGTTTGGGGACACCTGGGTGAACTCCTCCAGTTCCGCCAAATGTGAAATGGTTGAGTGTAGAGACTCTTTACAGTGGTGGTGATAGGAACCAGGGGTCACCAACAAATATAGACATTTTATTTACTATCCAGAACCACCAGTGAACCTACACGAGTCTTCTGAGTTTATATGGAATGTTGATGATGGAAAATAGTGGAAAATCTGAAATAATAAGTTTTCTTTGGGGACTATTTTGCCTCACAGCACCCCTCACAGCGCCCTGCATGTATCCCTCCACCATGAATGGAGTTTAAGTTCTCAAAACTATCATAAAACAGTGTCTCAGTCATCAGGCAGTGAATTCATAACCATTTCATGTAGTAATTTTCTGTGAGGGAGCTTTTAGAGCTGTGAACAGTTCTGACTCGGTACGTTTCTCTACACTCTTAAAAACATGGCTCTCTGAGGGGTTCTGCGGTATAGACAATGATTCTATAGAGAACCATGAACACTCAAAGAATCTTTTGCAAGATTAAATGGTTCTCTGCATGGTGAAAAATTCCTCAGTTTGTTAGAGAATGTGTTGCATATTTTTCTATATAGAAGCTTTTTGAAAAAGCACCAAATTGTTTTGATATCAAGCTCATAATGAAAGCAGAACCATTTTCAAAAAGCTGAAAAACCATACACAACATAACTTAAGCATGCAAATGGTTCTTTGGGTGTTCGTGATTCTATATAGAACCATTGTCTTTACTAAAGAACCTTTGAAGCGTTTCACACTAAAACACTCTTTGAACTTCTTTACATCTTATGCTGCAAAAAATACTCATAGCACATGAAAACATCCCTTAATGTAGTCAGTATATCTGATATTTCCCATTATGAGACTGTTGTGAAAATATTATAAAATTATTGAACTTATTTCTAGATAGTTTTGCTTGTTTTGAGTAATATATCTAGTGAGTGTCTTGTTCCACTGGCAGATCATTAAACTCATCTTTAGAAATAATGCAGGTACTACCAAAACACACCAACAACCTCATAATGAGAAATGTTAGAGATACGGACTAGATTTAAACTGTTTTGACTTGCTAATAGATCTTTTTTTCAGTGTAAACATTTATAAAAATTTAAATTGTGAAAAACTGGTGGAATGCCCGTAACAGAAAGTTATAAGTGTGATTCTGATGTTACGGGAGCAGCTGATAAAAGCCGTATGTTGAGATTAAAGCCCAAAGCTGTGCATAGTCTCCCCCTGATGTGATGTTACTTAACAGCACTCAGATGTTTAAACCACCTTTTAAACCAAAAGAGCTTCAATATGAGCTTCTAACAACATTCTGGAAATCATTATTTAGGCAGAAGCTGCTCTTCATACCAAGCAAAACACTCAAAGCATTAGTGAGTAGCTGTTTTATGTTTGCTCCTGTTGGGCGTGTTGGTGAACTTGGTCACCTGTACCTGTACGCTTTTACAGCGCAGAGGATACTGAGTGATGTCAGATCAGTGCAGCACAGCAGGTCACTCAGTGGATATGTTTAATGAATGTGGTAAAGCAGAACTGATTAACTGTGTTTGTAATAAAGTGGCCAGTGAAGGGAACCACAAGGTGGGTGTTTCTAATGAAGTGGCCAGTAAGTGGAAGCACAAGGTAGGTGTTTCTAATATAGTGGCCAGCTTATTTTGAACAGTTAAATTGACAGATGGACGGTATAAAAACATCAAACTTTTATTTTAATAACTGCTGTTGCTTATTGATTTGTTAAGCCATTGGCAGTAATTAACAGCAGACAGAATTACAATATTTTGCACGAGTAGTAGAACAGAATACAGTCCAGTAAAGTGTATAAATATGCCTGTACAATGTTATTTCCTTCTAACAGCCATTTGTATGTTGTAGTTTCTGAATGAAAAGTTTATACTGGAACAAACGGAACAAAACATTCTATCTCCATTTTTCAAAATTTGAAATTCCCCCTGTCGTTTCTGGTGTGTGTTCATTTTACTGAGTATGTTTTTTCTCTGTCCTGTAAAGCTGGCGTTTAGGATATATGAGGTTTTGTGACGATATTCTGCTTTGTTATTTTTCCTGAATGTGTTCTAAAGTGGTCTTTGTTCACACATGACTTCCACTGAACGTACAGCGTTTGTTGTAGAATGAAAGGTTCCTCAGAGCCGCTGTGTAAAGTCCTGTTTGCTGTCTGAAGCGGCTGCCCGGCTCTTCAGCTCTTTGAAATGTGATCTGTAAAGTCTCTGCATCGCTTCGTTTCCCTCTTTGATTTTTTCAGGCGAATCAAAACAAAACAAGAGGTTTTGCCCTTTGAACCTGAACCGTTTATTTAAGTAAACACTCGCTTCTCATAGAAATCTGACTGAGCCTGTCATCACTCAGCACACTTTCCAGAAACAGCAGCATAGCAGAGCAGCTAAAGGCTAATGACTGAACTGGAGCTGAGGCAAAATAGATTACAATCTAGGTGTGGACAATGCGGTTATATTGATTGTTATCATGATCATTTACATCATATTACATGACAGTACATGTTGTTGTACATCACATGAATGTTGGCCTGTATTTATCAGAGTTCTCAGAGTATGAAAACTGATCTGGTACCAGTTTATGTCGTTTATATTGTGCTCTATAGGACTACACAGACTGATCAGACCTGACCTTAGATCAGTATTTTTACTCTGAGTTGCCTGATAAGTGTGGGTCAGTGCTTAAAGGTGCGCTCTGGACTAAAACTCCAATTTAGTCCAATATGGTATTTGTGGTGTTGTCCAGTTTTCTGTAGAGAAGCTTTGCATCCCTCAACCTCAACGATTTGATGGAATTTACAATTTTATACCGCTTTTTAATCATTTTTACATTGTTTTTTTTTTAGTTCACTACAATACCCAGCATGCATTGCACTTGCAGTGTTTTCAAAAGGTCCTCCCACCTTCCAGATGCATCATCAGAAGGTTGTTTTTTTAGACCGTTTACAACAGACAATGGTTACGTTTCTCATTTTGGTCAGAGTTTCCCTTTAAAGAACACCTGCATGTTTCATAATAAAAAAGAGAGCATAATTAGGCCTGTTTCACTGGATTCAGTGGATTCAGTGGATTCAGTGCGAAAAGCTGAATAAAATCATTGTATCATTTTAAACGCAGCACTACTACAGTATTTTGAAAACATCTTCAAGTATCGTGATGATATACTTTTGCCGTATTGGCCACCTTAATTATACCTTGGTCAGGGCAATGTTTAATCTGCAACACATTAATCTTTGGACATAACTGTTAGGCCTTATTTGTGCTTTCTGTTTTATTTAAATAAATTACTAATAAAATATCAGGATTGGGCAAAATTCTAAATAAACTGTTCTAAATGTATTCAGTAACATATTTCATTACAGTACATAATAAGTAACGTATTCATACACATTTAGAAAACATTTACAATAAATGTTTCAGGCATACTGTAAATCTTTTTCCATGCTGTTCCTCACTGTTACTGGTTGTCAGTTTTCTTCATGCAGTTCTTCCTTGAACTATGTTTCATGAAAAAAATCACTAATCATTTAAATGAATTTCCAAAAATTCATAACTTTTTTCTCTCTCATCATCTGCTTCAGTCCACTGCTGCTCCCACAATCCCCGAAGCAGAAGTCCAGTACAACACTGATGCTAAAATTATTACTCCCAAACACGTCCACTGCTGAGGAGATCATTGGTTTATCCGTCTACTCAGGCTTTAGTAGGAACTTCAGTTTGCAAAGAATTTTTAATTCCGTTAATTGAGGCTCTCTTTAGAGTTGGTCTAGCGAACATGTTTGCTACACTGAGCACTGAATCCAAAATAGTTAATAAACAAGCAGTGATGGAGTTTATTTTAAAGACGGTATATTCTTTAATGTAGTGGGTGAGAACTCTTAAATTATTCTTTTTTTTCTGAATCCGGACTTTACAAAATGTAACTTGGATGGAAAACAGATACTTTATTTCTGTGCTCTGAATATTCCATTACATTCCAACCCTGTGAATGCCCTTTACTGCTTTCTGCAGTGCCCCCTGGTGGACATTCAACTGGTAGAATGAAAATTGACCCCAAATGAATGAATGAATATGACTGGATTTATCAAAGAAAAGCCCCACAGTCAATGAAACAACTTAAAATAGCTTAAGAGATCTTTAATAGAAAACAGTCATGCAGAAAAGGAGTAGAAATGTTTTTTTGTGGCAGACGAGCTTCAGTTCAAACTTCCTGGACTACAGTTTAATTAATATGATCAGATAAAATATTTTACCCACAACTCTGTTATCAGATGAACTAGGACTCTGTCATCTCTCTGTGTGTGAAATGTTGTTGAGCTGCTAGAGAGCAATGAGCCGTGAAAGAGGAGGGGGGGGACCCCCTGCTGTGAAAAATGATTCACACCTCTCCACAACGAAGGCCATGCTGACATAAAACAGACACCTGCAGCTTTCTTCATATTAGACAATCCTGCACAACTGACATAATAAACACGCACAGCGTTTAAACTCAATAACAACACTTTTGTAAATCAGACGCATTTCCATCTAAATATAATCAATCAACAATATTGAAGAATAATGCATAGGTCCACTGAGGGAGATCCAAAACAGGCAGAACTAGCATTTCATTGTATGTTATGCTGTTTAAAGGGTAATGTTTTTTTTTAGTTCATGTTCGTGCCCTAAATCGTTGTGTAACTAAAAAGCACTATACAAATATAGTTTAGCATGAGTACTAATATTACTATATTTCCAAAAAAGTTGGTATCCTGGGTGAAATGTAAATAAAAACAGAATGCAACAATGTGCAAATTATTTAAAACTTATATTTCATTGAAAATAGTACAGAAACAACATATCAAATGTTGAAACTGAGATTTTTTTTTAAATACAGGCCTATTTTGAAATTGATTCAGCAACATGTTTCAAAAAGTTGTGCAAGGGGCAACAAAAGGCTGGTAAAGTTTTGTAAAGTTAAAAAAACACCTAGTGGAGCATTACATAACCAATTTGGCTAAAGAGGAGAGGGACCCCCTGGCTTGTTATCAGCACACAGTTCAAAAGCCAGCGTCCTTGATGGTATAGCAGGGGGGCATTAGTGCACATGGCATGGGAGACTAGCACCTCTGTGGAGGCACCATTAATGCTGAACAATATATACAGGATTTGGACCAACATATGCTGCCATCCAGACGACGTCTTTTTCAGGGAAGGCCTTGATTATTTCAGCAAGACAATGTCAAACCACGTTCTGCATGTATTACAACAGCATTGCTCCATATTAAGAGTCTAGGTGCTAAATGACCTGCCTGCAGTCCAGATCTGTCACCACTGAAATGTTTGGTGTATTATGAAATAAAAAAATTTGACAAAGGAGACCCTGAACTGATGAGCAGCTGAAATCCTGTATCAAACAAGAACGGAAAACATTTCACTTTCTAAACTACAGCAGTGTCTCCTCAGTTCCCAAACACTTACAGAGTGTTGTTAAAAGAAGAGGGGATGTCCCAACTTTTTTGGAACATGATCTAATAATCTAATGGCCACATATGTTTTTTTAAAAAATTATATTTCTCAGTTTTAACATTTGACGTCATCTTTTTAGTATTTTCAATTAAATATAGAACTTAAATGATTTGCATATCATTGTATTCTGTGTTTATATTTTGCACACCTTCCTAACTTTTTTGGAAACAGTGCTGGGGCTTGTTTATGACCACATGAAGATGAAGGCCTGTCAAGCCTCTTCGAGTCAGGGCCATAAATCATAACAGGTTCCTAAAATAGCCGAGTGTAATGACGCGCTCTTCCCCATCGCTGATAAGAGCTTTCAGGTCAGAGATTATCTCCACTGATTCCTTCATCACTGCCATCTTCATCCCTGCTGCTTTGCATCGTCCTTAATTTGCCTGTTGGAGCTGATAGACACAGTTTTCCAGTGACAAGCTCAATTGGGCAGCTGACAGACTGTGACGGAGCTCAGTGAACTCCTGCCTTCTGTATTAAACACGTCACTCACCAGAAACAGGCTTTTCTTAAATAACTTTTACAACAAGATCATTAGTCTCATATTTCTAGATCTGTCATTTTAAATCTTGGTGAGCACGTGTAGGTTCACTGGTGGTTCTGGATGGTAATAAAATGTCTATATTTGTGTTGTAGTCATGGCAACCCCTGGTTCCTATCACCACCACTGTAAAGAAATCTGAACCATCTCACACCAAACCTCTCTGAGTGTGTACAGCTCACACACATTCAGTTATAGGGGATTTACAGTGAGATAATTTTACTTAATAAAAACACTCAAAATAAGCAAAAAAAAGTCTAGAAATATATAATCTTATAATAAGCTTGAAACAATCTCAACACTAGAAATATTACATATATTCTCCAGATTTAGGATCATCTCACCTGCCCAGATGCCATTTTTTGCAGTGTGTAATGTTAATGGTGGTAAAATAGTGAATAACTATCATAAAACAGTGTCTCAGTCATCAGGCAGTGAATTCATAACCATTTCATGCAGTAACTTTCTGTGAGGGAGCTTTTAGAGGTGGACGTCTGGTTCCTATCACCACCACTGTGAACAGTTCTGACTCAGTAAGTTTCTCTAGAATGTTTGGTGTTTCACACCAAACCACTCTGAATGACTCTGTTTACATCTTAACCACTTAATTATGCAGAGATTTATGTCCCTCATTAAGGGAATACTGGCATGCTTTCCTCAGTAAATGAATGCCCTGCTGATTAAAGGCAATAAGAACCATTAGGATAAAATCTGAAGGAATGAAAATGTATAATTGTGAATCATCAGCATAGCTGTGAAAATTTATATTGTGTTTTCTGAAGATATCACCTAGAGGTAACATGTACAAAGAGAAAAGCAAAGGCCCTAAAACTGAACCCTGTGGGACTCCATAAGTAATTTTAAATTTTTTCGATGAAGGATTTTCCAGGGAAGCCAAGAACTGTCTATGAACTACCCTGCTGAAAAAAGACCATTAGAACCATTAGGATTAAAACCTGATGGTTTTGCTTTCCAATGGGAATTGGTTTATGGGTACCATTTTTTTATGGGTACCGAGTCTTTTACACATCATATCAATCCATGATAACACAGAACACTATTAGAGACTATTGGGCACCATCAGAAACCAGAAGAACATTTTAAAGAGTAACTACACCCCAGAAGATATGGAGAATCAAATGGCACTTTTGTAACTGAGAGTCTTACGAGGCTGAAGACTTTTCTCTACTACCCTCTCCCTCTTCGATGAGGCAAGGTGTTTCTGATCAGGCAGTGTGTCTCAAGCCTTAAGAGTATGAGCCGCTGACTCAATCCGCTGAAGAGTTAACTGAGTGCCAGATAACGATATTTTAAGCAAGGCTGGTATATTTTATTATTACAGAGCAGTGCATTTTAGCTGTTAATGGGAAAAAGGTTTTAGGGTGGAGTTACTCTTTAATGGGTTCTATGATTTTATTCAACAGGTACTGGAGTCCATTCCTCATTAACTGAATCCCAGAGATTGTTCCTGTGTAAATTTGTGATGACGGACACCAAATGTAGTCAACCAGCTGAGACGTGTTTGGTGTCTGAAGTTTGTTTCTTTAGTTTTAGCACTGGAGCTACAAGGCTAATGTAGCTAACAAGCAGTAGAAGCTTATACCCACCTGTTAGCATGGTGCTAACAGCACACCTAAAACATCACATGCTTGTCTCAAACCGTGTGGAGTTGTTCAGTATCTCTAATAGACTATACAAGAGAAGAATTAAAGTGTGACTGAATGCGCTGCACCGTTCCAACTCCAGAATGTTCCGTCTGATCAGGAATGGTGTGGTTGTATATGGCATTTTGATCAGATGTCCAATCAGTAATGATTATGTATCAGTGATGAAGAATGAGGAATGGTGTGCAAAAGTTTGTTTTTGTCAATACAAGACCATTAACAACATCCTATTAACCATGTGAGGGAACCATAGCATCCACAACAACCTAGCAACTCCCTAGCAACCACCCAGCAACACCCAAGCAACCATTTATCAAGACCTTTGCAACTACCTAAAATACCATATTAACCGTTCGGCAACACCCTAGCAACCACCTGGGATACCAGAGCAACCACTAATTAAGACCTTTGCAACCACCTAAAATACCACATTAACCGTTTGGCAACACCCTAGCAACCACCTGGGATACCAGAGCAACCACTTATCAAGACCTTTGCAACCACCTAAAATACTATAGTAACCATTCGGCAACACCCTAGCAACTACCTGGGATACTATAGCAACCACTTAACAAGACCTTTGCAACCACCTAAAATACCATACAGGTTTAGGCGACTGTGCCCATCTCCTTGGTCTGTTTCCTCTACAGATCTGCTGCCGCTGGACTTGCTGAGGCGGGTGGTTCCGGCGGGGGGCATGTATCAGAGCCACGTGCGGTTGGTCCAGTCTCAGGGCGCACGGGGTGTGAAGTTCTCTGGACCTCCTCAGGCTCTCAGCTTCCCCGCAGCTCCGCTCTTCACCAACTGCAACTTCTTCCCTGCTGAGTTCTCCATCGTGGTCACGCTAAAGATACCACAGCTAGCTCCTAACGTGAGACACACGCTGTAACACTCATTAGCTAGGTTTTTAAATTAATTCCAGGCCTCGTGGCCTCACCACCAATCCATCTGTGTCCTGCAGTATACTTATGTGCAAATGTGTAGCAGGTGCTAATTTGTGCTCATTTGTGCTAATGTGCTAATAAGCTAAGGTGTACTAATGTGCTAATATTGCTGAGGTACTCTTACAGTAGTAGTGTGCTAATTTGTGCTGATTTGTATTGATGTGCTAACGTGTGCTGATGAATACTGTGCTAACGTGTGCTGATGAATACTGTGCTAACGTGTGCTGATGAATACTGTGCTAACGTGTGCTGCGGTTGTGTTTGCGTGTGACACAGAGAGATGAGTATATCTTCACTCTGCTGGACGGAGATTCGAACCGGTTGTTGTTAGGCCTTCGTCTGGCCCGTGATAAACTCCACTTCCTCCAGCGCTCCCGGCGAGTGACCTTCAGGGCCGTGGGGCTGGCAGACGGCCGCTGGCACACACTGGTGTTAGCTGTCACCGGACACTACAGCATCCTTACTGTGGACTGTGGAATCCCCCTTGAGCTGTGAGTTACTGACCCTGGAACCTTGCTGGACTGGAGTGTGTTCAAATCTTTATGTGCATTTTAGGCTTGTGTTTGGCTTTTAGGCAAGTGTTTGGTGTCTGAAGTTTACATCTTTAGTTTTACACTAGAGCTACAAGGCTAATGTAGCTAACAAGTATTAGAAGCTTATGTTACCTAACCAATGAGCATCATTCTCACACTGTATAACATCTTTTACCTATAAACATGAACATATATATATATCCACCAGTTTAAGAATGACATTCCTCACTAAGTGATGGCAAGGATTTTAGGTGTTTCACCCTGTACAGTGCATAATATTACCAAAAGATTCAGGAAATCCAAAAAATCTGTGTGCATATCACCTTATGGACTGGGGAACACTTTAACAAACTGTTGTCAATAAACACCATCCGTAAATGCAGGTTAAGACTGTACTATACACAGCAGAGGTAACAACATCCAGAAACACTGCCAACTTCTCTGAGCTCGAGCTAATCTAAAATGACCTGATGCTCAGTGGAAACGTGTATTGTGGTCTGATGAGTCCACCTTTCAAGATTGTTTGTGAATGTAATGGACGTTGTGTTCTCTGAGCTAAAGAAGAAAAGGACCATCCAGATTGTTACCAGTGTAAAGTTCTAAATCCAGCATCTGTCATGGTGTATATGTGTGTGTTTAGGGGGGGGTATTAGTGGGTAACCTGCACATCTGTGAAAGCACCATCAACACTGAACACATTTTGGAGCAACATATGCTGCCTTTTAGATGACGTCTTATTCAGGGACGTCCATGCTTATAACAACTAGACACCAAGCTGCATTCTGACACTGAACCACGTTTTACAGCAGCATGGCTGTGTAATCAGAGAGTGTGGATGCCGGACTGACCTGCCTGCTGTCTAGAACCGTGTTCTTTTGAAAACATTTGGAGTGTTATGAAGAATACAACAAAATGCCCAGTGCGGTTATGCAGTGGAAAACTTTTACAACCCAGGAATGGCTAAAAATTCCACTTTCAAAACTGGATCAGTTTGTGTCTTCAGTCTCCAAACGATTATTAAGTAATGTTTAAAGGGAAGGTGATGTAACACAGTGTAAACATGCTCCTGTATCAACTGTTTTGGAACATGTTGCCAGCGTCAAATTTACAGTGAACGTCTATTTACAAAAAAACAATTATATTTGTAAGGTAAAACATAGACTATTGTGTTTCTGTACTGTTTTCAGTTTAATACAGGTCAGTCAGAATTTACTAATCACTGCATTCTGTTTTTATTAGCATCTCAAACACTGTCTCAGCTTTTTTGGATCTGATGATATAGGCATGCAGTTAATGAGATATGCTAATGCTAATTTGTGGGCTTTAAGCTTCCATTACTTGTTAGCTACGTTAACCTCGTAGCTCTAGTGCTAAGACTAAAGAAACAAACTTCACCAAACAACACAAAACATTTCTGCCTGAACTTTAGCTTTAAGTCCAGATATTTACTGTGTTTCTGTTTCTTCATGAACTCCAGGCAGACAGAGAAACCTTTCCCTGAGGATCTGAACACTAAAGGCTCCACCTTTTTCATAGGCAGCAGGAGAAGGTGGAATGGACTGTTCTCGGTAAGACCGCTGGACCTGTTCCATATACAGACATAGAATAAATAATAAAATAACTAAAATAACTACTTGTTGGAGCAGAATATGAGTTTTATACTCAAATACTACAAATACAGCTAATGGTTGCATACAGTAGAATACTTTAGAAAATCAACATTTAGTATCATTAAGAGTTTCTGAACACTGAAGATCACTGTAGGTCCAATTTATGATTCTTAAGTAACATTTTCAAAGACCCAGGGAACCTAAATCTGTGAAAACTGGAAGCGTGAGCTCCTTGGATGCATCAGCCTCGGATGTGATTCCTGCTGTCGCTGTGCTGCTGCTGAAGGAGACAGATGAGGATCAAAACTATGAAAACTACTTTACTTACAGCTGTACAGAAGAGCTTTTCTGATGGTGCTCTTCTCCACTGTAGTGCTGCTCGATCAGAGATCACTAATATAGCAGAGCGAGATAACGACCTTCATTTAACATCAGATAGAGTTAATGATTTAACTGTTAAAATACATTACACCAATTTACACTAACAGCTACTTCATTCTAAGTAGGTACTCAGTGTGGTATCAGACTCGGTATCGGCGAATACTAAAAAATACAGTCTGAAAAAATGGTGTCACTGCCTTCCTCGTTCCAATGACCAATAAATGACCAATATATTTCACCATATTTCTCTCCTCTCATTGTAAATTGATCTGTCATAATCTTGAGTAACGCTTCTGTAAGCATTTGCCTGACCAATCACAAGGCTGCATCTCTGGCCCCTCCCACACAGAAGGATTTCAGAGTCAGAGAATCTTCGCGAGCTAAAGCTAACACAGCATAACCAAAAGCTAGCGAGCCACACCACCTGTCTGTAGCAGCCTGTTGCCCATTCACTCGTTTATCTGTACACAGACACTGTTCCCTCGTCCATTCCTTCATTCAAGGGTTGCTTCGTTTGTCCGTCTGCACATCTGCTTGTTTGTTAATTTTTTCCGCTGGATAATGATGTGAGATCTGGATGAGGGGCAGAGCAGGCTAGGAGTGTTGAACAGAGAGCTGTCAACCAAGCTGCTCATTAGCCACGCCCACACAGTTCTCAGATCAGCGGTCTGATCAGCGGTTTTTAAGCCACGTTTTATCATATTTATATCTTATATTTTTCATTCCAGCTTTGCTGGATGTTTAAATAAATACTCAAGTTTAGTATCGTACAGACACTTTTAATATTTTAATATTTTACTCTGAGTTCTCTGGGAGGTTACTGGCTTATATCCTGCCTATCCTGTTTGTCTCAGACTCACTTATACTGTTTTATGTACTAAAAAACTGTCAAAACAGTTCATTTCTATCTAGGGTTCACTCCTCTCAGACCTCACCTGCTTTCTAAAATACATTTTTAGCCTGTTTGCTATAGTTATTCTGCCTTTCATTGGAATAATAATTCATGTGTCCGACACACACTTTCACTTGTTCTGGACAAACGTTAATGTTGAGTGTTGCATATGTATGTCTGTAGTAACTGTTAAAGTACTAGTATCTCTCTCGCTCTCTGTCTGTCTGTCTCTCTCTCTCTCTGTCTCTCCTTCTCTCTCTCCCCACTACCCCCTCTCCCTATCTCTCTCCCTCCTTCTCTCTCTCTCCTCTCTTTCTCTTTCTCTGTTCCCTGTCCTCTCTCTTTCTCTTTCTCCCCTCTCTCTCTCTCAACCCCCCCGCCCCCTGTAGGGTCTCATGAGACAGCTGGTTCTGTTACCCGGTTCTGATGCGTCCTCTCGGGTTTGTCCGTCCTCTCAGCCTCGACTGTCTATCCTATCCGTCCCTGAGGTTCTGTTACACCTGCCAATCAAACCACCGACCAATGAGCTTCCACTCTACCCGTACGGTAAGCAGGAGCATTACCTATCTGACTTCCTTCTGAGAAATGGAACATTTCAGATCAGCCCCCGCCAAAGCTCCTCCCACCTTAAAGACGCATCATCAGAAGGGGGTTTAGTGTTTAAAGTGTAAGATCTCACTCTGCAGGTGCTGCAGCTCCGCTGTAGGAGGAGAGCAGGTGTGTTTACAGCAGATGTAGTGATGGTTATGTTTTTAATTCCTGCCAAAGTGTCGCTTTAAGAAACTCTAGACGAGACGTTTTCCTCAGGCTCGTTATTGCAGACCTGCAGCGGGCTGAGGAGAGGAGATGGACGAGTCCCGCAGATGGAGTTTTGGTTTGTTTAGGCGGGTTTTCACTTTCAGAGGAGACACTCAGTGGTTTGGAACCAAAAACAAACACTTGAGCAGAGAGTGATTCTCACTTTACACCAAATGAAAAGGAAAAAATAGGAGGAGGTCCAGAGAGACATTCGGGAGATTTACAGTATTTATTTAGCACCTTTAATATGATAAAAACACAAAGTGCTTCACAGTGTGTGAATAAATCAGTGTCAGTGAAACAGTGTTTGACTAAAACGATCATAAAATCGGTCGATTCAACCGTGTCTGCTGTAACAAAATCAGCTGATGCTGTGAAAAGCTAATGTAAGATTCTAATGTGTGATCGTCTCACAGGTAGATGTAAACGTTAAAGTTCATGTTGAAAAAAGTCAACGCCAATATATTTTAGCATGTAGCTTAGCAACCTGGGGCTGTATTAGAGAAACAGTTCAGATCTGACAGGTCAAGATAACATTTTTCACACATTTCTATCACAGAGGCAGATCTGATCTTTTAGGAATGTTATCTGATCTTACAGCATCTTATCTCCAGTTAGGAAATCTTAACCTACTCAGTCGACAATCAGTTGTCATGACTGTTTCCAGCTGAACGTAAACACATCATCAAAAAAACGTAAAAAATGCGAGTCCCAGCTGCTGTTACTGATGTAGAAAAGGTTAAACAGAGCTAAAGTGTGATAAACTGTAAGTAGTGAATACTGTGAGAGCGCCCCCGCTGTTTATCAGAGCGTCGCCGCTCCCCAGTTTCAGTCTCCATTTCCCCAAACGCTTTAGCTGAGCGCGCTAACGTTACTCCTCCTAATAAACAGACACACGTTCAGCTCCATCTCCTCATTATTCACCACCATCACTGTAATATTTCATCATCAACATTAACACACGAAGGTAATCAGAGGGGCGGTGGAAATCGAGTCTGCAGCGTCTGAGATCTTTAAAACGCAGAGTTAGAAAAGAAAATCATCTCACAGTGAAAGCAGCGTTTTACAGTAGAAATAAATGGAGCTCATTATGCTGGTAGTGAACTATGCTGCTGACTCAGCTGCCTAAAAACCATAGAAACGGACCTTAAACAGAAGTGAGGACCCTGTTGGGGTTCATCCTAAAGTTAGGACAGTATTTAGGAGGTTTAGTCTAGTTAAAGCAGGGGTGTCCAGACTTTTTTCAAAAAGGCTCAGATTGTACTGTGTCATGCAATGATGTGCAAATCATTTAAACCCAATATTTTATTGTAAATAGTACAAAGACAACATATCATATGTTGAAACACAGAAATTTTACTGTTTTTTGAAAAATATTTGCCCATTTTGAATTTGATATCAGCAACACATTCCAAAAGTTGAGACGGGGGCCTGTTTACCACTGTGTTTCATCACCTTTTCTTTTACCAACACGCTGTAAGTGTTTAGGAACTGAGGAGACACTGCTGTAGTTTTGAAAGTGAAACGTTTTCCATTCTTGTTTAATACAGGATTTCAGCTGCTCAACAGTTCAGGGTCTCATTTGTCTTATTTTTCATTATGGGCAGAATGTGGTTTTACATTGTCTCGCTGAAATAATCAAGGCCTTCCCTGAAAAAGACGTCGTCTGGATGGCAGCATATGTTGCCAAACCTGTATATATTATTCAGCATTAATGGTGCCGTCACAGATGTGCAAGTCACTCATGCCATGTGCACTAATGCCCCCCTCTATACCATCACGAATACTGGCTTTTGAACTTTGCGCTGATAACCAACTGGATGGCCCATCTACTTTTTAGCCTGGAGGATGCAGCATTCATGATTTCCAAAAAGTTTTGATTTCTCTCTCTCTCTCTCTTTCTCTCTCTGTTTATCTCTCTCTCTCTCTCTGTCTATAGAGGCTGAGGTGCGGGTCAGTCCGGTGGTCCCTCTCTGTGGGGTGGGTGAGGAGGGTCAGCTGTGGTTCAGTACGGTGAAGAGAGGCCTGTTCCTGTGCGATGGAAACACGTGGATCACCATGTTACAGGGTACACACACACATACACACACACACACACACACACACACACACACACACACACACACATACACACCTCCACGCACTTTCTGGCTAAAGCTGGCTTCCTATTCACCAGCACTTGTTCAGATTTTCCGTTCCACCTTAAATTTTGCAGCCTTGGGCACCGGAATGTGTTTGAATAAGAAACTGGCAAATAGGAAGCCAACATAAACAACACGTTTATAGTTCAAAATTAACATTTCATAAAATTCATCAACATTTCTTTTCTATAATGCCTAAAAAAGTACTAAATTCATCATGTATGTGTTAAAATTTGTACAGTTAGCCAGCTAAATCATTTCAGGGCCAAAATATGTTAATCATTTGAGACGTTTGAAACAGCTCTCTAAGCTCGGCATCAATCCAGCTTTCGTGAAAAGAATTTTTCGGAAAATAACCAAACCTATCAACAAAATTTCATTCTAAAACAAATGTTAATGTGATTTTACATTAACCTCCTTAAAATATAACTATACTAAAAAAAATATGGTTCTTCAGGGGTTCTTTAGTAAAGGGAATAGTTCTGTTTAGAACCATGAGTTCTATAAAGAACCATTTGCATGCATGAAATGTTCTCTGCATGGTGAAATGGTTCTTCAGATGTGTGTATGCGTGTTTTATATGGTTCTATATAGCACCAAAAAGGCACCAAAAAGGACTCTTCTGTTATTATGAGCTTGATATCATAACAGCAGAACCCTTTTTCTTGCTGCATAGAACCATTTTCAAAAATATACAACGTGTTCTCTATCCACCTGAAGAGCCATTTCACCATGCAGAGAACCATTTAAGCACGCAAATGATTATAGATAGAACTTTTGGTTCTAAATAAAGCCAGTCTGCACTAAAATGTTCTTGAAGAAACCTATTTTTAAGAGTCTGAAGAGCCCAGCAGACACTAAGAGTTGGAGGCCAGTTCTTCAAACCATCTCCGGTTCTGCTGTTCTCCACAGAGAAAGAGAGGCTGGACTATGTGGAGGAATACCAGGATCTCTTCACCGTCTCAGAGACGTTTGATATCGAAGTGTTCAGCATCCCGTCTGTGGGACTCTTCATGGCGACTGCGAACCGAGACCAGGGCTCGACTGTGTACCGGTGGACCAACGGCAGGTTCGAGAGATACCAGAACATCAGCACCCACGACGCTCAGGCGTGGAAGTTCTTCACTGTGGGGAAAGAGGTTAGTGGGGCTCCTCCCTGCGTTCCTCTACCTGATGATTCTTCTAAAATAATATGCTGGATCAGTCAGATCCACCTGACTGGGTGAACGTTTTCCAGAGTCTAAAGGACAGTTTGATCTAATGGCTTAAGCTTAAATGGTTGAAATTTGACAAATAATAATAAATGTCCTCCAAATGAAAACATTTAAATGTAAGAATCCAAATTTAACCCTTAACCAACTAGTATTAGTTGGCAATTAATCACTTATGTTAGATCTGCAACTATTGACTATTTTGATAGTCGAATAATCTGTCGGTTATTGAAATGAATTATGAAGCAGCCAATTACTCAGTTCACTCTCAGAAATAAAGGTTCTAAACTGTTACTGGGGTGGGACCCTCGAGGGTCCATCTCAGTCCCTTTAGTCAGGGAACATAACTGAACCATAATCCACTGAAATGATATATTCTAAGCTGTACTGACTCCACACACCCCGTCTCGTCTCCAGGCTTTTATTTTACTGTTCTGTTTAAAACATTCGGTTATGAAAAGGTACAAATATGAACTTTTCACCTGGAAAAACTTATTTAAGGTTCACAATCAGACCTTAAAACCACTGTTGGAGCTTTGAGGGAACATTTACGCTGCTTGTATCTTGATGAATGAAAAATGTACCTGAACAGAACCTTTATCTCTAACAGTGTTCAGCGGCTGCTGTGTGTGCAGAAGATCATGGCCAGCATAGCTGGCATTTGATGTGGTTGTCTGAGCAGAGACACTTTTAATGTCATAAATCAAACGAGTGAAATCACAGAAATTAATTTTGTCTGATGTTAAATGGAAGCTTCCCCTCATACCCATAATTACAGCCAGCAGCTCTCCAGCTGTTCAGCCTGCAGCTGCTTTATCTCTCTCTCCCTCTCTCTCTCTCTCTCTCTTTCTCTCTCTCTCTCTCTGCACTGATTTATATTACAGCTCCTGTCAGAGGCACTTAAACCTTAATGTACCTCAGACTTCCAATTACGGCAGAGCAGTAAAGTAAAATTTAGGGTGGATGTTAAGCATTAACACGCCTCACTAATCACTAAACATCCTTCCTCTGTATCCCAGAATTCTCCACGCCACTTTGAACCCAGATCTGAAGAGAACGCACTTTAAATTAATGAGCAGCAAATTCATTACACTCACAAACTTTCACTCATAACATCCTCTTATATATGAAGTTTTTATTTCAGAATTGCAGTAAAAACACATCTGTTTTTACAGATGGTTAAAAAGGCAAATCTTAACCCTTAATATTCCAGACCTACTATTCACTTATTAATCAGAAGACTTATTATTCAGTGCCTAATATGAAGTATTCAGTAACTATGTTCAGAGTAGTTTGAAGTTTCTGGGATGCTATTAGTATGTCACCGCGAACCCACACCAGAAGAAGCTCATCAATGCACATATTTGTTATAACGTCTATTACAGGGGTCGCCCAAATGTTAAGAAGAGCGATTTTACCTTTCAACACAAACCAAACCACCTTGGGAGCCACAACATTTTCTGTCCATTTAACCATCTTGGCTGTAAATATGTCTCAGTATGTGATGAAGCACTAGTACAGGCTAAAATATAATATAAATGAAAACACAGACTTACTTTGCTCTGCTTTAAGCTTTAATTCATCTATAGCTGCTTTTCTCACATCTCCAGCAGGAAACTTTTCCAAAAGTAGAACAGTTTCTTGTAAAATGTCTCTCAACATTCGGCTTTTTACAAGGCTGAAGTCGCTTCTCATTCACCAGCTTCTTGTCCGAATTTTCCCGTTCCACCTTAAATGGCTTCACGATTTTTTGTGTTTGTCAGTTTCTCACTGCAGATTAAACGTATCAGGAAACCACCTGGAGTGATTATAAAGTCCATTCATCTCTAGATTATCGATGTTCATCTTAAGTCTTTCTCTTTACCTTTTCGTTACCTACTAGCTAGGTCAGACTGTTGTCTGTGTTGCTATGGTGACCAGCAGTCTGCGCTGATCTTCAGGGTTAAAGGGTGAATTAGCAGTTCTACATTAACTCCAGAGTTTAAGACCATTTATTGTTAAACTGTGTTGAACGATCAGCAGAGCTTTATTTTACTGTAAAGGAGGATTATTTTATTTTTACCTACAAATCTGATTCTGCTGTGGAGCCACAACAGGGCAGTAAAAGAGCCGCATGAGGCTCCAGAGCCACATGTTACCGACCCCTGGTCTAATATAACGACTAGTGAAGCAGTTTACAAAGGATGTTGGGTTACTTACTATTATATTATTTAACCTGTGGTTTTATTAAAAATTCACCACAATCAATGTTAGATTTCTTTAACAAGAAAATATTGTCCTAATTATTTTTAGATATGGCCCAGGCCTCTAGTGTCTACTGTTAATTATTCAGTTTGTACTGTGAAACTAATATGTAATTTCTGTGATTATGAAAAAGAGGGATTATAATTACTATTATTATTGTTGTTGTTGTTGTTAATTGTAGTGATAATAATGATGATTAAGACTTTCTCCTCCCACAGTGTGTAACTGAGTGCTGTGTTTGTGTGGTGTAGAGTTTCCTGGTGGTCGCTAACTCCGGCAGTAATGGTGGTCAGGAGGTGTCGGTGATCTATAGGTGGAATAAGCGAACGCTGAGGTTTGTTGTGTATCAGAAGCTACAGACGCACAGCGCCCGTGACTGGGAGGCTTTCCACATCCACAACGAGGCCTTCCTCGCCGTGGCCAATCACAGACAAGGTGAGACTCACCTGCACAGGTAGAGAGATTTATTTTCTCTTCACAATTAACACCTTTAGAAAAGTTTACAGTGATAGTTCTGCAGCAGCTCCTCGAAAGTTAGTTTCACTTTGTTTTTTGCTGCTTAACAACATAAAATCATGTACTGAATTGGGGGTTTAGTGGGCCATGATTGGTTGGTGGGCCTGCACAGGCTGGTCACAACATCATCACTACCAGATATTGTTAAACAGAGAGACTTACAACACGTGAAAAACAGTGAGAGGAGCCAAACTGCTACTGCCATTGCAGAATGAGGCAGCAAGAATATTAACATGGACTAGAAAACAGGACCGTATTAGAGCGGTTTTAGCTTCACTGCACTGACTTCCTTTAGAACCCAATATAAAATTTCACTACTAGTTTTTAAATCTCTTAATGATTCAGTACCTTCATACATCTCTGAGTGCTGATAGGTGATGTTCCAGATCCAGTTTTAAGATCATCCAGTGCTGCTTCTCCATATTCCACATATGAAACTTAAACAGAGTGAAGAGGTTCTGTTTTTATGCATCAGAGATCTAGAACACTTTACCAACAAACATCCATCAGGATCCTGCTGTCAATAAAAAACAGTTAAAACTTATTTCTTTACTTCAGCGTTTAACTCATTTCTTACTGTTTCCTTTGTTTTTACTGGAATATTACTGTTACTTTTACTTTCTTGTTAGTTGCATTTTTATTGTATTTTTATTTCTTATTCATGCTTTTATCTTGTGCTTTTTAATTGTAATCATTATTAATACATCCTTTTTTCTGCTATTTATTATTTATTTATTCTATTATCTTTTTTTTCTCTTTGTGAAGCACTTTGAGCTGCATTTTTAATGTATGAAAGGTGCTATATAAATAAACATTATCATTATTATTATTATTATTACATTTAATATTTGCAGAGAATCTTTAAGAATTCATGACCTAAAATTCTGCAACAAACGTCATTTGTAAGGGCAAAACATGCAGTTTTTGCCATTACAAATGTATTTTGTAAAACTGCAATTTTATTTTTTAAATTACAAATAATAACACAGTGAATATTCTCTGTAAACCCCTGTTTTTCACTTATTTTCCTTTGACTTTTTTTTGACCTTTGTCTTTGTCTTCTGCAAGTAGATCATCTTATATCTAATCTGCTAAAATATCTCCTGAAAAATCAGTAACATATACTTAATGACGATTCTGCTAGGTACTATTTTTCATAAACATAGAGTTGAAAGTGTGCAATTTTCAACTTGTAAGAGCTGCAATTTATATTATATAAGCCGCCTTTGGAGAAATTAGACCAATCAGATGCAACACAACACCATGTTCTGTATATGTGACATCACAACCACAACTAACTCATAGTCTGACACACTCAGCATTCAAGCTTCATGCCAGAAAAAGTGGACATTCTGGTCTTTTTGGGCAAAAAAAAAACAAGCCTGGAAATTCATTTATAGAAAATGACTACATTTAAATCATAATATCGGTCAGAAAAATTGCAATTAGACATTTTCCCCAAATCATTCAGCCCTACATAAACATAACATTGCTGCTCCTAAATTGCTTCACAGACCCAAAACTGTGTGTTCCACTGAAATGCAGGGATGAACAGCCTCTAGAGCACCGTCTGTAATGATAATTACAGTCTGTGCTCGGCGTGATTTACACACTAAAACCCCCCTCAAAAACATCTACAGGTGAAATGAACCACAACATTGACAGTGTGATCTACAAGTGGAACCCAAACACCAAGAGGTTTGAAGTGAATCAGACCATCGCCACGTCTGGAGCTTACGACTGGGAGTTCTTCACCATTGGCCCGTACTACTTCCTGGTGGTGGCCAACACCTTTAATGGAAAGTCCACCGTCATCAACTCCACCATCTACATCTGGCTGGGAGGAGCATTCCAGCCGTTCCAGTCCATCATGGTAACTGACAGAACTCACTCATAACCTGTAATTTTTAGCTCATTTTTATTTAATAGAATCTCCATGTTTGTTGTATTTAAGCTCTTGATCTTATTTCACTGTTAAGTTTTGATTGGAAGCACAAGGGGTAAAATCTTGAAGTGTCTAAAGGAAAATGATCCAATCAGGATTGTTCTCTCTGTGGTATCTAGGTAGATACAACTAAGCGAGCTCTCCCATTGGTTAGGAGACTGGACTGAAGGCCTTACATGTTAGATTAACTACCAACATCATTAGGAAGCAACAGAGGAACCAACCAATCACGCGTTAATTTACAATACCAAACAAAAAATTATTGTAGGCCTTATGTAAGTTCTAGATATGTCGCTGACTGTGACTATGTCCGACTACGAGTCATAGTCTAAGCAGGTTCCGGTTAATTGTTAGGAATGTATGTCAGATCTATGTCAGAACTCTTTACTGAAAGAGTCACTGTCTGTGTTTAGATGCAAGAATTTTGCCATTCTGATTACAGAAGACTGAAGTGTTTTTATCTCACTCTACTCAGCAATCTGATGAAAATCTCCGTTTACATGCTCACTACAAGTAATCCAATCCAAAGTTACGCGCATGCGTAGAGAACCACTTAGTGTAGACGTTACCATGATAACCAGCATCACGTGAGTCCAGTCAGAGTGAGGTGAGCAGCAGTGAGCAGCGCTTGTGTTTTAATTACTTTAAAATGATGTCAGACTCAGGAAAACGTCCTTCACATGTCCTTATTAAAGAAGGCCGAGAGGAAGACGTCGTGTTCTGAGACACATAAGCTGGACGTCCGTCCCACCGCCGTCTTTTAAAGATCAGAGCATAAACTTCGTCTCCTCTGCAGACCAGTTTCTGCTCCGCCATGTTGAACGGTATAAACTTTCACTATGACGCAACGAACATGATCAGAACATACTTAAACTTTCCGATAGGGAATGTAATCAGATACAGGCGTTTACACAGATATTATTCTTCTATTTAACGGATTATTTACAGGATCACCCACCTCGATCAGTCGGATAGAAACTGTATTCTGAAAGGCCTCAATCGTACTAGATTATTCTGACTGAGGTGTAAACATGAACGGATTCTATTCAGATTGAGCTATTAGTCTGATTATTAACAGATTATTAGGCTGCATGTAAACGTGGCTACTGTAAAACTGATACATACAAGCTCAGATATATAATGTCTGTTACAAGCTTCAGATAAAACATATGAAATCGCTTTCACAAGTCTTTAATCTAGAACAGCAAAAATATGGGTGTTCATGTGATTCGCTGTTAGCTTAGTGCTAACATACTTCTAGAATCTCATAAGGGTGCTAGGAAAAATAAGCATTTCATATGTGTTTTTGACCAAGTTTTGACAAGCATTCTTCAAACTGAAGGACTAACTGTAATAGTCATGGTTCAAAACTGCTCTAGAACATTAGCAATATTGTCAAATTAGCAATATCAAAACCTGTTATTGTGAAAATCAATTTTTCTCCTGAATATTCCTCTAAATTTTGAGTGAATCATTTAGCGTATGCGTTTATCAGAGGGCACTTAAACCCCCTGCAGGCATGTGAGCTGTATTATAGCGGGGATTTCCGAGGCTGCGGTTTCTCCTGTTTCATTAAAGAGTGGTGTGTGATTAGTTCCTTTGAGGTCTAACCTGCTGTGTTTAATGAGAGGAACTCTGGATGTTTTGTCTGACCTTGCAGACCACTGGAGCGATAGACTGGGAGATGTTCCAGATTGGGAACAGGTTCTTCCTGGCTGTGGCTAACAGTCAGAGACTCGATGGCTCTGGCTCGATTCTTTATAATATCAACTCCACCATCTACGAGCTCAACATGACCTCACAGACCTTCGTTAAATTCCAGGACATCACAACCAGCAGGTAACAATAGCTTCATTATCACTGACCCCACCAGCAGGGCTGCACTCAGGATGACCACTACACAGCTTTGTGTAGTTATTTTTTTTTTGTGTCATCTAATTTTGCTGCAGTGTTTAATGAAGCAACATTTACTTTATTAAGATGATTTTACACAAACAAGACCTGACCCAAACTGGAACCCACAGAACTCACAGTTCTAGTTCTAGTGCTGGAGAGACAGCTGGAACAGTTATAATAACCATGATTAACAAATTTAAAGATCTTTTTGGTCATTTTATGACCAAAAGTGTCCAATTTGTCTAATTAGCTCACCTTATTGGCTGGTATGAAAGTTTATATTGCACTTTGACGCTCACTCTCACTATTATGTCCACATTTACACAGAATCAGGTGTCGAATCAAACAAGTTTTTCTCTGTCGCGAGTAAAATAAAAGCAAAAACACTCGTTCTGTAGAGGCTACTATACATGCTAATTGTGTTTCCATACTGAAATCTGATATATGTCAATATGTAGGTTTCAAATACATGAAATACATTGTCATTTATCAATTTCTCTTATATACAACTTATATTTGTCACATATGGACTTGTTTGTGACATATATGCCATCTTATTTTAAATCGGACATTTTCAAACATGGGACATATATTTCAGCCTCATATCAATATACACAAACATATATGTGTAACACACATTTAACAATATATGTTAGAAAACGTTATTTATGTATGGGTGGTATGTATTACTCATATATACTAGCTGCATGCTATATAAGGTTTTTATGCATCTTCTTTGTTTCTTCTTCTCAATGAAGTGAAAATTAGTATAACAGCTGCATAACTAAACTCTAAAAACATGCACATTTTAAGCTATGTAATAAAAGCATTAAAATATGCAATAATAACTAATATTGTTCCCAGGCGCATTTAAATAATTTAATATTTAAAAGTAAACTGTTAACTTAGTAACGATTATAGCTGTACTGGGATGTATTCAACCATGTCTTAGACATACATGTATGATCCATATATTATACATTTCTGTCCAATATTTGATACTTATGTATACGTACACAACATATATATACATATATTCTATACATATAATATATATGCCTCACCCTTTATGATATATGTGTGTATATGGCCATATATAAGATTTCCATGTGTGTTAGCTTCTTAACTATGTCTCCTTATGTCGAACTACCTATGAAGTCATAATTCTAAAAATAGCAATGAACACATCAGCATGGCGTCTTTACAGTCTGGAGCTCATATTGGCCAAATAGTAGTGCTGGGTAACTTTATCTTCATCTGTAAGAGTAAAGAATTGGCTAAATGATTGTCAGTGTTGGCTGCAAGTGTTCGCAAACACAGAGGAGCCTCAGTGGGGTTAATGCTGCTAATAGCAGCTCTACCTGCTTCTGAAAGCTGGAGAACAGGAAAAACATCAGTAAAACCCATTACATACTGACATCACAGCCTCAGACACATGAGATTTCACTGTTATTGCCAAGATTTTATCTGTATTTACTGTAAGCCGTTCTGTGACTGAGAGCTGCTGGATGTGAATTACCACCTGAAAAATCATAACCAGTCTTTATGTTTACAAACATTCTGATTTGGTCTAAACTGATACAGCATTAATACTGCAATATGCAAATGAGCCTCTAACCAATCACTGTTCATTTGTGCGCTGAGCATCCTGACCAATCACAGAGGTTGGAAGAATCAAAGCATTGACTACGGTGGCTGAGAAGACCCAACAAACGGCACATAAAAAAGAAATGCAAACTCCGAAAACACCTTTATCAAAATGACAACATATGCATTTTATAAACGCTCTGCAAATAATAAAACGTGTTCCAAATTCATAGACGCTCCACAAACTCCGAAAACAATTTCATCAGAATGGCAACACTAGCGCTACGTTTCACAAACGCACTGCAAATTCAGAAACACAGCAGAGTCACTCACATCACAACGGAAATGGTTACAGAGACACTCAAAGAGGACGGAGACGTTAAAATTTTACATTTAATGCAGCATAAACATTCACCAGTAACATAAAGTTAACTTTTATTTGAACAGAGAAATAATATCACTGTATCGTGATGGGAATTAGCTGTAGAGTATTACCAGATACCTACTGTAGTACAGCCAGAGAACTTGTAGAGAGGAGAATTACCACTCTGTATTGTTTTCTGGGTTCCTTAAACACTAGAGGGCGCTCCCGGGCGAGTCCAAAATGAATGGGTTAATATGGAGCATTTGACCAAAATCATAGTTTATAAATGCTTAAAACATTTTAAACAGCACAAAACATTTTAACACTGCTTTTATATTTTTAAGAGCTTTTAAACTTGCTGCTCCGCTCGCCAACCAATCAGCACTCAGTAGCAGTAATGTTAGCGTCCTGCTGCCCAAAACCCGTTTGCTGTAGAAAAAGGAAACATACAGGTGAGTTTTCTTTGCTTTTTTAATGAAATCAATCCTTTCTGAAATTCTGCCTTCTAAAATTAAAGGACAGTTCTGGGCGAGTGATTAGAAACTATTTTAACTTTGTTTTGGGTGTTGAGCTCCATTTACTCCCATTCAATGAGGACTTGCTTGTGAGCGCCTTCTGCTGTTTAGCAGTCCTGTTTTTGAGATAATAGGGGAAATAAGAAGTGGCCAGATACCTCATAAACCATCTGGTACAGCCATGGCATACAGCATGACTAGCCAGCCAAGCTTACCATGAATGTACTGTAAGCCTCATCAGCTTCTGTCAGTGACTCTCCATCACAGATATTCCATCTCCTTCCAGAGTCTTCCAAAGACGTCTCCACTGTGGCTCACTGCCGCTGTGCTGTGACCGGCTTTGCAGCGTCTCTGAAGTTGTGTGTTTTCTGTATTTGCAGCGCGTTTATGAGTTTGTAAGACGTCTATATTCGTACTGTGTAAAGGGTCCTTTTAGCCACTGTAATTTACACAATCCAACAAACATCAAACTACCACAGGCCAACCTTTAACCATGTGAAAACACTGTTGGTGTAGTTTATTGGAAAGCCCATCTCAGTACACAGCAGTGTTTCTGTGCAGCCCGGCCCCCCGCAGGCCCTGCTGCCCCGCCATGTGTTAACACTGTCCTCATGGTTTGTGTCCGCAGTGCTCTGGACTGGGAGTTTTTCACCGTGGGGGATGATAAGTTCTTGGTGGTGGCGAACTCATATGATGGAAACTCCTACTCACTGAATAGTGTTATCTACAGGTGAGGTCACTGCTGTCCTTTGGGTGCTTCATTCGGTCATGAGCTGAGGTCAGTTAGGTACACACACACCTGACCTCAGGTCACCTTTATTACAAAAACACTGTACGACTCACAGATGCATGAAATAAGCTGTTTTGTACAGGAAGACTTATCAAAACTAATACAGACGTTTGTAGTGTTTCCTCTAAAAGGAAGGTGTTAATAGTGCTGACGTGAGCAGTAGGGAGTATGATTTCCTTCAAATTCTACAGTAATGAATTACCAAAATATGTACATTCTTAAGAAATCAATTAACAAAGGTACGACAATTGTAGAGTAATTGATTACCAAAAAAGGTATATTCAATAGAAATCAATTACCAAAAATTTGACAGTTCTAAAGTAACAATTTACTAAAGATATGTAAATTCTAGAGAAATGAATTAACAAAAATATGCAAATACTAAAAAAAAGAATTATTAAAAAAAAATAAATTCTAGAGAAATGAATTACCAAAAATATGTAAATTCTAGAGTAATTAATTACCAAAAATGTAAATGAGACAGACGGTCAGTCACTGAGACAGATGGTCAGTCACTGAGGAGCTCTGCAGTTCACAGTACAGAAACTCAGAGAGAAAGAACTACAGCTGTGTGTGTGTGTGTGTGTGTGTGTATCTGTGTGTGTGTGTGTGTGTGTGTGTGTCTGTGTGTGTGCGTGTGTGTGTGTGTGTGTGTGTGTGTATGTGTGTGACTGTGTGTGTGTGTGTGTGTGTGTGTGTGTTTATGTGTGTGTGTGTGTGTGTGTGTGTGTGTGTGTGTATCTGTGTGTGTGTGTGTGTGTGTCTGTGTGTGTGTCTGTGTGTGTGTGCGTGTGTGTGTGTGTGTGTGTGTGTTTATGTGTTTATGTGTGTGTGTGTGTGTGTGTGTGTGTGTGTTTGTGTGTGTGTGTGTGTGTGTGTGTGTGTGTGTGTGTGTGCAGGTGGCAGGGTTATGAGAGGTTCGTTCCTGTTCACACTCTGAGCACTAACGGATGCCGAGATTGGGAATTCTTCACTTCCTCAGACGGATCCTACCTCATCTCCTCCAGCGCCAGACAGGCCCTGTCCAAGATCCTCAGACTCAGAACCTACTATCAGCACTGACCCGCTGCCAGTCCAGTTATCACTACACTAAAGCTGCATGCTAGAACTCTGTACTGGACACAGTAACGTCCAGTCATCACTACACTAAAGCTGCACATTGGAACTCTGAACTGGACACAGTGACGTCCAGTTATCACTACACTAAAACTGCACGCTAGAACTCTGAACTGGACACAGTAACGTCCAGTCATCACTACACTAAAGCTGCATGCTAGAACTCTGAACTGGACACAGTAACGTCCAGTCATCACTACACTAAAGCTGCACACTGGAACTCTGAACTGGACACAGTGACGTCCAGTTATCACTACACTAAAGCTGCACGCTAGAACTCTGAACTGGACACAGTAACGTCCAGTCATCACTACACTAAAGCTGCACACTGGAACTCTGAACTGGACACGGTAATGTCCAGTTATCACTAACCTAAAGGACAGTGGAATTAATTATTATTCATATTGTGCTTTTGTTGTTATTATAATTATTATTATTGTTGTTATTATTGTTGTTATTAATCTATTTGAGATGTTTTATTTTCTTCTCTCTGTTATTTATGAAGTACTTTTTCTATGCGTTTCAGGTCCATCAGCTCAAAGTGCTGAACGATAACACTGAAAAACAATCATTTCAAGCGAGATACAGTGCTGTGCAAAAGTCAGAGACCCCCTCACTAACTAAATTTACAGTTAAACCGGTCATTAAATCACTGTCTGGCCAAAATAAAGACACACACTAATATTTTGCTGGACCACCTTTAGCTGGTTATGCCGTGTATTCGGCATGGCTCTGTTTCAGCAGCCTCAACATCACTACATTTATTTCCATCCAGAGTTGCACTAACGTTGGAGATCTTGTACTGATGACAGGAGATTAAAGATAACCTGAGATAACAAGATAATTAACTTGTTATCTCAAGATAACAATCCAGAAAACTACCTTATGGCCTTTCTTGACTACGGAGCCCCGCTGTTGACATAATGTGTGGCCACGACTTAGTAAGGCATGGGAACAAGATAATTAGGTTGTGGCCACAATCAGACCTTAGAACCACTGTAGTACCTTTGAGGAACATTTACACTGTTTATAACTTGATGAAAGTAAAATGTACCTGAACAGAGCCTTTATTTCTAACAGTGTTCTGTTGGATCTAATCTGTGGTTGTTTATTCACTGTTACTCTGATCATCACACTGGCAGCTATCAATAATACTGCAAACTATTTATTCTTAAAGGGCCCATATTTATCGTCGCTGTCCAAAGAAAAACATGTATCTCCATCATTTGAGCTCAGCAGCTGCTCTTTACACTGAATGAGAAGGTCAGGATGAACGGACCAATAGAAATTCTCCAAAATTGCTTTCAATAAAATCTCTTTACATTGACTTACATTGAAAATAAGGAGTGTTTTTGCCCTCTTACTATTTTGGAGATACTTGTTTTTCTCTGGACAGTGACAATATGTAAATATGTTCATGTCTGTGATGTCACAGCCATGCTTTATATTTAAAAACAGGCTCTGTATGGACAGAGCAGTGAGTGGTCCTCTTTAACATGTTTACAAACTACATTCGACACTTTATTTTAAGAAGATAGTCAGTTTTCCATGATATGGGTCCTTTAACTCTCCTGTAATATTGTGTTTATTGTATTTATCTGTGCTATGATCTCTTCAGTGATGGGACACTCCTGCCTTTGAAGCTGCTACAGGTGCAGCTACATTTCTGACCACGGTGTCTTTGGTTTTCTCTCATATTTACTGTGTGTATTGATGTGTATGAAGCTATAAATGTATGTAGGTTTAGAATGAACAGGATATGATTATTATTTATTTATAAATCTGTAACATTGTGTGGTGAATGCGTCTGTGCTGGTCAGCTGTTGTTTATGTAAGACTGTAAGACTCTGACCTTCATCACAGAGTGAACCCTGACTTGTTATTTCACCTTTGAAGCTTTTCTGTTTGTGTTCTGTGAGTCTTGTTTGTTTCTCAGTAACAGATTATATTAATATCTGAGGAGCTTCACAAAGGCTTCAGTCTCAAAAGCACTGAAAAGACTCTACTGTAGTCCTCTGTATCTATATATATATATATATATATATATATATATATATATATATATATATATAGTTTTAACTACTGAGATTTAATCACAGAATAAATATTATTTTATTGTGTATAAATAACACAATAGCGCCCCCTATTGACAATAAAAAATCACTGAACTCCGGCTGACAATAACTCTTTATCGCCCTCTAGTGTCATAGCTTAATTTTTACACTGATTTTTGTCAGTTACTCTTGATCTTCAGCTCTCAAAACTGCAGTAAAGATGAAGTTATTAACACCACCGTCATGTAGGATAAACACAGATTCACAGATCAGCAGTAACATGAAACCACCTCCTTGTTTCTACACTCACTGTCCACTTTATCAGCTCCACTGACCACATAGTTTCACTTTGTAGTTCTACGGTTACAGACTGTAGTCCATCTGTTTCTCTGCATACTTTGTTACCCTGTTCTTCAGTGGTCAAGACCCCCACAGGACCCCCACAGAGCAGGTACTATTTGGGTGGTGGATCATTCTCAGCACTGCAGTAACACTGACGTGGTGGTGGTGTGTTAGTGCGTGTTGCGCTGGTACGAGTGGATCAGACACAGCAGGAATACACAGAGACCTCTGCTTTAGGGCCCTAACCTAACATAACCCTTAACTTAACATAGCCTATCACTCTTAAAAAGATGGTTCTTTACTAAAAACAGTGGTTCCATATAGAACCATGAACACTCAAAGAACCATTTACATGATTTAATGTTTCTCTGCATGGTGAAACGGTTCTTCAGATGATGGAGAATATGCTGTGGATGGTTCTATAGAGAACCTTTTTGAAAAAAGTTCTTCTATTGTTGCAAGTTTGACATTGTAACAATAAAAGAACCCTTTTGGTGCTATATAGAACCCATTTCAAAAAGGTTCTATATAGAGCCATAAGTAACATATTTTCCATCGATCTGAAGAACTCTTTCATGATGCAAAGAACCAGTTAATCATGCAAAAAGTTTTTTGAGTGTTAATGGTTTTAAATAGAACCATTTTCTTCACAAAAGAACCCTTGAACAACCATCTTTTTCCAGAGTGTAGCTGAGCCAAAACTGAAATCAGTGACTGAAAAAAAATTGATTGCAAAACATATCAAATGCTAAAAATAATAATAATCATAATAGTGAATTTAATAGTAAAAAACAATCAAATCAGAATAAACTATTACTAATAATTAATATTATTCAATATTTAAAAATAATATAAGTAAGTAATTAACAATAAATAATAAATAGAGATCAAATAGTAAGTGTGTACTTGTGCACAGGACATATAAAACAGCCTTTATCGCCTACATTAATTTTGTTTTGTGCACGGATAAAATATAATGTGCGCACTATTAAAAGAAAATGAGAGAACGGATTGTTAATCATGGGAACGAATTAAGAAATCGTGGCCACGAATAAAAGAAACCGTGCATACAAATTGCAAAACATTGCAATATTTTTACTCTCCTGTCTGTAGAAATATATATATTTTTTATTTTTAAGTTTCCGTAATTTTAATAACACCTTTTTCGCTCCATTTAAATTTCTGAAATGGACAAATTCAGTGTCAATTTCAATAAAATTAAAACGGCCGCAGACCCCGCCCACATCGTACATACGCCACGCCTGTGTCGCGCAAACGCCCCGCCTACTCCCAGTGAGACAGGCGGGCTGAGCAGGCGCTGTAGCGGAGGGTAAACACGCTGCGCTGCTCCGGTTGCGGACAGTAACCTGACTTTTCTGCCTTTTATTCCTTCTCTCTGCTTCTTTCTCCCTCTTTTCTCCGTCTGTACCGGAGAAATCATCATGAGTGACGCCGGGAGGGAGTTCGCCGAGCGGGTAATGGACCTCAGTAACGGTTAAACGCGCTTAAGTTAGTCGCTTCTTGGATGTTTTGCTTGTGTATCACTATCAGGCGAGCGCTGAGGCTGTTCATGTACTAAATGCGGCTGTATCTGCTGCTGTATATGAAGTTATATGTCGTATATTTTATGATTGTGTTAATTTGTGCTTTTAAATGTGAGCTATTTTAGGCCAGCTCGCCAGCGTCTTGTTCGAATTGTCCGTTCCACCTTAAAGAGGCGCTGCTGCACCGTTTAAGGTGGAACGGAACATTCGAACAAGAAGCCAACTAAAGCCTCGCTGTTCAGTTTTCGAGGTTTAACCAGCACAGCGGGATAAATAAAGTGAAAATAATGCCATAACTGTTTAATTCTGATGCTGTTCTTTGCTTAAACTCCGAAATTGAACCCGTTTAGCTTAGCTTTAGCTTTAGCTTTAGCTTCAGCTCCGCCTGCATTTCTAACTAGCTTAGCTGCACTTTGTGCTTAATGTACCACACGAGCAGAAGGACACAGTTCGAGTGTTTTTTCGCCTAATTACAGCTTTAACGTTGTCCTGTATGGTGGAGATTATGCCAGTCAGTCGCCCTGATCAGAAATCCTGATCAGAAATAGGTTAATTGTTTTATTTTTAGCTTAGCTTAGCGTAAGCGCGACAGGCCTGAACCCGCAGCCACACTCACACATCGCCGTGTTTAAAGGGGAAATACACTTATTTAACAAACCTTCTGCATAACTCAGTGTTTGAGATGTGAACAGAGTCATTCAGAGTGGTTTGGTGTAAAATGCTCCATTTTAGAGAAACTTATCATTTCAGATGTCTTTACAGTGGTGCTGATAGGAACCAGGGGTCGCCATGACTACAACACAAATATGGACATTTTATTTACTCTCCAGAACCACCAGTGAACCTACACGAGTCTTCTGAGTTTATATGGAATGTTTACTAAAACTAGCAGTGAAAAAAATGATCTTGCTAACTGACAAAAAACAAAAAAAAAACAGTTTTCAGACACAAAAACTGAATTAAAACTGTACTGTCCTCTGCCAAACTAACTAAAACAAATCTGAATGCCTGAGAATAAACCTTTAGTTTTTATTTTTTTCCAGTGGTAATGAGAGTTTAGGAGTGTGTTAGTGTGTTCACAAGGAAAGCTGGAGCCGAGCTGAGCTCAGTCTGCTGCTGTGATCATTATATTCCAGTCTGATCAAAGACCAGCTGTCACAGCGCTGACAACTAAAACTGAAACAGAAACTAAACTAAAACTGTCACTTTTAAGAGAATTAACACAAAACTAAAATGTTAAAGCACCATTAAGACTAACTGAAACTAAGCTGGAGTCAAAAACCAAACAGAAAAGCTAAATACAAGCTATAATAACCTGGTTGATGATGATAAAATAGTGATGAATATGGAAAAAAAGTTTTCTTTTTGCTTCACGACGTCCTGCTTGTATCCATCATGAATGGATTAAAATATTCATTTTAGACCAAAATCTTTTCAAAACTTTAGTAAAGCACTGAGTGCATTTACATGCACTTAATAATCCGATAACTGCAGAAAATCAGATTCTGTCAGTAATCCGATCAACGCGTTTACATGCACTTGAGTAATCAGATAATGGGGAAACTCCAGGTCTACATGAGTCAGACAGTAATCAGATTTCTGCTTTACAACCAGCCAATAAACTCACCAAAGAAGACGTGACGTAAAGGTAACATAAAACTCTTTGCTGCAAAACTTCATGCTGCAACTTTTAAAAACATCACGTTGCTCTATCTGAAAATATGAACATACATCATCTAGAAGATGAAGAATATTTAAGTCCTTCATTTCATGTTTGGTTTCAGTGTCGCTTCAAAAGTGTTTTGCTGCGTCTCACAGTGACGCTGCTCACTTATTTCCGGTGCCGCTGTCTGTTTTCACACATGCTCAGACCGAGAAATATGAAAGAAATCAGAGTAAGAGTTTACAGCACTGAGAAATCTGGTTACTGAGCTAAAATCCAGCCTCTTTATCAGATTTCTAGATCTGAGTATGGTGTTTACATGACCATTTGAATAATCAAATAACTGCAGAAATCCGATTATGATCGGATTATTGATCATGTAAATATACTCAGTGTCTCAGTCATCAAGCAGTGAATTCATAACCGTTTCATGTAGGAACTTTCTGTGAGGGAGCTTTTAGAGGTGGACGTCTGGTTCCTATCACCACCTCTGTGAACAGTTCTGACTCGGTAAGTTTCTCTAGAACGGAGCGTTTCACACCAAACCACTCTGAACCGCTCTGAACCACTCTGTTTACATCTTAACCAGTTAATTATGCAGAAATTTTGATATATCATTGGAGTTCCCCTTTAATGCTACTACATGTGAGTGAATGTTGTGATTTGCTGCTTGTATTTTACCCCAAATTATAAAGTAATATTCATTAATATCCAGTAACGGTCAGTTATATTAATAGCTCCAAGGTTCAGGATGATCAGAAATGAAATGTAGTCCCCTCCGACTCACCTCACACTGTTATCACTCATGAGAATTTACACAAAAATGAAAGAAAGAACAAAAATCAAGACTCTTGTGATGTGTAGTGTTGCACATTCTTCATCCTTTTCTTTTTTTGTCAAGGTGTATGGTTGGAAGAGGAGAATGCTGGACGAAGTCAGATGAAGTTGTTAATGAAAATGTGTTGAAGCTCAGATGTGTGAAGCTGAATTGTCAATGCATGCTAATAATGAGGCGGAGAAAGAAGTTCCCAGATGTAGCATTAATGAAGTCAGAGGAAAGAAGTCAGACATGAGGTTGAAACTGAAGAAAGAAGAAGAGATGTGTGTTGAAGTAATGAAGTTAAGATGAGAAGTTATCTGGATTAAGATCGCAGCGCTAAGTAACTATTAGTATGTTTTGTCCCATGCGTGCATGCACACTGTTCATGTTCTCATTTGTTTACATTGATTCCAAACATATTTCTTGCTGATTATTTTTAATTGATTAGCTACTCTGCTGTAACAGTATAATTGATTCATGTTTAATGTTTATTAAATATGTTTTTATCTTAATTAAAATGGAATTCAGCCTGAATGTTTTTGTATCTCAGGGTCATGTAGGCTAGACGGGCCTTTAGTGGGCCAGACCAGGGTGCGAATTACAGGGGAGGGTGGTCTGAGGGGGGCTCCCAGTTCACACTCTAACTCCCCAGAAGGAAGTAGGACAAAAGGTTGAGGAGGTGGTTCCTAATATTACTTGTACTAGATCATTTTAATATGAAACACTGAGATGTAGATCCTGATCTGTTCAGGTTCTACAGTTCTAAGCACCCCTACAGTGGGCTGCACCATCTCTGAACCGCTGATAGTTCCTCAGTTGACTCTGTTCATTGCTGTGTTCATTATCATGAAGACTTCAGTCTTATGTCTTATAAGTTAATTAATATTAATATAATTAATATAACTATTAATATAATTTTATATATATAATACATTTTTTCTCACATCTGCTAAATGGTTCTTTGCCTGTAGAAAATGGTTCTCCTGATTGGTGGAGTGTTGTAGATCATTCTGTATAGCACCAAAAAGGGCTCTGCTATTGTGACAATATCAAGCTTGTACATGCTTAAAAAGATGGTTCTTCAAGGGTTCTTTAGTACAGGGAATAGGTCCATTTAGAACCATGAACACTCAAAGAACACTGCATGACAAAATGTTTCTTTATATTGAAGGAGAATGCACTGTAGATGGTTCTGTATAGCACCAAAAAGGGTTCTGTTATTGTGACAAACTTGTACGCACCTAAAAAAAAAAAAGATGGTTCTTTAAGGGTTCTTTATTAAAGACAATGGTTCTGTATAGAACCTTCTTTTTCCATGGTGAAATGGTTCTTCAGATTGCTGGAGTATATATTATATATTGAATTATATATATATATATATATATATATATATATATATATATATATATATATATATATATATATATGTATAGGGTATATATTGAAAATGGTTCTATATAGCACCTAAATGGGTCCTGCAATTGTTGTGATGCCAAACTTGTACCAATAGCAGAACCCTGTTTGGTGCTATATAGAACCATACACAGCACATTTCCCATCAGTCTCAAGAACTATTTCAGCATGCAAATGGTTGTTTGAGTGTTCAGTTCTATATAGAACCATTGTGAAAAGTGTTTTATGTAGCGTCCAAACAGGTTCTGCCATTGTTATGATGTCAAGCTTGTAACAGTAGCAGAACCCTTTTTGGCGCTATGTAGAACCATATACTGCACATTCTCCATCAATCTGAAGAAGCATTTTACCATACAAAGAACTCTTTAATCAGGCAAATAGTTCTTGGAAAGTTTGTGGTTCTATATAGAACTATTTTCTTTATGAACCATCTTTAAGAGTGTACCTAAGTGCCTAGCTTGCTGGTGAAGCCGGTTCCCTCCACTTTTGCTATTGACTCTAGTTAAAATATAGAAGGTGCTTCGTTTCATAAGAACTGGGTAGAATTCACTGCATGAAATTCTGTGTATTGAATAAAATGAAACTGCAACGTTAATAAGTGTGAAAGTTTGGCAGCTTGATATCATCGTTTCTGCTGTGTAAGAGCAGCTCAATTAGGGCTGAAAGGTTAATCGTTTTTAAATCACAATCGCAATTTAAGAAAATGAAATTTTCAAATCACGACATAATTTTTTACATTTATAGTCTACGTTATCAAAAGCACTATCAAAAAAGTTCTAAGAGTGGAAATTTAACCTTATAACACAGTTTATACTGCCTGTAGAGTTAGACCAATCAGAGGCAACCAAACCTCCATCTGTTGTGACATTACAACCACAACCTACTGGCTGTCTGGAACGCTACGTTAAGGGGTCGTGCCTCAAACCAGAAAAAACAGGTCTGAACCTCAATTTATAGAAAAAACTCAATTGCAGTCGCAATATTAGAAAAATCACAATGAGATGTTCTCCCCAAATCGTTCAGCCTTAGCTCAAATGAACCACCTAGGTTTTTTCTGACTGGAGAACATTACACTGCAGCTTTAACATGAGTCTCAGCAGCTGAGAGAACATGACAGTGATTTTAGTCCCAGCTGCTTTAGCCACTGTGGCTAAACACAGGTGAAGGTGTTTGTTTCACTGTTGCTATTAAAGAGCTACATTGCCTTAATTAGCCATATTTCAGTATCTAACTGATCCGGCTCCTGAAAGACTAGCTGTGTGTTGTTGGTGCAGCTCACTGAGACACAGATCTGTAATATTATGTAAGTAGGGACCCTGTATGGTCACTGTGAGGGGACATGGCTGACCCTCCTGAGGGTCCCTGTAATCCGCACTCTGGTCTAGCTGGACGTTAATGGACACTGTGAGTTTGCTGGACGTCTCCTCTGCCTGTGCGGTGCTGAGGCTCTCTCTCTGCGCCCGCTTTAGGAGTCGCGCTCGGGCTCCAGGAGTTTGAGTCCGAGGGGCTCTCACAAATCCACCAGCCGCTCCCCGGCCCACTCTCCTGCCCGCTCAAAGCAGGGCTCGCACCACTCCCGCTCCAAATCCCGCTCGCGCTCCAGGTCCAAGTCCGGGTGAGCACCGCATTGATTCATCACTTTAATTGTCAAATAAAGATCACACATCAGATACACCCAGCCACACACATATAGTCAGTCACCCATGACATGTTTGGTGTCTGAAATGTGCTTCTTTAGTTTTATGAGGCTATTGTAGCTGAAGAGTAATGGAAGCATAGACGCCACCTATTAGCCTGGTGCTAACTGCAGGCCTAAATGACACTGTCTGATACACTGTTATCTATAAACATGGACTAAAGTACATTAGCATAGCTAAACACAGCAGCAGCTCCAGCTTCAGACTTTAATTCAAGAACTTCAGAATCTGCATTACAGAAACAACCCATCTTTAGTCCTAAGTTAGGATCTGAACATGAATCTAAATGCAAGTTTGGTAGCTAGACAGGTACTGTTTTCATATAGGTGGGTGTGGGTGTGTGTGTGTGTGTGAATGTATATATAAATACATGTATATATGTGTGTAAAATGTGTGTGTGGAGAGAGAGAGAGAGAGATATAACTACTGTCAGGACAAAACCTACAAAAAATTCAAGGTTTTCTGTCTCCATTTTTGTCGTTTTTCATTTTTTGACATTTCATGATGAATGGACCAAAAGAAATGGTCCAAAATTATTAAAATTACAAATATTTCTCTGTTTACTTCCATTAAAAGTTAAGAATGTTTTTCCTTCGCCTGTAAAGTCACCGTTTCGGAAATACAAAGTTTTGTTCTGACAAGAGCTAAATATATAGCTACAGGCCTTATATGCCTTTTTCTCAAATGTTCCTCTAAATCACTCAAAGAGAGGAAGTGTAAACTCTGTCTGTATCAGAGCTTAAAGAGTGATGTGAGAATACTGAAATATGTGAATGTGTAACGGCTGATAACAGGTGGCAGTTTCACACATTCCTGAGTGAACTGTTCAGTGCTGAATTTAGTGTTGAGTTAATTCCTGGTTTATCCAGAAGTGGGTGCGGTTGTTCACAGCTGATGTTTATTTGAGAAAATCAGGTCTATGTAACCGTTTCAGATGTCAAGTTTGCTGTAGAGTTAAACTAATCATAGAAAGATCAATGAAAAATGTTTTCAGTTATAGTTAAAGGTCCTTTTTGACTCATTCTGACTGCAGGTACTTTATTTTTTAAGCAATATTGGTACTGTTAGCAATAAAACAGCTTTTTTCATACATAGAAAAGCAGCTCAGAGTTCGACGTATTTAAATAAAACAGGGAATATCAGACAGTAGAATTAGAAGTTAAAAGGATGTGCTTGTTTAGCAGGTTGTAAAAGGAAAAATCAGTCAAACAGAAACTGAAGTCAATAAAAATTTAAAAAAGCGTTTAACAAAATAGTGGATTTTTGTGCCAGTTTGTTGTTAAAGTAGTTTCACTGATTCTGCCTGTTCTGTTCTGTTCTGCCTATTTTTTAAATTAGTTTTCTCTCCTCCTCCTTCAGATCCCGTTCCCATCGGAGCTCTCGGAGGCACTATTCCCGTTCCCGCTCTCGTTCCCGCTCTCGCCGCCACCGTTCCCGCAGCCGCTCCTACAGTGGAGATTCCAGACGCAGGCGGAGCCACAGCCGCTCGCCGATGAGCAACCGCAGACGACACGTCGGGAACAGAGTAACAATAACTTTACATCAGCTCACTGTATCTAGAACCAGGTTTTAAAGAAATTAACACACAGAACAAGGTTCTAAAAATTTAGCATTCAGAATGAGGTTCTAAAGAAATTAACATCCAGAATGAAGTTCTAATGAAATTAACGTCCAGAATGAAGTTCTAATGAAATTAACGTCCAGAATGAAGATCTAATGAAATTAACGTCCAGAATGAAGTTCTAATAAAATTAACGTCCAGAATGAAGTTCTAATGAAATTAACGTCCAGAATGAAGATCTAATGAAATTAACGTCCAGAATGAAGTTCTAATAAAATTAACGTCCAGAATGAAGTTCTAATGAAATTAACGTTCCGAATGAAGTTCTAATGAAATTAACGTTCCGAATAAAGTTCTAATAAAATTTATACCCAGAATGAAGTTCTAATGAAATTAATATCCTGAATTAAGTTTTATTAGAACGTAACCAGAAAAGTTGAAGTACTGAATAAAGCATCTGTAAATGCTTTACTGTATAGTGTATTAAACATTGTATACATTGTTTAAGTTATAACTGTATTTAAATATTAATGAGTCTAAACTTGAACAGTAGTGTAAATTAGTTGTTGTAACTGCTGTAGCTGTAGTTTCTGCTCCATGTCTGTGACTGAGTGATTGTATATATTGAGTTTCTGAACCGTCTCTGTCTGTCTGTCTCTGTCTGTCTCTGTCTGTGTCTGTCTGTCTCTGTCTGTATCTGTCTGTGCCTGTCTATGTCTGTCTGTGTCTGTCTGTCTCTGTCTGTGTCTGTCTGTCTCTGTCTTCGCTGTCTGTGTCTGTCTGTGTCTGTCTGTGTAGGCGAACCCTGACCCGAACCCCTGTCTGGGCGTGTTTGGTCTGAGTCTGTACACCACAGAGAGGGACCTGCGGGAGGTTTTCTCCAAATACGGCCCGCTGGCAGACGTCTGCATCGTCTACGATCAGCAGTCCCGCCGCTCGCGGGGCTTCGCCTTTGTGTACTTCGAGAACAGAGAGGACGCACAGGAGGTCAGTTTAGCTCCGTTCTTTAAAGGTTTGTTAGCTCTACACACAGCAGAAACCACAGGATAGTCCAGTTTCAGTACAACATCAGATCAGAGAAACACGTTTAACCTTAGAATCTTGTCCAGAGGGACTTTTTTACTCGCAGCACCTCTAAATTAAAGACATCACACTAACGTTCCGCACTGCTGACCGTTATGGAGACTTTGCCGTATTTCATGTTTTGGATGGCATGAGTCGTGTCCGTTTATATCCCTACACCATTGAAAATATGTTTATTCTAGATATTAGAGCTGCAGATGCTTTTAGAGTTCAGAGAATATGTAAATATATAATGGCTGATGCCGGGTGGCCGAGGGCCAGATGTTTATGTTCATCATTACATTAGTTAGAGTTGAGTTAGAGTGAGCTAATTCCAGGTTTAACCAGAAGAGGGCGCTGTCTGCAGTTAGAATGTAAATTTGGAGCTTGTTTTCACAGCTGAGAAAATATCATGTACAAGAGCTTCTAGAGCTGCGAGGTTAAATCTTGTGCTAGACAGAGTTTATTTGTATAATTTTCTGCTAATGAAAATAAGTGTTTGGCAGTATATTAAAAAAGAAATACAATGTGTAAAAAAATGGTGAATAACAAATGATGGGCTAAAAAATTTACACTCTACAGTACATTAAGATAGAAGGAAAATAAAAGCAATAAAGTAAATTAAATATAGCTGCAGGTTTCAGCCTGTGGGCCGCAGCCCCCCAGTCGGCTGTGATGGTATTGCTAGGGAGCTTTTGGCAGTCATTTATTACATAGACATAGACAAATACATAGACGTTTAACCATTAAAAATTTCGATCGGGCTCAGTGACTGGTCTTGCAAAAATGCATGACTGATGTATCTGACATAGTTAACTAGATATGTATGTTTTTAGTGAAAGTCAATGCAGAACATTTCTATTTTTGACCATATCGAATGCTTTCATCATGGATAAATGGGCACAAACAGAAATGTAGGAGTTTTTTGGTGTTTGTCAGTCAGTTGAAGTTCAGTAAGCTACGTTCATTGCTGAGTTATATTTGCTGTATCGTATTTGGTTAAACCTACTGCTGCAAAAGCTTTTGTGGTGAGTTTTGCGGACCATGAGTTGCGAAAAGTTGGGAATCCCTAAAATATAGGATTATATATGTAATAGGGACAGGCAGTTTGGCAGTATTTTATTGTTATGGTGATAAGTTGACCCAAAATGCATTTCTGAGTATATTGTAGATATCGTCTGTGTCTACAGAAGACTGAATAATTAAATGTTTCATCACAAAGTGAGCTTAATTAGGCCTGTTTAAATGGATTTAGTGCATTACAAGTTTGTAAAACATTAAATAGAAATTATTGTAGTGGTAGATTTGTTTTGTTGTTATTGTTGTTATTATTATTATTATTATTATTATTATTATTATTATAGTGTGTTTAAATGTGGCACTACAGGTTCTGTTTTGTCTGTTCCAACTTATTAAATCTCAGAAAAACTGAATCTCATGATGCATATCATGTATTGAAGTATCGTGATATATTTCTTGCCTTATCGCCGACCCCTAATATGTGATCCCAAATCAAATACATCGAGTTCTGTGTTTGTTGATGTGACGTCGTGTCCCGTTTCCAGGCCAAAGAGAGAGCGAACGGGATGGAGTTAGACGGCCGCAGAATCCGGGTGGACTTCTCCATCACAAAGAGACCCCACACCCCGACCCCCGGCATCTACATGGGCCGACCCACATAGTGAGTGTTTAACCTCCTGCCTCATTAACATAGTGTGAACATGCACTGACGGGTCAGTGTTAAGGTGGTGCTTAGCAGCATCGGATAATCTGTAATAGGAATGTTCAGTACAGCGTGAGATTCATCGTTCGTCCTGAATAAGGTTCTCAGGCTGTTTCTGCAAGCTTAATGTGTGTTTGTGTGTGTGTGTGTGTGTGTGTGTGCGTGCGCTGCAGTGGCGGAGGCCCCAGCATGAGCCGACGCCGCGACTACTACGACCGCAGCTATGACAGAGGCTACGATCGGTATGACGACAGGGATTACTACAGCAGGTCGTACAGGTGAGGCGGCACAGGGCTGAGTGGACAGAATAACGGAAACGGTGTCTCCTAGTTTCTCAGCATCATCCTGAAGTTTTGACCAGCATTCAGAAATCCAGATCCACCTTTTTAGGTTGTTATTTAACAGAGCCGTTTGACAGAGTGTCCCACATATGTCTTAAAAACTTCATGAAGCCCACCTAAGCTATAAATTTACAGAAATTTTGTAACATTATTAATATTCTGAACTTTTAGAATTAGGTAAAGATTTACTATATAGTATGTATAACAAGCCTGCATTTCCTTGCGCATCTTAACACTGAGAGATCAGTTAAAAACAGGACTTTAGTGCAGTCTTATAAAGAAATTCTTCTTACACGTCACTAAATCAGAATCAGCGGGAGTGGAAGGGAGAATAGGAGTGTTGAGAGGCTGAAGGTTCTGCCTCCAGCAGATACAGAAGCTGAGAGTTGGGTCAGGGAACTGAGGGTAAATGAGTGAAATGGAGGGTTTTATAATGAGTGTTTGCTGTCTTTCAGGAGAAGATCTCCATCTCCGTACTACAGCCGCGGTGCGTACCGCTCCAGATCCCGCTCTCGCTCCTACTCTCCCCGTGAGTAACAGAACACTGTCTACATCCTGAATACCAAAACACTACATACATTCTGAATTAAAGAACCCTGCCCACACTCCCAGTCCCAAAATACTACTACAACTCAAATCCCAGAGTGACAACTATATTGCAAAATGCTTATATTCCCAAAACGCTACATACGTCCCCAATCCTCAAACAATGCTTATGTCCCCAGTCCCAAAATGGCAACTATATTTTGAATCCCAAAACGTTGCCGATGTCCTGAATCCCAAATCATGCCCATGTTCCGAATCCCTCAGCATTGCATACGTCCCCAGTCCCAACAAAGCCACCTGCAACTCGGGTCCCAAGCGCTGCAAGTCCCAAGCCGTGCCTATGCCCCAACCCCAAAAAACAGCCTTTGTTTCTAGTCACAGTCCCAAAACATCCCAAAATGCAGTCTGTGCCCCCAAACCCAAATGCTGCCCAAGTCCCCAATTCCAAAACACCAGCTTTATCCCAATTGAGCTGAATATTGAGTCCCAAAACGTCGAATTCCTCCCTGATCCTAAAATGCTGCCTGCATTCCCAATTCCAATTGCCAGTGTCCCCACAGTCTATATCCCCAATCCCACAACACTGTGTAGATCCTCATTCCCAGAACGCACTCTACATCCCCAATCCCACAACACTGTGCAGATCCTCATTCCCAGAACACACTCTACATCCCCAATCCCAAAACACTGTGCAGATCCTCATTCCCAGAACGCACTCTACATCCCCAATCCCACAACACTGTGCAGATCCTCATTCCCAGAACACACTCTACATCCCCAATCCCAAAACACTGTGCAGATCCTCATTCCCAGAACGCACTCTACATCCCCAATCCCACAACACTGTGCAGATCCTCATTCCCAGAACACACTCTACATCCCCAATCCCAAAACACTGTGCAGATCCTCATTCCCAGAACACACTCTACATCCCCAATCCCACAACACTGTGCAGATCCTCATTCCCAGAACGCACTCTACATCCCCAATCCCACAACACTGTGCAGATCCTCATTCCCAGAACGCACTCTACATCCCCAATCCCACAACACTGTGCAGATCCTCATTCCCAGAACGCACTCTACATCCCCAATCCCACAACACTGTGTAGCTCCTTATTCCCAAAATACAGTCTACATCCCCAATTCCAAAATGCTGTCTGCATCTCCATTTCCAAAACATCATCTTTGTCTTCAATCCCAATGACACTGCATATGCCGCCAATTCCAAAACAGTGCCCAGGTCAGCAATCCTGGAATGCTGCCTGCTTCCATTATAGAGTAACACACTCTGGCGCTGAATATCTGTGTGTTTATGTGAACTTCTCTGTTTTCCCACAGGTCACTACTGAAAATCTGATTTTTTTGTGTTTTGCCCCTGAAGAAGATTGAAGATGAAGAATGAAGATGATAATGAAGATGATGATGATGACAGTGTTTATTATATATTTTTTTTAATTCATTGAATGTCAGATGAGTTTATGTTTCAGCTCAGTAAAAGTCATTTTCATGCAGCTGAGTTTGAGTTGATGCCCTAAGCCTGTCATGGTTCTTTTGCACTCTTTGTTTTTTTTTTCCATCCAGTTTTAATTTGGATGTCTGAGCTGTTTGTTCTTTAAGGTGCTGGAGTCCAGAGCGATGGCCGCTGTGCCCCCTGCCCTTCAAATTCATATCTTTTGTGTTTTAAAGTTAAAGTTAATGTTATTATCACAATAAAATCCACTTCACGCCACAGATCGTGTCTCAGATCCTCATCTTTACTTCAGCTTCTCCTGCAGGATTCTGAAGCGCTGCAGTTCAGCAAGACCTGTTACTGGGTGGAGCTTTTAGCAGATAACCAATCACAAAACTGTTTGATGTGAAATATTACTTCAAATATTCTTACAAATCTGAGTTCCACAGGCAAAAAATTTGTCACCTTGTGTGTTTAAGTAACTGGTAGTAACTTCAGTTTCAGTTTAAGTAAGTGGTAGTAACTTCAGGCTCCTGCAGATGGCGCTGCACAAGGATGATCGGGCTATAAATACCTGTGAGGTCTTCGACGGGATTCACGGATTGAGAAGAGGTGGTACAGTGCAGGCAATATCTCGTTCAATGTGTGGAAAATGGGTAGCAAAGGAGATATTAATGATCGGCAAAAAGGAGTGATTGTATTTGGGCAGCCAAAGGCCACAGTATAAAGGAAGTAGCTGAATTTGCAGGTGTATCGAAGCGTACGGTCATACGGGTCAACCAGCAGTGGCAAAAATCGGAAAAAAAGCATGAAATTCTCGTCAGAATTTTAGACGAAAGACAAAACTGACAGGGACCGCCGGCCAATGCAGGTCCTTCACAACCAATTTCTGAAAGAACCTCCGCAGGGAACAGCATACCATGAACATATGGAGCAGAGCAGCATGCAAGAGGCCTTTGATCACTTCTGCTCACAGAGTTGTCCGGTTACAGTGGACGAAGAGACACAAACACTGGACTGTTCATGACTGGAAACGTGTTATCTGGTCAGATGAGTCTCGTTTCTGCCTGTGTGTGAATGATGCTCAGCGTCGTGTTCATCGTAGACCTCAGGAAGCCTTCAATGAGGACTGTGTGCAGGTGTGGTTCAAGGTTCTGTGATGTTCTGGGGATGTTTTAATTATGCAAAAATGGGTTCTTTGGTTGAGGTGACAGTAAATTTGAACCACAGTGCCGACATTGAGCTGCGGGACAACCAGATTTTGCCTTTTGCTCATCATCTCACCAAGGAATATAACATTCCCATCCCTGTATTCCAAAATGACAATTCTCGTGTTCACAGGGCTGCAGATGTGACTGATTGGCATGATGAACGTTCAGAAGCGTTCACACATCTGGACTGACCTCCAAAATCCCCACATTTGAATCCTCTTGAAAATCTGTGGGAACAACGAGGAAGACTCCAGGGAAGGATCCACAAAATCTGGCAGAACTGAGCAATTCTTTGATGTAAGTGTGGCTAAACATTGATGTCGCCTATGTCCAAAAACTTATCCAGTCCATGCCGAATCAAATCCCAGCTGTTATTCATGCTCGTGGAGGTATTACATGCTATTTCTTCAGTAATAAAATTGAGTTGATTAGGCACAAAATTCAAAATGTGCAGCATTGCAGTGCAGCGTCCTATAAACCTAATCTAGATCTGGAGTGCAGAATAACCACTACAGAGACGCTGAAGTCTTTTACTTTACTCCAACAAACAGAGCTCGTCCAAATTATTTCATCTTCAAAAACAACAACCTGTATACTAGATCCAATTCCTACAGGTTTACTTAAAGACGTTTTGCCAGAAATAACCAAACCTTTTCTATCTATAATAAACTCTTCTCTCAGCCTCGGCTATGTTCCAAAGTCTCTTAAATTAGCTGTAATTAAACCCTAATTAAGAAACCCAGTCTTGACCCCTCTGAGTTATCAAACTATAGACCTATTTCAAATCTTTCCTTTTTATCAAAAATTTTAGAGAAAGCTGTGCCAAAACAATTATGTTCCCATCTGCATAGGAGTGATATACATGAAAAATTTCAGTCTGGCTTCAGGCCTCACCATAGTACTGAAACAGCGTTAGTGAAAATTGTAAATGATCTTTTATTATCCGCTGATAAAGGAAACATATCCCTACTGGTTTTACTCGATCTTAGTGCAGCTTTTGACACAATAGACCATTCCATTCTATTAGACAGGCTTGAGAAACTAGTAGGAGTGACAGGTAAAGCTCTTTCACAGTTCAAATCTTACCTTAGTGATCGCTTTGAGTTTGTTAATGTAAATGGTGAACCATCAGCTCTCACAAGAGTAAAGTATGGTGTTCCACAGGGCTCTGTCTTAGGACCCATGTTATTACCTTATATATGCTACCACTAGGTACCATCATTAGAAAACGTGGCATCAGCTTCCACTGCTACGCCGATGATACACAATTATATATTTCAGCTAAACCAGAGGACAAAATTGACCTTAATAAGATAGAGGACTGTGTAAAAGACATTAAAGACTGGATGTCAAGTAACTTCCTCTTACTAAATTCGGACAAAACAGAAGTCCTTCTTCTTGGTCCAAAAGCTGCTAGGGATAATCTGCCTACGTTTACTCTTAATCTCGATAGTTTCTCAATTGCACCAGGCACATCTGTAAAAAGCCTTGGTGTCACGATTGATCCCAGTCTGGCCTTCGATGAGCATATTACCAATATTACCAGAATAGCTTTCCTCCACCTGCGTAACATTGCTAAATTAAGAAATGCACTGTCGCTACAGGATGCAGAAACGTTAGTTCACGCCTTCATCACGTCCAGGTTAGATTACTGTAACGCTCTGCTTTCTGGTTGTTCCAGCCAAAACCTTAACAAGCTTCAGTTAGTCCAGAACGCTGCAGCCAGAGTTCTCAGCAAAACCAGGAAATTCGACCCCATTAGCCCAATTTTGTGTACCTTACATTGGTTGCCAGTTAAATTCCGCATTGAGTACAAAATTCTTCTACTGACATATAAAGCTCTGAATGGCCTTGCTCCTCAGTACCTCAGTGACCTTATCTCCTATTATCAACCGACACGCCCACTTAGATCACAAGGTGCTGCTCATTATTAGTACCCAGAATAAATAAAGTTACGTCAGGGGGAGGAGCCTTTTCATACAAAGCCCCCCAGGTTTGGAATAACCTACCAGTCTGTGTCCGGGACTCAGACACAGCCTCCATCTTTAAGTCTAGGCTAAAAACGTACCTGTTTAGTCGAGACTTTGGTTAATTAGTTTTCCTAACTATGTCCCTCTTTTCTCTGTAAAGCTACTTTGTGACAACATCTGTTGTAAAAGGCGCTGTATAAATAAATCTGACTTGACTTGACTTGACTATTAGGTACGTTTGTCACAGGTGACTAATTTTTTGTCCGGTGAGCTTATTATTGTGGTTAAAGTAATGCAGACCAACCCTTTTAACTGTGCAGTATCAAGGCCTTGCAGTTGTTTTTAATATATATAGGTGTATCATTATCACAGTTATAGTGTATAGCACCAGAAGTGCAGTGTGATGTTTTGTATCATGCAGCTCTGCTGCAGCATCAATACCAGTGATTGGATTATGACCAGTATTATATGATTTGATCATATTAATGCCGTGATGTCAGCAGTCTTTGCCAATGACGTTAAAAGTGTTTTTTGTTTGTTTATTGACAGTGGACTCTACTTGCTTCTGGAGCAGCTCAGGTTTAGCAACATGCCATAATTCTCATCAATACTATTAACACTAATCAGTGTTACTCAATCTACTCAATGCGGTACTCAGTAATACTTATTGATACTAAATAATACATGTCGACAAAATGTGGTGCTCAGTAATACTTAGCAGTACTAAATACCTGTTGACACTCAACGTGGTAATCAGTAATACTCATCAGTAGTAAATAATGCCTATCAACACTCAACGTGGTACTCAGTAATACTCATCAGTACTAAATTGTACCTGTCAACACTCAGTACCCATCAGTACTCAATAATACTCAGTAATGCTCTTCACTACTCAGTAATAAGTCTCATCATACCAATACTCATTCATATGCAACAGAATCTCAAAACGTTGCCTTTGCCCCCATCGGCCCACCGGCACTACACTTCTATATCCTAAGAATAGCTCATCCAGTTTGTATTGAAGTCCCTGTCATTACTGGATAATAAGCCTTAGTATGTAATAAACCTGGGATTCTAAGAGGTTAAACTATAAAACTATTTTCCATCATCAACATTCCATATAGACTCAGAAGACTCGTGTAGGTTCACTGGTGGTTCTGGATAGTAAATAAAATGTCTATATCTGTGTTGTAGTCATGGCGACCCCTGGTTCCTATCACCTCCACTGTAAAGACATCTGAACCATTTCACACCAAACCTCTCTGAATGACTCTGTTTAAATCTCACACACTGAATTATGGAGGAATTTGGGAAAATGTGCGGAATTCCCCCTTAACACTCCAGTGTGAGAGCCACTGTCACTCTGACCCGACTGTTGGGGAATAAGAGAGGCTTTACTGTGTGTTAGGCTCTGTTGGGGTTTGTGGTGGGCGGTGCTGGTGGGCGTTTCTCAGAGTGTACAGCAGAGCTGCACAGCTCCTCCTCACTCTGCCTTCACTTTACTCGTTTATACTGTCTACTTCCTCTCTGTTCTCTGAAGCTTGGCCCGGCCCCGGTGTGGGTCACTGCGGGTCTCTGCGGGTCTCTGCGGGTCACTGGGTGAATGTCATGCCTAAACTGTATGTGGGGAACCTGAGCTCGTCTGTCACGACGGAGGATCTGCAGCGGCTCTTCCACCAGAGGAAGCTGCCCAAAGCCCATCAGGTCCAGCTCAGACAGGGACATGCTTTCGTGGACTTTCCTGACCACAACTGGGCCATAAAGGCAATAGAAACACTGTCCGGTGAGTGCAGCACTGTATAGGTGTGCACAGCATGCATATACATTATATAATATTTATATATATATATATATATATATATATATATATATATATATATATATATATATATATATGTATGTTTATATATAGCATGCATATGTATTGTTTATATGGGTATATATAAATATAACTTTACATACATATACATGTACATATACAAACAATGCATATGCATGCTATAAATAATATACACATATAATGCAATAGCATATATATCATACATATGCTTTGCATAGAGAGAGAGCATGCATATGCATTGTTTGTACACACACACACACACACACACATATATATATATATATATATATATATATATATATATATATATATACAAACAATGCATAAGCATGCTATACATACATATACACATATAGATAGCATGCATATGAATTATATCTACATGAGTGTTGCATATGTATGTATTCATGGCGTGCATATGCATTTCATATGTACCTCTCTATGTATGCAGCATGTATCATCTTTATGTGTGGATGTGCTCGCGCCTGTTAGTTGCTGCTACAACTAGTTGAGAAACAAAAAGCAAACATAAGTCCTGCAGACAGGAGTTGCCCTGTTTTGCACGCGCTGGGCGCGCGCACGTTCTCGCTCATTCAAGGTCCTTTCTTTCAGTTTTTGTGAATAATAACGCGGTCTGGGTTCAGACAGTGTGAAAGTGAGCGAGCTGACCGCTCTGCTGCTGGAGCGCGCGAGACGGGCTGCTGTGCATTTTCCGGCTATTTTTTAAACCTGATTTTATTGAAAGGGCGCGCGCGAGGCGATCGTGGAGAATAGCCCACCCTCGCGTTCCTCGGGGGTCCGGGGATGTTTATACGAGGAGCCTTAACGCGAAGTGCCGGGGGTCCAGAGGAAAGCGCTCGTGAACAGGTAGGACGAAGATGGAGTGGGGGCTTCCTGTCCGAACACTCCGGTCCACCTTAAACGGCGCGGGAGGCGCCACAGTGTAACCGCCGCACCATTTAAGGTGGACCGAGGAAATTCTAATAAGAAGCTAACTTCAGCTTCTTTGAAACCTTACCGCATGTATGAGGCTTGTCCAGATGTTTTGACACATAATGGACCGGCCAAAACATCTGGACAAGCCTCAGCGCGCCTTTTCTGGATTTTCCACCTGCATTAACGGCCCGATATTGTAGGAGTTCCTCATTAATAGAGTAAATAAAGCACCATCACTGCCCTTTATTACTAACGCTGGAGGTGTGAGTGCTCCGATCACTCGGTTCACTCGGTTCACTCTGCACAGATGCAGCTCTGTGATGAACCGTCACACTGATCACGTCTGCAGTAAAGATACAGCAACGCATTGATTTTGTTTGCAGGTTAAGATCTTTAATACTCTGTTTATTTATATCTTACCCAGCCCTGCTGGTGACACACCTTATAAATAATAATAACGTGTGGCCACGACTTAGTAAAGCACGGAAAAAAGATAATTAAGTTGTGGCCACGACTTAGTAAGGCGTGGGAATAAGATCCTAATGCGTGGCCACAAGTTAGTAGGGCATGGGAATGAGAAGTTGTGGCCACGACTTAGTAAGATGTGTGAACGAGATCCTAATGCCTGGTCACAACTTAGAAGTGTGGGAATAAGATAATTAGGACCTGGCCACAGCCTAATAAGGCATGATCTCATTCCCATGCCTTACTTATTCATGGCCACATCTTAATTATCTCATTCCCACACCTAACTAAATCATGGCCACAACTTAATTATCTTGTTTCCACACCTTACTAAGTCATGGCCACTCATTAGGATCTTGTTCCCACGTGTTAATACAGTGTGGCCAGGCATTATTTTAATTTATACAGTGAGTCACCAGCAGGGCTCCATACTATCTGTTTATACAGGGACAAGTTAGTCCATTCAGACCTTCTGCTCTTAAAAAAGATTCTTTAGTAAAAGAACTGGTTCTATATAGAACCGTGAACACTCATGGAACCATTTGCATGCTTAGATGGTTCTCTGCATGGTGAAATGTGCTGTATATGGTTCTATATAGCACCACAAAGGGTTCTTCTATTGTCACAAGCTTGGCATCATAACAACACAAGAACAGTGCTATATAGAACCCCTTTGAAAAGATTCTATATGGAACCGTATACAGCACATTCTCCATCAGTCTGAAGAACCATTTCACCATGTAAAGATCCATTTAAGCATGTAAAGGGTTCTATGAGTGTTTATTGTTCTATATATAGAATGAAACAATTTGATGGAAAAGCATTTCAAATATTACTACTAATCATAATAGTGAATGTAATTGTAAAAAGTCAACGATCAATTTATTAACAATAAATAATAAATAGAGATCAAATGGGGATGAAATAATTAAAACTTCGTAAATAAAATAAATAACATAACAGAAGATGTAAAACAATGACTCAGCAGTAACTAAGAAGCAAAAGTTGGTAGTAAAATAAATAAAAGAATAATAAAAGTGGAACAGCAGCTAAAACATACCAAGATCGTATTAAAATAAACTAGAATCAAGTAAACCAGTGTGAGGCTGATTGGAGGAGTTTAGAGACTGAAGTTTAAAATGGTCGTGTGACGTGAGCGACTGACGCTTTAGAGTTCCCTACAGTGAGTTCCAGCTCACTGGTGCTGCAGCTAATCACAGATAAAATGGAACAAAATTATATTTAGACTTTTAAAACAACTTAAACATTGAATTTACACTAATTTTCATTGTTTTTTTTTACAATGTCAAGCAAAAACAAGCATAAAAAATACATACAGGACAGCAGAATGATCAGTTTTCTGTGGGTTAATTTAGGAAAAGAACAAAGAACAGAAACTAGAGCTGAGAGATAAATAGAATCACAGTTTCTCTTGGTAAGTGATGATACTGGACCAGATAAAATACTGGCGCATTTTAAAAATACTATCAAACTATAATTCCAGTGATGTATATTCAGCATTTTACACACTGAGCTGCACTAAGTCCAGTGAATCAGGACTAACCCTGCTCTGTGATCAGACGATGTCTGTGATCCACTCAGTGAGGCTGACTGAGATGTAGCTGGTCAGGGTGAAGATGAATGTGGTCATATTGTCCGGCTCTAACACTGACGCCGCATTCCGGAGGTGTGTTCTTATTTGGAGCTGGTTCTGATAGAGGGGCAGTGGTCACTCTGCTGTAGGACAGTGACTGACTGACCCCAGTGTGCTGTGACAGGATGGCTGTTTACGCTGTGTTCGCTCTGTGCAGGGAAGGCGGAGCTGGACGGGAAGGTGATTGAGGTGGACTACGCCGTCCCCAAAAAGCTGAGGTAAGCCGAGTGGTGTTATTGATCATTTTCTGATCAGTGTGCGCGGCTGCTTTGTTGTGTGGGTCGTTTGTGTCTGCAGTGCACCTGAAGGCCAGGTGTGAACAGGTAGATGTATTAGAACTGTGTAATTCTCCTCTTCCTGTAGAGCTTTCAGAAGTTCAGACAGTTTAGGACAGAACGCTTCAGAAAGAGCGTGATACCAGACGTTATTCAGGCTTTAAATAGTAATGTAATTGATTAATTCTGCAGATGGACTGCCTTCCTATTTTCTTCTTCTTCTTCTTTTTCTTCTTCTTCTTCTCATTCATTGTGAGGGTTGTTTGTGTCTGCAGTGCACCTGAAGGCCAGGTGTGCATCAGTGCTGTGTCGTTATAAACAGGCAGGTTCATTTGTACCAGTTGGCACAAGGTGTACACAGCGTAAACAGCCAACCTGTCACAGCACGCTGGGGTCAGTCGGTCACTGTCCTACAGCAGAATGACCACTGCCCCTCTATCAGAATATATAAAACCTCGTATGTCAGTTTTTTATGTTTTTCAGTTTTTGACATAATTTGAAAAAACCTGTTGCCGTTTACATTGTTTGTAAGTTTCATGATGAATGAACTAAAAGAAACAGGCCAAAATGACAAAAAGGTCTGGTTCCATTGACTTACATTAAAAGTAAAGGAGGTTTTTCCTTCTCCGGTAAAGTTACTGTTTTGGAGATACGAGGTTTTCTTCCGACAACAGCGATAAATAGAAATTGTGATTTTCCATCTATCGCCCAGCTCTAGTCTGTGTTCTTTGTTCTTTTCCTAAATTAACCCACAGAAAACTGATATATATGTGTCGCTGCTGTCGGATCTCCAAAATGTATAACTTTACAGGAGAAGGAAAAAACATACTTTACTTTTAATGTAAGTCAATGGAACCAGACTTTTTTCCAAGTAATTTTCGGCCGTTTCTTTTGGTCCAATCATCATGAAATTTATTATTTAAAATTCTGTCAAAAACTGAAAAATTCCAAAAAAGGACATATGAGGTTTTGTTCCGACAGCAGCGACATGTATATATACATATATATATATATATATATATATATGTAGCTGTATTAGAACTGTGTAAACCTTCTCTTCTTGTAGAGATTTTAGAGGTTTAGACAGTTCAGAAGGAGCTCGTTTCCAGACGTTATTCAGTTATGGAGTTTTTGAGTAGTAATTTAACTGAGTGATTAATGAGTGCATATCAGTCTCTAAACAAAAACAGAGTGATGTGGAGGTGAGCTGAGGCACAGGCACAGTAAAGCAAAAAAGTGTCAGCATTGTGTGATTTAGGCCTGGGCGGCAGTAATCAGATATCGTCGGTGACTGACTAGTAACCTGATGCCGATGATGAAAGGGTGATCATTTTGGGAAGCTGAGGGAACCGGAGAGAACTCCTTGAATAGGGAATTATGGTCTGTGCAGACATGTACAAAAATTACAAAATTATCATCTGTGATAATTAACAGTACGATACTGATACAGTAGACACAGACACAGATACAGGTCTAAAAACACTGGAGTTTTCCACAATAAAACCACCATAAAAAACAAAGTGAATCAGAGTGAATCAGAACTGATGAATCATCCAGTTCTCAGAACACAAACTGTGTGGTTGAGTGCTCGTACTGAAATATGATATCCATCAGTTTATCCTCTCAGTGCAGTAACGCTCAGAAACATCAGGCCTGTTTTAATGTAATGAATTGTAATCTAATTCAATCAGGACGTACCGAATTGTTCCCTAAAGAATCATAATCTGACTGAATCATGACTTACCGAAATGAATTATTCATAGCAGACACTGAATAATTCATAGTAGATCCAGAATAATTTATAGTAGATACTGAATAATTCATAGTAGATACTGAGTAATTCATAGCAGATGCTGAATAATTCATAGTAGATACTGAATAATTCATAGTAGTTACTGAATAATTCATAGTAAATGCTGAATAATTCATAGTAGATACTGAATAATTCATAGTAGTTACTGAATAATTCATAGTAAATGCTGAATAATTCATAGTAGATACTGAATAATTCATAGTAGATACTGAGTAATTCATAGCAGATGCTGAATAATTCATAGTAGATACTGAATAATTCATAGCAGATGCTGAATAATTCATAGTAGATACTGAATAATTCATAGTAGATACTGAATAATTAATAGTAGATACTGAATAATTCATAGTACATATTGAATTATTTGTGGTAGTAATTAATCAGGCCTGCAGTTTATGGGGTTGAGAGTTTCCTCCAGCAGTGCTGAATCTGCAGCTGTTCCTCCAGTGAAGGATTCCTTTGGTTGCCGTGGTAACCGGATGGGAGTTTTTGGAAAGAGAGTTTAATGATGGAATAAAAGGACAGTGTATTAGAGATTTTTAAAGTAAAGCAGTAGAGTCTGAGGGCAGCATTCAATCATTTTGTACAAATGAAACAATAGCAGGCTGTCTGCCCCCCTCTCTGTCTCATTCTCTCTCTCTCTGTCTGTCTCTCTCTCTCTCTCTCTCTCTCTCTCTCTGTCTCTCTGTCTCTCTCTCTCTCTCTGTCTCTGTCTCTCTCTCTCTCGCTGTCTCTCCCTCTCTCTCTCTCTCTGTGGTATTTCAGATATGAAGTGTGTGATTGGAGCTTTTTTTTCCAGACCTGCTGGATCGGTTTATTGAGTTTGTTTGCTCCAGTCTGTGTGGAATAAAATCTCTCATTTGTCCATTTTTCTATTTGTCTGAACCCGTCAGGTTCAGTCAGGTTCAGAGGTCATTAATATGCGTTGGGTCGGGTATAAATTTCTTGTTGTTGTTCTCACAGTCCGCCTCCCACTGTTAACAGATTTCACCTGCTTTAGTTTCACTGCACTCTTCACTGCTTTCACTGCCTTAAACAGTGTTTAATCTGTGATGCTGGAGTCACTTGGTCCTGTTGTTGATGGAATTTAATGTCGAGCTGCACACTGAAAAAACTGATGTGAGGCAAATAAAGTGTGAATGGGTGGGGCTAAGCTGCTTAGTTTCCATATATGGACTGTGGAGTGAACAGTAGGGTTTAAAACAGTGTTTACATACATCAAAGTTTCTTCATAAGCACTGAGTCAGTTTGTAGTGCTAATAAATTCAAATGTACACAATTTTCCCTTCACCCCAAATGTGTTTTGTTTGACTATATGGAGTAAAAAACACACCATCACTTTCTGATCACATTTGTGAGAGATATAAAGATAATGAGGACAGACCTGATGTGCTTCATATGTAATACAAGATATAAATCAGCCATGAAGCACATTTCATCAAAGGTAATGAAATGTGTTGTTTTTTGTTTAAGCCGTTCGGCTCTGCTCTCCACAACCAGCCCTCATCATAAAGCCTGTTATCTGTACAGAGTGGAACTGAAACTTTTGAGAGCTTGAAAAGGAAAGGTGTCCCTGGAGCAGGTACAGAAAATCGATTTAAAATAATGCATTATGTATTGCACAGCAACAGTGAATCATAAATGCTCTGTGCTGTACAAAACAGTCTGAGCACATTCTAACAGCAATGGTATGAGAATTCTAAAAGGAGTTTGATTGGACCTTTATTCTTATTCTGCTCTTCCTTCCAGTCAAGAGTTTGGACCACTTGACTGAATGCGTGCTTTCATGTGTGCAGGAATTAGACAGGAATGGTACAGGGGTAGGTATAGAATAGGTTTCACGGGGACAGGAATGGTAGTGGGGAAGGAACAGCACAGGGACAAAAATGGGATCAGGAGAAGAATGGGGCACTAATGGCACAGGGCAAGAACAGGATAGTGACAAGAATGGGAGTGGGAACAAGATAGAAATGGTACAGAGGCAGGAATAGGACAGCTTGACAGTAGGCCAGAAATAGGACGGGGTAGTGTTGGGGAAAGGACGCGAATGGGACAGGACCGAGACAGGGGCAAAAACGGGTTTGAAATGAGACAGAAATGGGATGGGGTAGGAAAGAGGCAAGGACAAGAAAAAGACAGGAATGGCATTGGGGAAGGAACAGCGCTGGAACAAAAATGGGATCAGGGCAGGAATGGGATAGTACTGGGAGCAGGAACAAGATATTGGGACAGAAGTGAGATGGGGTAGTGACAGGGTAGGGACAAGAATGGGACAGGACCAGGAGAGGGGCAAGAACGGGATGGAAATGGGACAGAAATGGGACAGGGGCAAGAATAAGACAGAAATGGGGCAGGAATGGGACAGAGGTAAGAATGGAACAGAAGAAGAACAGCAATGGGGGATGGATGGAGAGTGAGCAGGACAAGGATGACAGCTCAACAAGAACAGAATAGGAATGGGATGGTGAGCAGGAATGGGGCAGCATATGAATGGGACAGGAATGAGATAGGAACAGGATACGTCAGAAAAGAGATAGGAATCGGACAGGAATTAAATAGGAAAGGGAGGGTATGGGATGGGGCCAGAACGGGACCAAAATGGGATAGGAATGGGAAAGGGACAGGACAGGGACAAAATGGGATCAGGATGGGAATGGGGCACTAATGGCACAGGGCAGGAACAGGATATGGGAATAGGAATGGGAGTGGGAACAAGATAGAAATGGTACAGGGGCAGGAATTGGATGGGGCAACAATGGAACAGAAATGAGATGGGGTAGGAACAGGGTAGGGAAAATAATGGGACAGGACCGGGACAGGGACTGGGATGGAAATAGCAAAAATTGGGATGAGGCAAAAATAGGACAGAAATGGGGCAGGAATGGGACAGAGGCAAGAACGGAACAGAAATAGAACAGCAATGGGATGGATGGAGAAGGAGCAGGACAGTGATGGAACGGGACAAGAACAGAATAGGAATAGGAATGGGACGGTGAGCAGAAATGGGGCAGGGCATGAATGGGATAGGAATGAGATAGGAAAGGAACGGGACAAAAAAGGGATAGGAATTGTATAGGAATAGGACAGGGATGAAAGAGACAGGAATGGCATGGAGCAGGAACGAGACAGGAATGGGACATGAAAAAGAATGGGATGAGACAGATAGGAATAGGAAAGGAATGGGAACAAGTTAGGAATAGAACAAAGACAGAGACAGGACAGGACAGGACAGAAAGACACAGGAGAAACAGGCGGGGACGGGAACAGGGCAGGGGGGACAGGGTTCCCACATTCTCTCACTGTCTGACCGTGTCTCTCACGAACATGTAACATTCCCTCGTCAGTTGTGTCCCACCAGGCGATTGTGTATTGTGTGTGCAGAAAGACGGTGGGACGGCGGATCCTGACTCTCTCTTTATGAGAGCACTCTGTCACACTGAGGCTTTGTCTCCCTCTCTCTGGCTGAAATGCCTCAGCCTTCATTGTGGAAATCAGTCAATGAGCACATTGAATGAAAATTTCCCTGATAAATATTTAGGCTGTTTAGCGCAGCCTCCTACACAGCAGCCGGAGAAACAAGGCCATTCAGGACGCAGAGCTGTAGAGGAACAGAGACGAGTTTAACACGGACTCGGGCAGTAAAGTCCAGATGTAGTTTTGTCTTCACTTCAATAGTTTGAATATTTTATTAGGCTTTTCCAATGTCCAGAGCTTTAAATGTGTACATGGGTGGGTTCACTAAGCATCAGTATTGGGGTCAGACAGAGTCAGAGTTGGGGTCAGATAGGGCAAGGGTTGGAGTAAGTTAGGGTCAGATAAGGTCAGAGTTGGGGTCTGATAGAGCCAGGGTTGGAGTCAGAGTCAGATAAGGTCAGAGTTAGGGTCAGATAGGGCCAGGGTTGGAGTCAGTTAGGGTCAGATACGGTCAGAGTTGGGGTCAGATAGGCAAGGGTTGGAGTAAGTAGGGTCAGATAAGGTCAGAGTTGGGGTCTGATAGAGCCAGGGTTGGAGTCAGAGTCAGATAAGGTCAGAATTAGGGTCAGATAGGGCCAGGGTTGGAGTCAGTTAGGGTCAGATACGGTCAGAGTTGGGGTCAGATAGGCAAGGGTTGGAGTAAGTAGGGTCAGATAAGGTCTAAGTTGGGGTCAGACAGGGCCAGATTTGGCGGCCAGGTTTAGAGGCCAGATTTGGTGTCAGTTAGGATCAGATAAGGTCAGGACTGGAATCCGTTAGGGTCAGATAAGATCAGGGTTGGAGTCAGAGTCAGATAAGGTCAGGGTTGGGGTCAGATAGGGTCAGGTTTGGAGTCAGTTAGGGTCAGATAAGGTCAGAGTTGGGGTCAGATATGTTCGTTTTATTTTCCTGCTGTGTCTGTTTCCACATGTTGCTTCTCTGTGAGCCATCGTGGCGCCTCGGTGTAAACCAGCCAATCAGAGCAGAGCTCATCAGATTATTCACGAGCCCCCCAGAAAGGGAAAACAGCTCATTTCATTCTAGAGCCAAATCCTAGGGTTGTAAACAAGTGTGTTAAACAGCATCTGGGCATTTTACACCCCGACCAAAGTTACATACCTTCTGTGTAGACATCAGAGAACAGTTTAAAATACTGAAATGCATTCTATGGCAGCTTTAAACAATTTTTTAAAAGTGGTCCAGTATACTTATAATGACCCATCTGAGGAGTCTAAGATGTACAGTCATGGCTGAAATTGTTGGCACCCCTGAAATATTTCCAGAAAATAAAGTATTCCTCCCAGAAAATTATTGCAATTACACATGTTTTGTTATACACATGTTTATTTCCTTTGTGTGTATTGGAACAACACAAAAAACAGGGAAAAAAGCCAAAAATGATATAATTTCACGTAAAACTCCAAAAATGGGCCGGACAAAATTATTGGCAGCTTTTCAAAATTGTGGGTAAATAACTTAGTTTCAAGCATGTGATGCTCGTTCAAACTCACCTGTGACAAGTAACAGGTGTGGGCAATATAAAAAATCACACCTGAAACCAGATTAAAAGGAGAGAAGTTGACTCAATCTTTGCATTGTGTGTCTGTGTGAGCCACACTAAGCCTGGAGAACAGAAAGAGGAGAAGAGAACTGTCTGAGGACTTGAGAACCAAAATTGTGGAAAAATATCAACAATCTCAAGGTTACAAGTCCATCTCCAGAGATCTTGATGTTCCTTTGTCCACGTTGCACAACATAATCAAGAAGTTTACAACCCATGGCGCTGTAGCTGATCTCCCTGGACGTGGACGGAAGAGAAACATTGATGAAAGGTTGCAACGCAGGATAGTCTGGATGGTGGATAAGCAGCCCCAATCAAGTTCCAAAGAAATTCAAGCTGTCCTGCAGGCTCAGGGTGCATCAGTGTCAGCGCGAACTATCCGTCAACATTTGAATGAAATGAAGCGCTATGGCAGGAGACCCAGGAGGACCCCACTGCTGACACAGAGACATAAAAAGACATAAAAAAGCTAGACTGCAGTTTGCCAAAATGTATGTGAGTAAGCCAAAATCCTTCTGGGAAAACATCTTGTGGACAGATGAGACCAAGATAGAGCTTTTTGGTAAAGCACATCATTCTGCTGTTTACCAAAAAACGGAATGAGGCCTACAAAGAAAAGAACACAGTATCTACAGTCAAATATGGTGGAGGTTCAAAGATGTTTTGGGGTTGTTTTGCTGCCTCTGGCACTGGGTGCCTTGACTGTGTGCAAGGCATCATGAAATCTGAAGATTACCAAAGGATTTTGGGTCGCAATGTAGGGCCCAGTGTCAGAAAGCTGGGTTTGCGTCCTAGGTCATGGGTCTTCCAGCAGGACAATGACCCCAAACATACTTCAAAAAGCACCCAGAAATGGATGGAAACAAAGTGCTGGAGAGTCCTGAAGTGGCCAGCAATAAGTCCGGATGTAAATCCCATTGAACACCTGTGGAGGGATCTTAGACTTGCTGTTGGGAGAAGGCACCCTTCAAATATGAGAGACCTGGAGCAGTTTGCAAAAGAAGAGTGGTCCAATATTCCAGTTGAGAGGTGTAAGAAGCTTGTTGATGGTTATAGGAAGCGACTGATTTCAGTTATTTTTTCCAAAGGGTGTGCAACCAAATATTAAGTTGAGGGTGCCAATAATTTTGTCCGGCCCATTTTTTGGAGTTTTGCGTGAAATTATATCATTTTGGCTTTTTTTTCCCTGTTTTTTGTGTTGTTTCAATACACACAAAGGAAATAAATGTGTATAACAAAACGTGTAATTGCAATAATTTTCTGGGAGGAATACTTCATTTTCTGGAAAAATTTCAGGGGTGCCAACAATTTCGGCCATTGTAAAATTGTAAATGCAGATAAACACTTCTCAAATACTCCTAGTCCTTGATAACCATTCCATGAGTAGTAATGTCCTGACTTTTGTCTGGAACCGGTTTGCTGCAGTTTTGTATATGTGTGCTGTGCTATTAGGCTTGTTTTGCTCTGTTTTCTCTAGTTGGCCCGTCTGTGTTGTGACCTTGTGTTCTGTATTGTGTTTTTGAGTGTGTATTGGCCTTTAGTTAGTGTGTCTGCTGGAGTTATTAAGTCTTACAGGAATTTAAATTAAATAGTTTCCTCACATTTGCAGACTCCCTGCTGTTACTTTGCTGGTGCATGAGTGCTGCTTAGTAACCAATCAGACCTTCAGCTGCTTATACAGCCACTGAATTGGGCTCAGTATTAGTGCAGATAGACCTTTGTGTGCATGTGTGTATCTCCAGTCAGTAATACTCTGTTGAGTCTAAGTGCTCATGGAGATGCGCTCAGTTAATCAGGGTGGTCTCTGACACAGTACTGTGTGTTACAGCAGTCGGCTGGGATTAGAAATTAACTTCTAGCATCAAGCATCAAACTCACGACAGCATTAAGCAGTGATTCTCACCCTGTGGCTGTGAGAATGTGATCTGCTTCAACAGGTGTTTGAGTTTTCTTGCTGTTTATTTTGCAAATTCTGAAACATAATTTTATACAGGTTTTGTGTCTTTTATCAGCTTTTCACACATGTAAAGGTGTTTTATGTGTTAGTTGTTGGTTGCTGTAAAACCTCTGTATGTTTCTCCTAAAAACAACAAAATACATACTTTTAAATGGGATTTAGAACAGCTTTCAGTCTTAGTCATACTCAGTCATACTCAGTCATACTCAGTCATACTCAGACATACTCAGTCATACTCAGTCATAGTCATACTCAGTCAATACTCAATCATACTCATTCATATTCAGTCATACTCAATTACACTCATTCACATTTTTATAATCATATGCATTTGAACTTTGGACGACACGTCCCAAAATAAAATCTAGTAGCAATGCATTGTAAGAGAGTCTGACACAGAGGAAACATATATATATATATATATATATATATATATATATATATACAGCAGGAAAACTCCTACCCTGGGCCTACTCTGAACAAATCTCCCTATCTCTCTCTGTCTCTCTCTCTCTGTCTCTCTCTCTCTCTCTCTGTCTCTCTCTCTCTCTCTCTCTCTCTCTCTGTCTCTCTCTCTCTCTCTCTCTCTCTCTCTCTCTCTCTCTCTCTCTCTCTCTGCAGGAGTCGGAGAATTCAGATCCGGAACATTCCTCCTCATCTACATTGGGAAGTGAGTGTTTTTGTGAAATTACACTTCTGTTTGTGTTTTGTTAAACAGTTAAGATGTAAACAGAGTGATTCAGAGTGATTCAGAGTGGTTTGGTGTGAAACGCTCTGTTCTAGAGAAACTTAAAGACTCAGAACTGTTCACAGTGGTGGTGATAGGAACCAGACGTCCACCTCTAAAAGCTCCCTCACAGAAAGTTCCTACATGAAATGGTTATGAATTCACTGCCTGATGACTGAGACACTGTTTTATGATCGTTTTGAGAAGACTTCGGTCTTAAAAGATCTGTTCAGAAGTCTTATGCATGTCAACACATTGTTGAAAACCTTTATCTTGGTGCTGAGCATGTTTTTGCTAAAAGGTAAATAAATACGGTAAAAGGGAAAAATAGTTTCTTATTTTGAATTAAAGTACTGAATATCTTGTGAGAGACTTTAAAGAAAGTTTGGTTCCAGAGTTCTCCTTGATGCTCTCAGCCATCACAGGGGTTTATTATCAGCAGCACCTGATTTAACACCGATTAGATAAAGCAGGCATTGGATGACAAACATGAATAATACAGGGCTTCCCTGAACAGAGGATTGGAAATGTTTAAATGAACACATTGACACACGCAAATCACTACTTACACTATTAGCAGTATTTCTGTTTCTGAGTTCTTTTTAATTATTTTTTTAGGTGCCTAAAACTTTTGCACAGTACTGTATTATTAAACTATTCATGGTGGAGGGACACATAATATGCAGGGCGCTGTGAGGCAAAATAGTCCCCAAAGAAAACTTATTATTTCAGATTTTCCACTGTTTTCCATCATCAACATTCCATATAAACTCAGAAGACTCGTGTTGGTTCACTGGTGGTTCTGGATAGTAAATAAAATGTCTATATTTGTGTTGTAGTCATGGCGACCCCTGGTTCCTATCACCACCACTGTAAAGAGATCTGAACCATTTCACACCAAACCACTCTGAATCACTCTGTTTACGTCTCACACACTGAATTTAGAACAATTGGCAGAATATTGTAGTTTTTAGTCCAGAGCACACTCAATAAACAAACACCAACATTCTCATGACTGCACTTTGAGTATGATTGTGTTTATGTTTACAGCTGGACAAATCAGCTTTAAATTAAAAACAACAGAATTCACTTCCAGGTGTTCAACGCTGGTGCCGCTGCACTGATACAACAGGATTCTGTACCTGGTCTGATCCTTATTTGAGAGTTATTAATTAGGGTACTGGAGAAAACAGAGCTTTTTCAGTGATCTTGAGATGAAACATCTAAATACTGAGGTAGTATGATCCTCTAAGGAGAACCCCTCTCTCTCTCTCTCTCTCTCTCTCTCTCTCTCTCTCTCTCTCAGCAGCAATGGGGCACCTTCGCACTTTTTAAAGGCATATTGACCCCATTTCCCCCCAAAACATTTCACATTACAACCTCAAACACAGCAATATTTGACCATCATTGACCATATTTTGGTTCAGTCTATTCTGTTTGTATTCACCACTACTTAAAACCAGCTGCTTCCACCACTGACTGGATGCGTTCTCCACCCGCAAGTGCAGCCAACACTCAAGTTTACAAACATTCTAAACTGGTCTATAAGAACCGCTAAACCAATGTTCTAGGACAGTGTCAGGGTGGGGGTGGGGGGGTTCTAGAACAGTGTGAAATGGGACAAGAATATTCTAGAACAGTCTAAATAGGTTGGAAAATTGCCAAGTAGTGGGTGAACATTCTAGACAAGCATGAATAGGGGAACAAATCTAGATCAATGTGAACAGGATAAGAACATTCCAGACTTTTGTGAATAAGAAAAAAATCCAGAACAGTATGAATGGAGGGAGAAAAAAATCTAGAACATTATCAATGGGGGGCATTCTAAGATAATGTAAAATAAAGGACCACTAAAATTTGGCCAGAGACAAAAAACTAGAACAGTATCAATGGGGGAGAACATTCTAGACCAGTATGAATGGGGAAAAATTCTAGAGCAGTGTGAACAAAGTGAGAACATTCTAGACCTGTATGAACAGGATGTGTTGTGTGGATCTGACTGTAACTGTTCCTCTGTGCAGGTGCTGGACGGTCTGTTAGCTCAGTATGGTACTGTAGAGAACGTGGAACAAGGTAAAGATCCTCCAGACGAACTGAACTCTTTTATTCCATGGATTATACTTTACTGTATGGACATTAGAGCATATTAAAGGATTAATATCTGTATCTGCCTTGAGTTACCCGAAATGTAAATGTGTGGGAGAACATTCTAGAACAGAGTGTAGAGGGAAAATTCTAGAACAGTGTTTAAGGGGAAGGACTTTGTAGAACAATGTGCATGGAAAGAACATTCTAGACCAGTTATAATGTTGGAGAAAACTGAGTAAATGAAGGAACATATAAGAACAGTGTGCGAATGGTGGGAGAACATTCTCAGGGCTGCCAGCTCTCACGCATTGACCATGAGACTCATACATTTAGGTCTAATCTCATGTTCTCAAGTCACACTTGACATTTTTCATGCATTTTTACATCTATACTGAAAATGACCTACTGATGAACCTGAACGCTTGTAGAGGTTCCTACTTCTACTCAGCGCTCCAGCTTCACTGATCAGAAACAGTCCAGACGAGCAGCGGCACTTTACTTTAACGCCCGTGAAGGAGAGCATGCTAGCTAGCCAGTCACTGCCGGTCCGCTTGTGCTTCAGATCAGTGGGGGTGGGGCCTGTATCCATAGCAACAGAAAACCAAAGTTCAACCACATAACTAAAGCTCACAGAACACAGAGAGAACCTTCACTAAACATACTGCAAACAGATGAGAACTGAAGGAAAATGAAAAGGTAAATAAACGTAAACTTGTTTAGTAAAAATGATCAATAAACACAGATGTTAAATAAAAAGATAAGAGCTAGAGCAGCGCTGATTAACCACACACAGCAGCACAGTTTACACTGCAGAACGAATGCGGTTCTGTCTCACTGACAGGCCAAACGGTTTTAGCTAATCAGCTAGGTCAGCTAAAGGCAGGCTGTTCTTACTCTTCTTCACTGTGTAGCTGTTAGCTTTGAAGTCCGTGCTCATCAGGTGCAACCAGGTGAGGAATCAGACCGCTGGTCACCGACAACAGACACTTTTTAACTGGTCTGCATTCTATATTCTCTGTAATTGGACTGTACTCTGCCCTCATTACAGCAGACTGACCAGTTCAGTGGTGGGCTAACAACAAATTATCAGTACTGAACAAAAGAAGGGCGGTAGAGCTGGAGTCTCACAGCAAGAAGGGCCTGGGTTTGATCCCCCGGCCGGGTGACCGGAGTCCTCTCTGTGTGGAGTTTGCATGTTCTCCCCGTCTGTGTGGGTTTCCTCAGGGTGCTCTGGTTCCTCCCACAGTCCAAAGACATGCAATCATACATGCTAGATTTGCCCTAGATGTGAATGTATATGTCTGTGTGTCTGCTCTGTGATGGACTGGAGACCTGTCCAGAGTGTTTTCTGCCTTCCGCCCAATGACCGCTGGGATAGGCTCCAGCTCCCCCAGTGACCAAGAAGGATAAGCAGCTTAGATAGTGTGTGTGTCTCTCTCTCTCTACAGTAAACACTGATACAGAAGCTGCTGTGGTGAATGTCACATACTCTACGAAAGAGGAGGCTAAAATGTGAGTGTCCACTCTGCTCTGAGCTCACTGACCATCAGCACTTGATTTCAACACACATTTTTCTTCCTGTTTACTGTTTATTTAACAATTCAACCCCATTAAACACCACAGTAGAGTTCCCCCTTTCACAACCACACAGATCACACAATACTGTCCCAGAACATACTGAATAATTCATATTAGATACTGAATAATTCACAGTAGATATTGAATCATTCATAGTAGATACTGAATAATTCACAGTAGATATTGAGTCATTCATAGTAGATACTGAATAATTCACAGAAGATACTGAATCATTTATAGTAGATACTGAATAATTCACAGTAGATATTGAATCATTCATAGTAGATACTGAATAATTCACAGTAGATACTGAATCATTTATAGTAGATACTGAATAATTCACAGTAGATACTGAATCATTTATAGTAGATACCGAATAATTCACAATAGATACTGAATAATTCACAGTAGATATTGAATTATTCATATTAGATACTGAATAATTCACAGTAGATATTGAATCATTCATAGTAGATACTGAATAATTCACAGTAGATACTGAATCATTTATAGTAGATACTGAATAATTCACAGTAGATACTGAATCATTTATAGTAGATACCGAATAATTCACAGTAGATACTGAATAATTTACAGTAGATACTGAATAATTTATATTAGATACTGAATAACTAATAGTAGTAGTATATAATTCACAGTAGATACAGAATAATTCATAGTAGATCCTGAATAATTCACAGAAGATATTAAATAATTCAAAGTAGATACTGAATAATTCATATTAGATACTGAATAACTAATAGTAGTAGTATATAATTCAAAGTAGATACTGAATAATTCATATTAGATACTGAATAACTAATAGTAGTAGTATATAATTCACAGTAGATACAGAATAATTCACAGTAGATACTGAATAATTCATAGTAGATCCTGAATAATTCACAGAAGATATTAAATAATTCAAAGTAGATATTGAATAATTCATAATAGATAGTGAATAATTAATAGTAGATACTAAATAATTCATAGCAGATACTGAATAATTAATAGCAGTTGCTGACTAATTCAGTAGTTAGTATTTGACTCTGTCTCTCTCTCAGAGCGGTGGAGAAGCTCTCAAGACACCAGTGTGAGGATTACTGGTTTAGAGTCTCCTACATTTTGGAAATGGACGCTGCCCCCTCACCGCCCTCACGCAGGCAACGCAGGCGAGGGTCCCGGTCGCAGGACCCCCAGCCTGGACCCTCTGTGAGTCCTTTGGGGTCCCAGAACAAGCCACCAGACCTCCCCTTGCGTATTCTGGTGCCTACACAGTTCGTAGGAGCGATCATCGGCAAAGAGGGGCTGACCATCAAAAACCTCACCAGACAGACACAGTCCAGGCGAGTCCCTGTCCGATCACAGTGATTCTGCACTGAGAGGAGCCACTGCTATGAGGTCATATTCAGCACAGTTGTTGTGGAAATGTAATGTGATGATGTAATGTGTTTTGGTAATGTTCATGCAGGGGGAGACGAGTATAACTGCGTCTAAGAATTCGTGGCCTAGACTGATAGAAACATGTGTGGTACATTTACAGTGGCTGACACTCAAAACCCTCTGTATATGTATTTCATTCTCCATGTTCCTTTTCTATTTTTTGTATAATTTGAAAGTTCCAGTTACCTGTTGCATTGTGTTTTTATGATGAATAGACCAACAGAAATGCTCCAAAATTACTTGTAAACACTAATTGTTGCATTAATTTCCATTAAAATTTAAGAAGGTTTTTTCCTTCTCTTGTAAAGCTGCCATTTTGGAGATACAAGGATTTTCCGACAGTGATGATCCTTTACAGTTGAATAATGAAAGACCTGTAGCATATGGTTATTACAAGATGTTATGTTGTAACTGTGATAAAACATCACATAATTATGAGACAAATTTTTAGCAGTGTTGGAAAAGCTTTGGCTGGGATGTAGTCAGTTGTAATTTGTGTTAACTCAGGTTAAATTGGGCTAATTTGAACTTTGTCTGTGTTATTCTAGATGTGTTGGTGTTTAGGAGTTCTCTGGCGTGCAGCTCCATGTGTGTGGGGTGATTTAATGACTGTACGTGTGTGGGTGTGATGTTTTAGGGTGGATATCCACCGTAAGGAGAACGCAAGAGCAGCAGAGAAACCCATCACCATCCATTCCACCCCGGAGGGCTGTTCCGCTGCCTGCCGCATGATCCTCGAAATCATGCAGAAAGAAGCCTACGACACCAAGGTGTAAGTCTTAGACCTGCTCTAAACCCTAAACCCTCAACCGTAAAGAGTAAATACTGAACTCTAATCTCTAAAATCTAAAGACTAAACACTAAACCCTAAACTCTCAGCTTCAAAGACTAAACACTAACTCTCAACCCTAAAGACTAAACACAAAACCCTAAACTTTCAACTCTGAAAACTAAACACTAAACCTTACAGACTAAACAATAACTCTCAACCCTAAAGACTAAATACTAAACCCTAAAGACCAAACACTAACTCTCAACTCCCAATCCTAAAGACTAAACACTAAGCCCTAAACTCTGAACCCTAAAGACTAAACACAAAACCATAGACTCCCAACTCTAAAGAACAAACACTAGACCCTAAACTCTCAACTCTAAAAAAAATTAAAACCCTAAACTCTCATCTTCAAAGACTAAACACTAAACCCTAAACTTTCAACTTTAGAAACTAAACACTAGACCCTAATGACTAAACTCTAACTCTGAATCCTAAAGACTAAACACTAAACCCTAATCTCTCAACTCTAAAGACCAAACACTCAACCCTTAACACTCAACCCTAAACACTAAACACAAACTCTGAACTCTAAAAACTAAACCCTAAACTCTCAACTCTGAAAACTAAACACTAAACCCTAAACTCTCAACTCTGAAAACTAAACACTAAACCCTAAACTCTCAACTCTGAAAACTAAACACTAAACCCTAATCTCTCAACTCTAAAGACCAAACACTCAACCCTTAACACTCAACCCTAAACACTAAACACAAACTCTGAACTCTAAAAACTAAACCCTAAACTCTCAACTCTGAAAACTAAACACTAAACCCTAAACTCTCAACTCCAAAGACTAAACACTAAACCCTAAACTCTCAACTTCAAAGACTAAATACTAAACACATAATCTGAACCCTAAAAACTAAACACTAATCTCTCAACCCTAAAAACTAAATACTAGACCCTAAAAACTAAACTCTCAACTCTAAAGACCAAACACTAAACCCTAAACTCTCAACCCTAAAGACTGAACACTAAAACCTAGACTCTCAACTCGAAAGTCCAAACACTAAACCCTAAACTCTCAACTTCAAATACTAAATACTAAACACTTAATCTCAACCCTAAAAACTAAACACTAATCTCTCAACCCTAAACACTTCATCTCAACCCTAAAAACTAAACACTAATCTCTCAACCCTAAACACTAAACACTAAACCCTAAACTCTTGACCCTAAATACTGAACACTAGACCCTAAAAACTAAACTCTCAAACCTAAAGACTAAACACTGAACCCCAAACTCCTAAGCCAGCCCTTCAGAAACACAGACAGCTCTCTAAAGCTTCAGCTGGTCTGTTAAAATCAGGCCTTTTTACAGACTGTGTGTGAAAAGTCCTCAGACTCTCCTCGCGTCTCACACTCAGCCTGTTTGTGTCCTGCAGGTCGGAGGAGATCCCTCTGAAGATCCTCACCCATAACAGTTTGGTGGGGAGGCTGATAGGGAAGGAGGGGAGGAACCTGAAGAGGATTGAGGAGGAGAGCGGGTCCAAGATCACCATCTCATCGTAAGAAGCACTACATCTACACAGAGCTTGCTAATCCATTGTCTTTGATTCAGAGGTGCGAGTTCTGACTCTAATATTACAGTATCTGTAAGAGTTAATGAGATATCAGGTTAACAACAGGGAAGGAAACAGAAACAGCAGACTTTAGAAAGAAATTAGCGTGGAGCAGTGGGCTGAGTTGTTAGCAGTCCACGTGTGGAGCGCCGTGTTCTGTGCATAATGTAAACTCAGTCCAGCGGAGGGAACCCGCTGCTGCCTCACGCGGCGTCTGCGGCCGGCCGGGCTGAACCGCAGCTCTCCCACAGGAGGATTTATTCACTTACTCACTGACACCACAGCAGATGATGAGCTCCTTTCCCAGAAGTCTGAGTGAGAGAGGACTGACCTTCACCCCCTCTGAAACAAGACTTAGGCCTCCTTAAAACCGCTGACTCCAACAGAGCGCTGGAGCTGCTGCAGATTAAAGGGCCCATATCATGGAAAACCCACCTATTTAGCCTACAGCAGTTTAGCTCCACCATTCAGCTACAGCAGTTTAGCTCCACCATTCAGCTACAGCAGTTTAGCTCCACCATTCAGCTACAGCAGTTTAGCTCCACCCATTCAGCTACAGCAGTTTAGCTCCACCATTCAGCTACAGCAGTTTAGCTCCACCCATTCAGCTACAGCAGTTTAGCTCCACCATTCAGCTACAGCAGTTTAGCCCCACCCATTCAGCTACAGCAGTTTAGCCCCACCATTCAGCTACAGCAGTTTAGCCCCACCATTCAGTCTACAGCAGTTTAGCCCCACCATTCAGTCTACAGCAGTTTAACCCCACCCATTCAGCCTACTGCAGTTTAGCTCCACCCATTCAGCCTACAGCAGTTAAGCTCCACCCATTCAGCCTACAGCAGTTTAGCTCCACCCATTCAGCCTACAGAAGTTTAGCCCCACCCATTCAGCCTACAGCAGTTAAGCTCCACCCATTCAGCCTACAGCAGTTTAGCTCCACCCATTCAGCCTACAGCAGTTTAGCCCCACCCATTCAGCCTATAGCAGTTTAGCTCCACCCATTCAGCCTACAGCAGTTTAGCTCCACCCATTCAGCTACAGCAGTTTAGCTCCACCCATTCAGCCTACAGCAAATTAGCTCCACCCATTCAGCCTACAACAGTTTAGCCCCACCCATTCAGCTACAGCAGTTAAGCTCCACCCATTCAGCCTACAGCAGTTTAGCTCCACCCATTCAGCCTACAGCAGTTTAGCCCCACCCATTCAGCCTATAGCAGTTTAGCTCCACCCTTTCAGCCTACAGCAGTTTAGCTCCACCCATTCAGCTACAGCAGTTTAGCTCCACCCATTCAGCCTACAGCAGTTTAGCTCTGCCCATTCAGGATAAAGCAGTTTAGATCCACCCATTCATAACTGAAGTTATAAGGAATGTTTCAGCCTGCTCTGTTTTTTGAATGCAGGACAGCCAATTATAACTGAGCTCATTTACATGATCAGGCTTAAAGGCACAGCAACAATTTTTGGCTATTTGGCACATAAAACCACATAAACATCAAAAGTGGACCATGGGAAAATAAAATATAAGGATAATGGAGGACTTTTAAAGCAATAGTTCAGCCCCCCATTACCTCAGATGTAGTCAAGACATGTCTGGTGTCTGACTTCTGCTTCGTTAGTTTTAGCACTGGAGCTATGAGGGTAATGTAGCTAACAAGTTATGCAAGCTTATATACCACTGATTAACATGGTGCTAACTGCGTATCTAAATCATTATGTGTTTTTATGTTTATGGTTCAGTTTACAGGACCTGACGCTGTATAACCCAGACAGGACCATCATGGTGAGGGGCAGTGTGGACACGTGCTGCAGGGCTGAGGTGGAGATCATGAAGAAGCTGAGGGAGGCGTTCAAGAACGACGCCTCTGTTAATGTGAGCTGATCGTCTTCAGCACTGCTGCTGTGTTTAATATATAACAGGCTGATCTACAGTACAGTGCAGAGAGACTGTAGCCTGCAATGAGCTGTTCCAGTGGCCACTGCTTTAATATTGAAATCATTATGTAATATATGTGTAAAATATTATTTTTGGCTGCTGCAAAACACAAGAACCTTAAAGGGGAATTCCACCAAATTTTCAAAATTCCCCCATATTTCACAAAGGAGGCGTAGCGACTGTACAAATGTGCTAGTCACGTTATTCCAAAACAAACTTAACAAAAACCCCAAAACAGAATGATGAAGGTCCAAAAAAGAAACAAATCCAGACAGTAAAAAACAAACAAACCAGGGAACAGAAACTAAGGAACAGACAGAAAATGTAAGACAAAGACTGAACCGAACACGGGGGGTATAAATACACAGAGGGAAAACAAGGAACACCTGGGAAAAACGGGAGGGCGGAGCTACAGACAAGGGGTAGGACCAGGGAGGAGATCAAACCAAAATAACAACAAAAGCACATGGAAAAACATAAACAGAAACGCACATGGCTTAAACAGGGAAGACATAAAGAAAAACCGGATAAGATGTTACACCAGAACTCAGTGTGTGAGGTGTAATCAGAGAGATTCAGAGTGGTTTGGTGTGAAATGGTTCAGATGTCTTTACAGTGGTGGTGATAGGAACCAGGGGTCGCCATGACTACAACACAGATATAGACATTTTATTTACTATCCAGAACCACCAGTGAACCTACACGAGTCTTCTGAGTTTATATGGAATGTTGATGATGGAAAATAGTGGAAAATCTGAAATAATACGTTCTGTTTGGGGACTATTTTGCCTCACAGTGCCCTGCATGTATCCCATCAGATCAGAAATCTGTGTGTCTCTCTCATTAATTGCCCACATCAGCTCTATAGTTAAAACTTCTTTTTTCATCTATGCAATATAAACAAAATTTGACCACTCCTCTCTCTTTCTGCTCCACTATCTCTTATATGTATTCATCTTCAGTGGTTCAGACTACTGTAACTCTCTACCTGCAGAATCAGCTCTTCTTCCCTTCACAAGAACTCTCGTCTTTCACTCATCCTCGCTCTCATAACCTCATTACAGCTGTTCTCCATGATCTCCACTGGCTTCCTGTAAAGCACCGCCTTCACTTCAAAGCTCTGACCGACCTCCCTCCTTCTTACTGTCTGATCTCCTTCACTGTAAACCCAGCTGTTCTCTCTGCTCTTCTTCAGCTGATTTACTGAACATTCCTCCATCCAACCTTCATAGTTTTGGTGATCAAGCATTCCCTAGATTTGAGGAGCAAATCCTCCTCCACCTCAAATGCTTCCTCCTCATGTCTGTCAGTCTAATTCTTTTCCATATTTAAATCAAATCTCAAAACACATCTCTCCAGCTCACGACTTACTGCTGAGCTAATCTTACCCTCTCATTACAGCTTCATCCTGTCTTCTTCTCTGTTGTCTGTTTCTGTGGTTTCCCGTTTGTCTTCTGGTGTTCTGTACTCTTTGGGTTCTTGAAAAAAGAGCTATATAAGTTTAATGTATTATTATTATTATTATCCCTCCACCATGAATGGGTTTTAAGGCCAAAACCTTCTCTAATCTATCATAAAACAGTGTCTCAGTCATCAGGCAGTGAATTCATAACCATTTCATATAGTAACTTTCTGTGAGGGAGCTTTTAGAGGTGGACGTCTGGTTCCTATCACCACCACTGTGAACAGTTCTGTCTCTGTAAGTTTATCTAGAACAGAGCGTTTCACACCAAACCACTCTGAACCACTCAGTTTACATCTTAACCACTTAATTATGCAGAGAGTTTTGAAAAATCAATGGAATTGCCCTTTTTAATGTGAGTGCTTTAAGGATATGATTGAGATGGTGGAGGTAGCACAGTTTAATCCTCTAGCTAGTGTTAGCTAGAACCATGTAAACATAATTCTTTCTTCCTAGTGGTAACTTCACAAGCTAACATGTGGGAACATCATCTACTGAGGAGAAAAGACCTTGAGTAGAAGCCCATGAGGCCCATCAACTGCTGCACTGGTTAGCTCTAGTGTTAGTGTTAGCTCATTAGCTCATTAGCTCAGCCTCTGTTACCCAACCTGAGGTGAAAACCACGACTGAAAGATTTCGCTCAGCTATTCCTGAATAACAAAACATGTTATCTAATGTGTACCTCAGAGTCAAAATATCCAAGATCAGTTAATATCAGCCAAATAATATCAGAATATCGTAATGATATTATCGTTAATAATATTGTTATTACTAGCTGAAGCCTCCTTTTTTGTTTTTAACTGATCATCTGTACATTAAACTAACTCTGCAGCCAAAATAAAAAAAGATGACTGTATCACTACGTCTGCTGTAAACATGCCTACTCTGCTCCTACAGCTGTGCAGCATCTCCGAAGTGAGATTTCCCAGTTTTAAGGCTAAAACCAGCTTCTGATGGTGCATCTTGAAGGTGGGAGGAATTTGGTGCTTCAGGGTTTTTAAATGTTTTTGTTTTTATTCGCTGGTGAAAACAGAATGAAGGCTGATAGCTAACATATGTTTTGCCACACACACATTTTTCCACCGAATGTTGCCGAATCCTCTGAATTACGAGATCATTAATGAGTGAAATAGCAACATTGCTACATGTAAGCTAACACCGCAGCGCACTGAACTGACAATAGAAGACTGACCTCACCAAAAATACCCCAAACAACCCAGCAGCCTCTGTCCAGTGTGGTAGTTTAGAGGCTTTGGCAGTTGTAGGCTGCAGTTTGAGTAGCTGGTGTTGGATATTACAAAAGCTCTGTTTGAGCTGGATTAGTTTAATCTGTGGAGGTGCTGTAATCTGAGAGATTACCGACGAGAGCCTTGATTTTAATTCAGTACGAATCTGTCGTGTGTAGTTTTTACCATCTGCTAAGTAATAATTCCAGAGTGAATTATTTTTTATAATTGTCTGAACTCCTCAGTTAATAGTAATCCTGTTCAAACTGACATCACAGTAATGTAAAAACAGAACCAGGCAATAGAAAATGGTGCCTCCATTTTTTCTTCTAGTGATGAGAAAAACATTTATCTACTATTTTCTTCATACATTCCACTACTTTTGTGAATCTGAGACTTTGGTAAACACATTTCAAGCACCAAAACAATCCGTCCACATCAGTAAAGCTGTTTTCACAAGAGATGTTAAGAATTTCTAAAACCAGATTTAATTTTTTTAGCTTTTGGGCCCAGTTACCTCTTTACTCCAGGTCATATAGGGCCTCATTACAGAGAGAGCAGAGATTGTTCCGAACATTTTGATATATAATATGTGGGTATCATTTCATATGCAACAGCCTTTAAAGGTGCATTTAAGAATATATGCAAAAATCAAGAAAATGCCCTCAGAGCCAAGAGGGTTAAACCTCAAATTCATTACAAAACTACTGAAGTCCACAACAGTTTTGGTGATGGCAGAATTACAATGAGGGTAAAAGTTAATCTGCTGCTTGCCTGGTTGCGTTTATTAGCCTGTCTCATACGGAAAAGCCTGGTTTAAACATTGTGTGCTCGATCATTTATGCTTAGCGCCTTCTGGTGGATTTAAAAGACAAAACACTACTTTGAAAATCTGGCGTTTACTACAGTTATTAATCTTCTTAATTATTTTCTGTACTTACTTTTTTTAAATTTCAAATATATTTGGATATTTGATAGTTAAAAAAAGGGAAAATTTGAATTTGACTTGCAGAGTTCTACTGCTCACTGGTGTGTGTGTGTGTGTGTGTGTGTGTGTGTGTGTTTGTGTTTGTGTGTGGGTGTGTGTGTGTGTTTGTGTGTGGGTGTGTGTGTGTGTGTGTGTGTGTGTCATGTGGGTTGTTTTGTTCATTGTGGACTGTGTATTTTGTTCCCATTGTGAAGCAGCCCTGGGTTTGAGAAAAGTGCTATAAAAATTTAACTTGTTATTACTGGAGAAAGGGGCGTGGCTAATGGAGAAAAGGTGGTGTCTGTTGGGCAGTAGTTGCAGTTCGTTCCTGTTGGTTTATGGGAAACTGTGACTCAGTGTTTCCCCCGCTGAGCGTGTAGTGAACACCCCATCATCCTGTCAGCAGCTCCACCACTAAAGCACCGTCGTCTCCACAGCTAACAGCCAAACTGAGAAAAGCTTCGCTAGATGCGGCGCTAAAGGGCTTTAATTCTGCTCGGCACGTCCAGCTGAATCACCCAGCAGAGACAGACGCTCCTTATCTGATACAGATCACATTAAAGCTCACAGCCTGCGCTACATTAGTCACCACAGCTCCGTAAATTATTCACATACAGATCCAGTGTTTCTGAGGCAGTTCTGCCACGTATCAGGTGATATATGACGCCTCGCTGCTCATTTCAAGGAAATTAAAACTGAACTGAGGTCAGAAAGCACCTTTATAAAGTGGCGTTAAAGCGATAGTTCAGCCCAGTATCAAATTCCCAGTTTACACACCTTAACAAAAAATGGATACTTGCAACTGTGGAGGCTCTCGAGGGGAACTGGAGCTTTGCTGTGGCTTTTGTTAGTCTGCTGCTTGTTGAGTTATCTGTAGTTCTACCACAAGCACTGACCAGTGCTAACGTTACTGTATGACTGATTTTGCTGCATTAGCAGAGAGTTTGGCTCGTAAAGGATACTTCAGGAATGATGTACTTTGGTACAGAGCTATAATAGAACCAGTTAAAAGCTGGATTTGAACAAGAGCTACAATTGCGGATTCTGCTAACAGCAAGGTTAAATCATCTCACTGTTGTTCATTAATCTTTAATAGACATTATGTGGTTTTTGACCCTGAGTGTGTTTACATGCACTTAATAATCTAATAACTGCAGGAAATCAGATTTTTTCAGTCATCTGATCAACATGTTTACATACACTTGAGTAATCAGATAACGGGGAAACTCCGGGTCTACATGAGTCAGACAGTAATCAGATTTCTGCTTTACAACCAGCCAATAAACTCACAGAAGAAGACGTGACATACACATAATGTACAACTCAAACTTCATGCAGCGGCTGTTTTTTAAAAACATCTGCACTGAAAATATGAACAAACATACACAAAGTGTTTTGCTGCGTCTTGTGGCGACGCTGCTGCTTATTTGCAGTACCGGCGTCTGCTCAGACTGAGAAATCCAAAAGAAATCAGAGTAAGAGTTTACAGCACTGAGAAATCTGATTACTGAGCTAAACTCCAGCCTCTTTATCAGATTTCTTAATCGGATTTCTAGACCTTACTCTGATCTGAGAAATCAGAGTGTGCTGTTTGCATGACTATTTGAAGAATCAGATAACGGCAGAAATCAGATTATGATCTGATTATTGATCATGTAAACACACTCGCTGTATATATGATATAAAAATGGATGAAAGTACATTAGCATAGTCAAAAACAAAGGAGGTTCAAGGATTTTAGGCTTATTTTAATGGATCTGATATCAGCTACTTCAAACCTGATCCAGTTCCAATCCTATGTTTTCTGACTCCACTGTCATAGATTTAGTGTAAATGTACATTTCCCACTATCTGCAGCAGTGAGGAGTGTTTTCAGAACATATTAAAAAGATCTAAATAATAGCAAAACATGAAAACTGTAATATGTGCAGCTCAGTGAGTGAAAGGCACCCAGACGCACCAGATACACCCTCTCTACGGTTTTCACTCGCGAGTGGTTGAAAGCAAAACTATTTCAGAAGCTGCTTTTAGATTTAAATAGTGAGAGAAAAGAGCAGCTACTGTACAACACATTAGAGTAATATAAACTTATAGTCTGCATTGTGAAAGATGATATCTTAGCATTGACATTCTCATGATCAGATTGTTGTGAGAATATTATAAGATTATTCAGTCTGTTTCTAGATGTGTCTTATTCCACTGGCAGATTATTTTTACTTGTTTTGAGAATAAATGCAGATAATTTAGCACATGATGCTTGAAACAGGTGAAAATAGACACTTTCATAGGATAAAATTACTAGTAGTAAGTTCAATAATTGTTTAATAATATTCTTACGACAATCTCAAAATGAGAAATATTAGACAGACCACATTTGAGATGTTTTTATTTGCTAAGAGGTCATTTTTTGCAGTGCACTCGCCTTAACTTTAAAAATAAGTAAATCATACACATAATCCACAGAAACTAAAGAGCTCTCAGGGTGTGCAAATATGCAAATATCAACAATGTGATGTAAAAAAATTAATTAAACTGCAGAAGATTAAAGTAACTGGCAGCCAAATGAACTGAAAGGTCAGTCAAACTGGATCATAATCAATATTAAACACACTATAAAGTGGGAGTTTTGGAAAAGCTGAGGTTTGGGAGGATGATGATGCCCGAAGGTCCAATCTAACGTCTTATAAATCTCCCTTCTCTACCTTCTCCGTCCTGTGACCAAGTTTTCGCACCCCTCCACCTCCCTGTGTCCTCTCTGTTCCTCTCAGTCTACCTTTACTCCGACCTTCAAGCTCAAAGCAGAGCCTCCCAGAACTTCAGCCACGTTCTTAACGTTCTTCTACAGTCACACAGTCTCCTCTCACTCTACACCCCTGTGCTGAGGGCTTGGTCTGAAAAACAAAGGCAAAAAAACAAAACACATCAGTCCACAATGTCACATTATTCACATCATAAAAATGAATCATAAATCAATCACATCATAATTTTTTTTTTATTGTGGTATTAATTGTCAGTTCAGCTTATCTTATCTTAATTATGTGTTCTGCATGTATATTGTCTATGAAAACACAAGGGTCGGATCAGTATTGGCCGATAACCAACATTACAGTAGGGGTGGGCGATATATCACGATACTTCAAGACATTTTCATAATACATGATGTGCATCATGATATTTATATGTGGAACATGCAAAATAGTGCTGCATATAAATACTACTACTACTAATAATAATAATAATACATCTACTATTACACAACTAGTACTAGTGATTTTATTCAGTGTTTTCCAATCTGCATTGCACTAAATTCAGTTAAACAGGCCTAATTATGCTCACTTTGTGATGAAACATGTAGTCAGTCAGTGCTCTTTAACTACTGATGATATCCAGGATGTGCTCAGAAAAGTGTATTATGCATAATTTATCACAGTAATTATAGAATATTGTCATATCACAACCCTACATAACAGCACTCGGATCCCATAGAGGGTAAACAAACTGTATTAGGACACCACGAGTAAAAAGAGTAGCAGCCGTCTGTTCATACTTTAGTTATGTTTATAGATAACAGTACAGTCTGAAACCACACAGGCTGGGAGCACCAGGCTGAGAGCTCCACCTAGTGTAGCGCTGAGGATACTGCAAACCCCCATACAGTGCAGAGTCTGATCTGGAGGGCAGACACACTGATTCACTGAAATGAAGAAACAGACTCTGGTTCTGAATTCTGATTGGCTGGGCTGGTCTGTACACACATGAACACACACGGTAACTGAATTCTGTGTTTCTCTCCCTCAGCAGTCGTCCGGTCTGATCCCGGGACTGAGCCTCAGCACTCAGGGCATCTTCTCCTCCGGGCTCTCCATGCTGCCCTCGACCTCCGGCCCCCACGGGACCCCCAGCTCACCACAGACCCTACACACCGCCTACAGCCCCTTCAGGGTGCGTATACACTGCAGTCTGGAGTTGGATATACAGTGTTTATCAAGTTCTACAGGTTCCTCATCACACACTTCTGCATTTCTACACACACTGAACATCAGCACTTTCAGGACTCGTGGATTTTTAAAATGGTTTTAATATAAATGATCATGTTTTCTGAAGTTTTCAACTTCCCAATTAGACAAGTTATCTGAGAGTTCACTGTTGAGAATTGAGCTCATACTGTCACACAAACATTTTTAAAAACATTTTTAATAATAATACTTTAATAATGCTACATTGTATGTAAATATTTTGTTTGCCATCATATATATATATATATATATATATATACATACATATTATGCACAGTTAGTTTATACTTTTATTAACATAAAAATAGTAATTGTGCCATGCATAAAAGATAAAAGTTCCAGTTGCAAAGTCTCAGAACTTAATTGGCTCGGTAGGCCTTAATTGGCTCATCAGGGCAGATCAAGGATTGTCATTAGGAATTATCAGCAGAGAATTCCAGAGTGAATGAATTCTCTAACTCTTCAAGCCTTAAACGAACACTAATGTGACAGTCACAGACTGAGGCTGTAAAAGAGGCTTTTATAACAGGACAATGATCCAAAACACACCTCAAAATCCACCATCAACTACGTCAAGAAGCTCAGGATGAAGCTTTTGGATTGTTCCTCAGAGTCTCCTGACCTGAACTTCATGGATAATCTGTGTGTGTGATCTGTCTTAAACATGCTGAGCAGCAGGACGACCTGAGAACATTGCAGAACCGGTAGCGATCCGTAAGAAAGAGTGGACGAAAGTTCCTGAAACAAGAGCAGAAACACTCCCAGCTGGATACAAACCTATTTGTAAGCTGTGATTTCTGCCAAAAGGGGAGTTAGTTCTGACTTAGCAGGGTGTCCAAACTTTTGCACATTACTATTTTATTATTTTTTAAATTAATTAAATATGAATGTATACAACACTTGAATAGAGCAACCAAAAACACAGTTATGCGAATGTTCTCGTTCTTAAACAGGTGGAAAATGAAGCAGAACTAGAACCCGTTGGATGATTCTTGTTTGGGTCAGTTCTGGTTCTGAGTGTCCAGCGGAAAAACGCTCACAGTGTTTCTGGTGTTGTGTTGGTGTGTGTGTGTGTTTCTGTGCAGGGTCACTCAGCTCCTCTGGGGGGGCTGTACGGGGTCTCACCAACTGCTCCTCACGCTCAGCTGCACACTGTAAGAGCTTCTCTCTTCTTTTCTTCTCCTCTATTTTCTCTTCCCTTCTTTACTCCTCTCCTCATTTCTCCTCTCCTATTTTCTCCTCTTTTCTTTTCTCCTCTCTTCTTTTCTCCTTTCCTCTTTTCTCCTCTTTCCTCTTCCCCTCTTTTCTCCTCTCATTTCTCCTCTCCTCTTTCCTCTTCCCCTCTTTTCTCCTCTCCTCTTTTCTCTTCAGCGCAGCGGCTAATAGCTGTGATGTATTAACTCTGTAGCTGCTCTATGTTGTATTAGTGTGTGTGATTCAGTGCTGTGTGTGATTCAGTGCTGTGTGTGGCTCAGTGCTGTGTGTGGGACTCAGTGCTGTGTGTGAGACTCAGTGCTGTGTGTGGGACTCAGTGCTGTGTGGGACTCAGTGCTGTGTGTGTGATTCAGTGCTGTGTGTGGGACTCAGTGCTGTGTGTGATTCAGTGCTGTGTGTGGGACTCAGTGCTGTGTGTGATTCAGTGCTGTGTGTGATTCAGTGCTGTGTGTGGGACTCAGTGCTGTGTGTGATTCAGTGCTGTGTGTGATTCAGTGCTGTGTGTGGGACTCAGTGCTGTGTGTGATTCAGTGCTGTGTGTGATTCAGTGCTGTGTGTGGGACTCAGTGCTGTGTGTGGGACTCAGTGCTGTGTGTGATTCAGTGCTGTGTGTGGGACTCAGTGCTGTGTGTGATTCAGTGCTGTGTGTGATTCAGTGCTGTGTGTGGGACTCAGTGCTGTGTGTGATTCAGTGCTGTGTGTGGGACTCAGTGCTGTGTGTGACTCAGTGCTGTGTGTGACTCAGTGCTGTGTGTGATTCAGTGCTGTGTGTGTGACTCAGTGCTGTGTGTGTGTGATTCAGTGCTGTTTGTGTGATTCAGTGCTGTGTGTGATTCAGTGCTGTGTGTGTGATTCAGTGCTGTGTGTGTGTGACTCAGTGCTGTGTGTGTGGTTCAGTGCTGTGTGTGATTCAGTGCTGTGTGTGTGACTCAGTGCTGTGTGTGTGATTCAGTGCTGTGTGTGGGACTCAGTGCTGTGTGTGGGACTCAGTGCTGTGTGTGGGACTCAGTGCTGCGTGTGACTCAGTGCTGTGTGTGTGATTCAGTGCTGTGTGTGTGACTCAGTGCTGTGTGTGATTCAGTGCTGTGTGTGTGATTCAGTGCTGTGTGTGGGACTCAGTGCTGTGTGTGATTCAGTGCTGTGTGTGTGACTCAGTGCTGTGTGTGTGTGATTCAGTGCTGTTTGTGTGATTCAGTGCTGTGTGTGATTCAGTGCTGTGTGTGATTCAGTGCTGTGTGTGTGATTCAGTGCTGTGTGTGTGTGATTCAGTGCTGTGTGTGTGATTCAGTGCTGTGTGTGATTCAGTGCTGTGTGTGTGATTCAGTGCTGTGTGTGTGTGACTCAGTGCTGTGTGTGTGGTTCAGTGCTGTGTGTGATTCAGTGCTGTGTGTGTGACTCAGTGCTGTGTGTGTGATTCAGTGCTGTGTGTGGGACTCAGTGCTGTGTGTGGGACTCAGTGCTGCGTGTGACTCAGTGCTGTGTGTGTGATTCAGTGCTGTGTGTGTGACTCAGTGCTGTGTGTGATTCAGTGCTGTGTGTGTGATTCAGTGCTGTGTGTGGGACTCAGTGCTGTGTGTGATTCAGTGCTGTGTGTGGGACTCAGTGCTGTGTGTGATTCAGTGCAATGTGTGGGACTCAGTGCTGTGTGTGGGACTCAGTGCTGTGTGTGATTCAGTGCTGTGTGTGGGACTCAGTGCTGTGTGTGATTCAGTGCTGTGTGTGGGACTCAGTGCTGTGTGTGACTCAGTGCTGTGTGTGACTCAGTGCTGTGTGTGATTCAGTGCTGTGTGTGTGACTCAGTGCTGTGTGTGTGATTCAGTGCTATGTGTGGGACTCAGTGCTGCGTGTGGGACTCAGTGCTGTGTGTGATTCAGTGCTGTGTGTGGGACTCAGTGCTGTGTGTGATTCAGTGCAATGTGTGGGACTCAGTGCTGTGTGTGATTCAGTGCTGTGTGTGATTCAGTGCTGTGTGTGGGACTCAGTGCTGTGTGTGATTCAGTGCTGTGTGTGACTCAGTGCTGTGTGTGATTCAGTGCTGTGTGTGTGACTCAGTGCTGTGTGTGTGTGATTCAGTGCTGTTTGTGTGATTCAGTGCTGTGTGTGATTCAGTGCTGTGTGTGTGATTCAGTGCTGTGTGTGATTCAGTGCTGTGTGTGTGATTCAGTGCTGTGTGTGTGTGACTCAGTGCTGTGTGTGTGGTTCAGTGCTGTGTGTGATTCAGTGCTGTGTGTGTGACTCAGTGCTGTGTGTGTGATTCAGTGCTGTGTGTGGGACTCAGTGCTGTGTGTGGGACTCAGTGCTGCGTGTGATTCAGTGCTGTGTGTGTGATTCAGTGCTGTGTGTGTGACTCAGTGCTGTGTGTGATTCAGTGCTGTGTGTGTGATTCAGTGCTGTGTGTGTGACTCAGTGCTGTGTGTGTGACTCAGTGCTGTGTGTGATTCAGTGCTGTGTGTGTGATTCAGTGCTGTGTGTGTGACTCAGTGCTGTGTGTGATTCAGTGCTGTGTGTGTGACTCAGTGCTGTGTGTGTGACTCAGTGCTGTGTGTGTGACTCAGTGCTGTGTGTGATTCAGTGCTGTGTGTGGGATTCAGTGCTGTGTGTGATTCAGTGCTGTGTGTGATTCAGTGCTGTGTGTGTGACTCAGTGCTGTGTGTGATTCAGTGCTGTGTGTGTGATTCAGTGCTGTGTGTGGGACTCAGTGCTGTGTGTGATTCAGTGCTGTGTGTGTGACTCAGTGCTGTGTGTGATTCAGTGCTATGTGTGGGACTCAGTGCTGTGTGTGGGACTCAGTGCTGTGTGTGACTCAGTGCTGTGTGTGACTCAGTGCTGTGTGTGATTCAGTGCTGTGTGTGTGACTCAGTGCTGTGTGTGTGTGATTCAGTGCTGTTTGTGTGATTCAGTGCTGTGTGTGATTCAGTGCTGTGTGTGTGATTCAGTGCTGTGTGTGATTCAGTGCTGTGTGTGTGATTCAGTGCTGTGTGTGTGGTTCAGTGCTGTGTGTGATTCAGTGCTGTGTGTGATTCAGTGCTGTGTGTGTGACTTAGTGCTGTGTGTGTGATTCAGTGCTGTGTGTGGGACTCAGTGCTGTGTGTGGGACTCAGTGCTGCGTGTGACTCAGTGCTGTGTGTGTGATTCAGTGCTGTGTGTGTGACTCAGTGCTGTGTGTGATTCAGTGCTGTGTGTGTGATTCAGTGCTGTGTGTGGGACTCAGTGCTGTGTGTGATTCAGTGCTGTGTGTGATTCAGTGCTGTGTGTGGGACTCAGTGCTGTGTGTGATTCAGTGCAATGTGTGGGACTCAGTGCTGTGTGTGATTCAGTGCTGTGTGTGATTCAGTGCTGTGTGTGGGACTCAGTGCTGTGTGTGATTCAGTGCTGTGTGTGGGACTCAGTGCTGTGTGTGATTCAGTGCTGTGTGTGATTCAGTGCTGCGTGTGGGACTCAGTGCTGCGTGTGGGACTCAGTGCTGCGTGTGTGATTCAGTGCTGTGTGTGTGACTCAGTGCTGTGTGTGTGACTCAGTGCTGTGTGTGATTCAGTGCTGTGTGTGGGACTCAGTGCTGTGTGTGGGATTCAGTGCTGTGTGTGGGATTCAGTGCTGTGTGTGACTCAGTGCTGTGTGTGATTCAGTGCTGTGTGTGTGATTCAGTGCTGTGTGTGGGACTCAGTGCTGTGTGTGATTCAGTGCTGTGTGTGTGACTCAGTGCTGTGTGTGATTCAGTGCTATGTGTGGGACTCAGTGCTGTGTGTGGGACTCAGTGCTGTGTGTGATTCAGTGCTGTGTGTGGGACTCAGTGCTGTGTGTGATTCAGTGCTGTGTGTGATTCAGTGCTGTGTGTGGGACTCAGTGCTGTGTGTGGGACTCAGTGCTGTGTGTGTGATTCAGTGCTGTGTGTGTGACTCAGTGCTGTGTGTGTGATTCAGTGCTGTGTGTGTGACTCAGTGCTGTGTGTGATTCAGTGCTGTGTGTGGGACTCAGTGCTGTGTGTGGGATTCAGTGCTGTGTGTGTGATTCAGTGCTGTGTGTGGGACTCAGTGCTGTGTGTGATTCAGTGCTGTGTGTGATTCAGTGCTGTGTGTGTGATTCAGTGCTGTGTGTGGGACTCAGTGCTGTGTGTGATTCAGTGCTGTGTGTGGGACTCAGTGCTGTGTGTGATTCAGTGCTGTGTGTGATTCAGTGCTGTGTGTGTGACTCAGTGCTGTGTGTGTGATTCAGTGCTGTGTGTGATTCAGTGCTGTGTGTGTGATTCAGTGCTGTGTGTGTGACTCAGTGCTGTGTGTGTGATTCAGTGCTGTGTGTGACTCAGTGCTGTGTGTGATTCAGTGCTGTGTGTGGGACTCAGTGCTGCGTGTGACTCAGTGCTGTGTGTGTGATTCAGTGCTGTGTGTGTGACTCAGTGCTGTGTGTGTGATTCAGTGCTGTGTGTGTGACTCAGTGCTGTGTGTGTGATTCAGTGCTGTGTGTGTGACTCAGTGCTGTGTGTGGGACTCAGTGCTGTGTGTGGGATTCAGTGCTGTGTGTGGGATTCAGTGCTGTGTGTGGGACTCAGTGCTGTGTGTGGGACTCAGTGCTGTGTGTGTGATTCAGTGCTGTGTGTGGGACTCAGTGCTGTGTGTGGGACTCAGTGCTGGGTGTTTGATTCAGTGCTGTGTGTGATTCAGTGCTGTGTGTGGGACTCAGTGCTGTGTGTGGGACTCAGTGCTGTGTGTGTGATTCAGTGCTGTGTGTGTGGTTCAGTGCTGTGTGTGTGATTCAGTGCTGTGTGTGTGACTCAGTGCTGTGTGTGTGATTCAGTGCTGTGTGTGGGACTCAGTGCTGTGTGTGACTCAGTGCTGGGTGTTTGATTCAGTGCTGTGTGTGATTCAGTGCTGTGTGTGGGACTCAGTGCTGTGTGTGGGACTCAGTGCTGTGTGTGTGATTCAGTGCTGTGTGTGTGGTTCAGTGCTGTGTGTGTGATTCAGTGCTGTGTGTGTGATTCAGTGCTGTGTGTGTGGTTCAGTGCTGTGTATGTGATTCAGTACTGTGGGTGTGGTTCAGTGCTGCGTGTGTGATTCAGTGCTGTGTGTGTGGTTCAGTGCGGTGTATGTGATTCAGTACTGTGTGTGTGAATCAGTACTGTGTGTGGTTCAGTGCTGTGTATGTGATTCAGTACTGTGTGTGTGAATCAGTACTGTGTGTGTGGTTCAGTGCTGTGTATGTGATTCAGTACTGTGTGTGTGAATCAGTACTGTGTGTGTGGTTCAGTGCTGTGTATGTGATTCAGTACTGTGTGTGTGAATCAGTGCTGTGTGTGTGGTTCAGTGCTGTGTATGTGATTCAGTACTGTGTGTGTGAATCAGTACTGTGTGTGTGGTTCAGTGCTGTGTGTGTGGTTCAGTGCTGTGTGTGTGATTCAGTGCTGTGTGTGTGCTGTCTGTCCTGCAGGCTCCTGAGCAGGAGGTGGTCTACCTCTTCATCCCCACACAGGCGGTGGGCGCGCTGATTGGGAAGAAAGGACAGCACATCAAACAGCTCGCCCGATTCGCCAGGGCATCCATAAAGGTACAACCCAAAACTCGTTGACCCTTAGAACCCTTACAGTTCTCATTACCGTCCTGCTGTAATATTTAAGGGGTCTATATCCTTTTTGTGTCTTATTTTCCCCTGGGGGCCACTAAAAGACTGCTTTTGTTCCTGTGCCTTTAAGACTGATACATGTAAATAAGCTCTGTTCTGATTGGCTGTGCCTCATTCCGAAAGCAGTAAGTGGAGCTCAGAGGGAAAATAAAAAACCAAGAAAAATATGGGCACTTTAAGTGTCTGAAGTGCTTCATTAATTTTGTGATTAATTTCATAATGAGAATTTCATTATACATCTACACGGTTTACATTTCTATGACAGTTATGATAATATTGAAATATTTTGTGTTGTATAGAGCCCCCTAGTGGTTGGGAGATGCTAATACATGCTGAACTGAACAGATTCAGAGACAGTTGTACGGCCTAAAAAAAACGATTTAACAGAATTGATTTTGGAATATGATAGAATTGATTATGACCAATTATAACAATACTTAATAAAGTCTGCACTTATTCGCCAAATGAAATTCTCACACCAACAGTAAAAAGCCCTGCTGTGTTGATGTCATTGTCTTTATTCCAGCACTGTGTAAACCGCTCACCCAGCTACATTAGTGTATTTGTCACGCATGTAACGAACTCTCAGGGAGAGTTGGACTCCATGTGACAGAGAGACTTCATGCTGAGTCGGAGTCAGAGAAAGACTCCAATACCCACAAGTCACTCAAGGATCACGTGACTTCGGACAATGTCTCACGCACCTGTCAACGATCAAAGTCTCCTGGATATTAACCTGACTCACCTGTGCTCTTATCATGTGATCTGTTTAGCTTAGTATTTGAGCCCAGGCTGTAGGTGGAGTCAGTGTGAGGTATTGTTTCCCAGCGAACTTACTGAGCGTTTATTTCTATCTGTATGTTTCTGATTATCTGACCTTTGCTTCGTTCTTTGATTTGCCTCTTGCCTGCCCCTTTTGTACCATTGCCCTGTCCTTTTGATCTGTGTTTTTTGAACTTGCCTGCCTGTTTTTCGACCACGTCTTTTGCCTTGTCCCTTTGGTTTTGTTCGCCTGTTGTTATGATCACCATTGTGATACTCCGCTTTTTGGTTTTGATCCCTGCCTGTGTATTGAAACGAGTCTGCTTAGCGATAATAAAACCTTTTTTACTCAGTTAATCCTGTTTGGTTACAGTATTCAGTGTATTCTTACACGTCATTCTGAATCAGATGAAAATCATGTGAATCATTTCGTGATGCACTGAATCTCTGGACAGACAGATATTGACACGCCTCGTCTGCGTGTTCCATCAGCCCACAGACTGAGTAAGGACGAAAAGAGCTGATGAACTTCAGACGTGTGCTCCAACCCTGATCAGCCTCTCTGTTGGGGAAACGCTGGTGTTCATGCTGGGTTCTGCATCACTTCCTGCAGTGAGAACACAGCACTGACTGGTCCTGCTGTGTTCAGCGCAGAGTTTTAATCAGGCCTGAAATTTTGGTGCGAACCCACATAGAGCCTGAGAACTTCCTGTCCGAGTCTGGCACGAACCACATCATCGAGTTTTGAGTCTGAAACTGTCCCGAGCTCAACAGAATTCTGTCTGGAACTGACCTGAACCGGCTCATCATCACCAGTGACCAGTTGCACCAGCTGTGCACAAGTTCATCTGTAGGTTAGTTGTAACGTAAGTGTTTACTAAGTTCTGGTTCACGCATTGCTTAATCTAAACGGGTTGCACCACACAGATTAGTTTGTATGTAGGAACTAGTAGATACTAAACTACACCTCCACCTTTGCTGGTGTAAGTTACGATAAAGCCCACGGCAACCAGAATATGGCTCGTTTGGAGCGCTGCGAGCGGGGTGACAGGAATAACCTTCGTCGTCGGGTGGTAAGAGACAGGCTACACCCTTTAGATGCTGCGATGATGTGGATATCTATGCTTGATTTCTGTTCAGACGAGAACAAATTAGTTTTCTGTGCACCTTCTTGGCTGATGCTGCAGCTGCTGGTGCTGTTATGCAAAAACCGTTATTCTGACCGTAGTTGTTGCTGGTTTGGACAAATACTTCAAGCTGTAGCTCAGCATGTTCAGAGGTTTGGTTTGAGTGTTTGATGGAGTGTGTTATCTGCAGATTGCTCCAGCGGAGAGTCCAGATGTTACAGAGAGAATGGTCATCATCACTGGACCTCCTGAAGCTCAGTTTAAGGTAAGACGAGTGCTGTGTGTTTACATTATGATATTAGATGGACAGCAGTGAACGGATATTCTGTATCTTTCAGTGGAGCCATAATGGCAGTGCACCGCAATGGTCAGTGAGGTGTTCCCTCAAGAATTTGGTTTTCCCAATTTTTGCCAAGTGGCTGCAGTATCCTACTTTTTTAGGACGAAGTAGTGGCCGAACACCATAACCCTGCACCCGGAGAGGAAGACCACTGTTAAACCAGCAGCATACATCAAACAAAAATAAAGTTTTAAAATGAAACTTCTTTTTGACCAAAATGATGGTCTCTGCCTTGCTTTTTCTAAAACCTCTCCCTGACTGTGATTGGTCCTGATCACCTTCTCATTTGTTCTGAGACCTCCCCCTGACTGTGATTTTTCCTGATCACCCCCTTAATTATTCTGAGACCTCCCCCTGACTATGATTGGTCCTGATCACCTTCTCGTTTGTTCTGAGACCTCCCCCTGACTGTGATTGGTCCTGATCGCCTCCTCGCTTGTTCTGAGACCTCCCCCTGACTGTGATTGGTCCTGATCACCTTCTCGTTTGTTCTGAGACCTCCCCTGACTGTGATTGGTCCTGATCACCTCCTCGTTTGTTCTGAGACCTCCCCTGACTGTGATTGGTCCTGATCACCTCCTCGTTTGTTCTGAGACCTCCCCCTGACTGTGATTGGTCCTGATCACTTTTTAAGGATATTTACGACAGCATGTTCTGCAGTAGTTTAGTTCTTTCATTGTTTGAAGTAATCGGTTAATTTTACTCCAGTAATTCTGTCACCATGACAACAGTTCCATGGCTGCTTTGACTCTTACCTGTAAAGAACAGACTCTAATGGTGTGTTTCAGGCTCAGGGGAGGATATTTGGGAAGCTGAAGGAGGAGAACTTTTTCTCATCAAAGGAGGAAGTGAAACTGGAGACACATATCAAAGTACCCTCATCAGCAGCTGGACGGGTCATAGGGAAGGGCGGGAAAACGGTAACAGCTGCTACTGCTAATAGAGGTCCTAACACTGCATATTTATTATCTTTATTATTGTTATTATTGCAGATGTTGGGTCAGCATTTGAGTTGTGATTTTTCAGGTTAATGAGCTGCAGAATCTGAGCAGTGCTGAGGTCATTGTGCCTCGGGACCAGACTCCAGACGAGAACGACGAGGTTTTCGTAAAAATAAGTGGGCATTTCTTCGCCAGCCAGGTGAGACTGATTTTAATAAACGATTTAACGATTAATAAATGAATAAAGGTCAGGTTCCTCTGCAGCTTTAAGCTTTGAGCTGTTGTTCTCACCGTGGACTGCAAGAAGTCCTTTTAACAGATCACTTTAAGTCCACTCCAGTAATGACCAGTGGAAAACAGCATTAACCCATGGGGCCCTGCTGGAGTCATGGTCACAGTGATTATATACACTCCTTCTGGGATATAATGAGCTAGACAAGCCTTCAGTAAAGGTACAGAGAGTTGTACTGTGGTCATGGTATGAGTGGCAGTGTTACTGTTCAATGTAAACGCAATGAAAACACAAAGACGTCTAAAATGAAAGAGCTGTTGTGCGACTGACTGTACAAATAGATTCAGCAAGACCTTTTTACAGACTGCTGGAAAAGAAGAGAAGTGAATGGATGGCAGCTGTCCCTGTGTTCTCAGCAGCTTTGAGGCTCATTCGTTCTCTGACTGTGTTTTACCTGCACGTTACTGAGTAACAGTGTTTGCTACAAACAAAGTAGTACCTAGCGTACAGTTTTTCAAGTAAAAGCTGTAATAAGATACAAATATTTGTGCAAACCTGTCCACTCACAACCAGCACATCCACTGATGTCGTCATCACTTTAATTCCCCCAACAAATCCCACCTTGAACTTCGACCAAGCACCAAGCGTCACAATAAAAAGACCCCTCGCTTCAAGAATAGCTTTTTCCTGCTGCGATGAGCAGCGTAATTATAGTCTGTCTGTGAGAATTCCAGCCTTTGAAAGAGCACACAGATAAAATTACTGTAACAATAGTCATGATTCTCCTAACCCAGGGGTCGCAACCCAAATGTTAAGAAGAGCCATTTTGTACTTTCAACATAAATCAGACCACTTTGGGAGCCACAACATTTTATGTCCATTTTACCATCTTGGCTGTGAATATGTCTCAGTATGTACTAATATACTAATATAAGCTAAATAATATAATATAAACAAAAACACAGACTTACTTTGCTCTGCTTTAATCTTTAGCTCAGCTATAGCTGCTTTTCTCGCATCTCCAGCAGGAAACTTTTCCAAAAGTAGAACAGTTTTTTGTAAAATGTCTCTCAACGTTTGACTTTTTGCGAGGCTGAAGTTGCTTCTCGTTCACCAGCTTCTTGTTCGAATTTTCCCGTCCCACCTTAAATAGTGCCTGAGGTGCCAGAGTGTAGCTGCTGAACCATTTAAGGTGGAACGGAAAAGTTAAAACAAAAAGCTGATGAACGAGAATCTGACTGCATCTTAGTGACTTTTTAGTGTTTTCAGTTTCTTATTCCAGATTAAGCGTATCAGGAAACCAGCTGGAGTGATTATAAACAAAAATAAGTCCATTCATCTCCAAATTATCAATGTTCGTATTAAACCTCTCTCTTTGCCGTTTCGTTAGCTACTAGCTAGGCGAGATTGTTGTCTGTGTTACTGCAGCAGTCTGCGCTGATCTTCAGGGTTAAAGGGTGAATTAGCAGTTCTACATTAACTCCAGAGTTTAAGACCATTTATTGTTAAACTGTGTTGAACGATCAGCAGAGCTTTATTTTACTGTAAAGGAGGATTATTTTATTTTTACCTACTAATCTGATTCAGCTGTGGAGCCACATCAGGGCAGTAAAAGAGCCGCATGACGCTGCCCCCGGTATAGTGAATTAAGGATATAGGTTAATGAGTATATTATCCAGTACAGTATAATATAGTATAGTAAGTATTGCATGTAGTGTGTAAGTGCTACAGTAGGTAACAGGTTTAGTATGTAATGGGTGTCGTATGTAAGTGGTGCAGTATGTAATGTATAGTTTGTGTAATGTGTGTAGTATATCAGAGGTATAGTATATGATGAGTGTACTGTATAAGAGGTATAGTAGATGTATTATGAGTATTGATGTGTGCTGCTTTGCTCCTGCAGACTGCACAGAGGAAGATCAGGGAGATCATCCAGCAGGCCAAGCTGCATGAGCAGAAACACCAGCTGGGTGCCTCAGGGTCACACCACTCCAAGTGACCACCAAGGCGGCCCTAGCGGCCAGGAGCTGATGAATGTAGCCCTTCCAGCCAGCAGGAGGAGCCGGGGGTCCTGCCAGGCAGACCAAACTGCAGAGAGGTCGGCGTGTGTGTACGGCAGAGCGGAGCAGCGGCCCTGGCGTCCTGACAGAGTGGGAAAATACGAGCTGTGTGGGAATTAAAGCTGATCTAGGATCAGATTCTCGCGCTCAAGCAGTTAGGCTGACTCGGACAGGCAGGGGGCGCTGCAAGTGGTTGCTGTGGAAACCGCACAGATGTATAGAAGAATGGCTGGTTGACTTAAGTGATGCACAAGGAGGGGGCGGGGCTTATGCTGTGGTCACACCCACGCTCTAATGACTGGGCTTTGTTTCTGCTTATAAATTCTATTTTGTTAGAGAACTTTTATTTATCAGAGCCAAACCAGCCTGAGAACACAACCAGAGCTCTGTAGAGGCAAAAACAGTTTAACACAGAAAATATTAAAAATCAAATCGAATCTTTACCTCAGAATCGTATCCAGGTTGGACATGTGTGTCGTTTTGCACCTGTTATGAATTAACAATGCCACACGTTTCCATTTAATCAAATACTCTCAGAATCCAGACCCTTACAGAAAAACAAAACATGAATTTCACCTGTGAATAAACAACACTTTGCACATTTTCCGTTATTTTTTCATGTCAAATGTGATCACACATTATTCACACGTGTAAACATCTGATTTAGGCACATTTCACATGTGAATTATATCATCACTGTGGGAACAAAACCTTATTTCTTTATTTTTGTTTTTCATTTTTTCCCACATGCATTGAAAACAGTGGTTGGCTTTTACAGTGAGTGTGTTTACATGCAGTTAATAATCCAATAACTGCAGAAAATCTGATTTTGTCGGTAATCTGAACATCGTGTTTACATACACTTGAGTAATCAGATAATAGGGAAACTCCAGGTCTACATGAGTCAGACAGTAATCAGGTTTCTGCTTTACAACCAGCCAATAAACTCACAGAAGAAGACGTGACGTAAACGTAACGTAAAACACAAACTTCATGAACAGCTTTTTTTTAAAACATTGCGCCACTTTACCTGAAAATATGAACATACACCATCTAGAAGATGAAGAAAGTTTAAATTCTTAATTTCGTCAAGCATGTAGTTGTTTTCTGCGTCCGTCCAAAAGTGTTTTGCTGCGTCTCGTGGCGACGCTGCTGCTTATTTCCGGTACCGCCGTCTGTTTTCGCACATGCTCAGACTGAGAAATCAGAAAGAAATCAGAGTAAGAGTTTACAGCACTGAGAAATCTGATTACTCAACTAAAATCCAGCCTCTTTATCAGATTTCTTAATCGGATTTCCAGTCCTTACTCTGATCTAAGAAATCAGAGTGTGCTGTTTATATGACCATTTGAATAATCAGATAACTGCAGAGATCTGATTATGATCGGATTATTGATCATGTAAACACACTCATAGTATAAAATATTTCATGATAAATTGACCAACAGAAATGGTCCAAAACTGCTTCAAATACGATTCCGTTAACTTCCATGAAAAGTTTTTCCCTCTCTTGTGAAGTTGCCGTTTTGGAGATACGAGATACGTTTTATTCCGACAGTGACGATATGTGACTTTTCTGTAAGGGCAGAATTTGTTACCTCAACATAAAACACAAATGAAATCAATGTCAACATATTTTCAGTTTGTAAGTCAAACAGCCCCCTTGATTCATTGTTTTGAGTGAGTATTAACATAAACCAGAGACATTAGCTTGAAGCTAAAAGTTAAAAACGTCCACAGCTAGTTATCCTTCCCAAAACAAACGGTAGATTTCCAGTGTTGCAGCCAGTGAACGGAGCTAATATCCCAATTTTTGTTTTGCATCTGAAGATGTAAGATCACTCTGTTGTACGTTAACTGGGTTAATACTGGGGACGATCATTTTAGTCAAATATGTGATTTTTCACAACATTCTTTGAATTATATACGTCAAATATCTACGGCACGTTTTACAGCGCCCTCTGGTGGAGAACAGAGTTCAGACAAGTTGTGGCACTCAAACATGAGAACGAGTAACGTTAGAAAAGCTGACATCCTAATTTACTATTTTATTTTTAAGCGTTTGTGACCATTTCAAAGTTTGAATATTTCGACTCCCCCCTTGTTAATACGTTAGCTTGCTAGGCTAATTGCTGCCGCTGAGCTGCAGGAATAAACCAAAGAACTTCATGAAGACTTAGCGAAGCGTCCACTGCTGGGAGAGAAAACCAGAGTGAAATTTCTATTTTTTTAAAACAACAAATGCTAAACGAGTATTGGATTGGAAATGACTGCCTGTCGTCTTCACAGGAAGTGGATGCTCTTCATGTCCACCTTGTATCTTCTCTCTGTAGCTGGACTAACAGGAACCGAACCGACTGATGAAAGGATCCATTAACTCACACTGACACATTCTGACCGAGAGTTCACTGTTTTCTGTTTGTCTGTCGTTCAGCCGGGGAGCCTGAAGGGTTTGTAAGTGGGTTTCATAGCAGTTACTAAAACACGGCCTTAAGATTCAATAAATAATGCAGTTTAAGGAGTTTATTGCGACTCAGTGTGATCAGCCGGTAAAGCCTGTAGTACAAACACAGCCACGAATGGATTTAAAGCAATAGCCTGGCAAAAAGATCAAATCTACCCAGTTTTTCCATCTTTACCCAAATGTAGTCGATCTGCCATGACTAGTTTATTCTTCACTGCAAAAAATGACATCTTAGCAAGAAAAATGATCTTAAATCTCTTCTAAATATCAAATATTTCTCATTTTGAGATGGGTGTAGGAATATTATAAGATTTTCTAACTTCCATATATATTTTGTCTTTAAATAATCTTACAGACCAACAAAGTTATGGAACCTGTAAACAAGTTAAATAGTTTTATAATATTTTTACAACTATCTCAAAATGAGAAATATTCACTTCCCAATATACCATTTCTGAAGTGTTTCATTTTAGCGCTGGAGCTACGAGGCAGAAAAAACCCATATAAACCATTAAGTGTTTCTGTTGGTTCCTGATGGTTCTGTAATGTGTTTTGGCTTTTCTGATGGGTTGATATCACAGTGTAAAGGATCCTAATGGTTTAACAGGTGACCACTGAGTGAATGTAAATGCTTTGATGGTTTTCTAATGGGATATAAAGGTGTTCTACAGGAAAGCAATGGTCTCTATCGGAAACCATTAAGCCAAATTCCCATTTGAAAGCAAAATCTTAAGGTTTAATCCTGATGGTTTCTAATGGTCCTTGTTCAGCAGGGTAATGTAGCTAAGGCTTCCTGCTCTTACTTTGTCGGCTAGTCCTGTTGAGTTGGGAGAGACTCTAGCGTGAGCTCATCAGGTTTTTCTCCTGGACACAGTTAAGTCCAGTTTGAGATCAGAGTGAGACTGAAGCCGATTTCTCCTGTTTCTGAAATTCAGCTCCTGAAATAAAACTCAGCTTTTCTCACTTTGATCAAAATGAGGTCACACATGTGGATTAACTCTTTAGAGTCTGACTCGTCTCAGCCCAGCCTCAGCTGAGTAATATCTCCATTAGAAAAGTGTGAGATCTCATTGTTCTCTTATACAGCTCTGTTCTAGATCACAGAACCCTCTCAGCAGTCTGTCAGTGCAGAAGGAGAACTCACACTTTTCTCCTTCATCACCAGAACGTCTCGCAGTGAGACGCTGATGTTGATCTCCTCTTTTCTCCTGAGGAGGTTCAGGAGAAACAGCTCAGAAATCAGTGATCCTTCATTAATATAACACTGAGATCTGCTGTATTTCTCTGAGACGATCTTAAGACAGACTTTTCCCTCTGGGTGTAGCTCAGTTCTGTGTGCTCGATTAGCTTCTCTCAGTTGTTGGTTTTCTCAGAGTAACTTTCTCCAACTCAAACACGGAGACGGTGGAGGGAGCGCAGAGTTCAGTGGAAGCTGTGCAGGATAATCCACATCAGCCTGGTGATCGGTGAGGTTAATGCTTAAGCAAGCGTCACTCAAGATTAAGACCACTTCACACCAAAAGGGTAGAAGTTTGTTGAAATACATCAGTCATTTACTGGACACTGGAGCGTCACACACAGGACACACTTTCACTTGTTTATTGCCCACAAGAGCAAGATTAGCCTAATTGGAAAGAAAACAAGAATTTCAGTTCTCTGGGGCTTAAAATTAAAACTAATCCAGCTTCAGTTTGGATTTAGTTTGGTTTTTACTGAGACTCTTGTATGTGATTGGCTGTTTGAGTAAGATGTAAATTGCTGTTGTCAGAACAAAACCTTGTATCTCCATTTTTGTCCGTTTTCTGTTTTTGACATCATTACCTATTGTATCTGTTGCTCTTTACATTGTTTGTAAATTTCATGATGAATGGACCAAAAGAAACGTCCCAGAATCACTTGGAATAAATTCTGGTTCCATTGACTTACATTAAAAGTAAAGTATGTTTTTTCCTTCTCCTGTAAAGTTACTATTTTGGAGATATGAGGTTTATTTCCGACAGCAGCGACATGCTTATTTATTATTTTTTATTCATATTTGTTTGTTTTGTTTCTTGACCCTGGAGGTTTGAGGCCTTATTCACCATCACTTATGTCACAGAGGTGGAAAATATTTATGGATATATTTTGACATTTTTCCCATTTTGTGATGAAATTCTATGATATGAAATGACAGTGTTTTTTTTTTTGTGGGACGCTCAATATTTTGAAGGAAAGTGTTTATTTTTGGGAAAGTAGCTCTGAATGATGATGTGACCTAAAAGCAGAAGGTTTTGACCTCCTGGTCAGTGAGAATGTGACCTCTGTGTGTGTGTTGTGATCTACCTCAGGGCGTCAGGGTTCTGCAGTGTTCTCAGTTCCCTTTCGTCCACGTTTTATACAGCCTATCTTGTGAATTAATAGTTTTTGGAGTATTTTATTGTTTCTTTTCGGTAATAAACACTCCCCCATGCTGGACCTTGCGGACGACGCTTCTTTCCTTACTTGATGCCGCAACACCTCATGACAGAACTGATTTCATGAGATTAATTGCTTTTAATGTAGCACGGAGTGAGGATTATGGGTACATATCATCCTGAAGTGCTTATAAATGTGGACACTGAGAACTAATTTCAAGATTAAAGGCAGAAAAAAGTGTAAGAACTGCTCTGCAGGATCAACTGACATCTAAAACCAGCACTCGGACACACGTTCAGGAGTATTTTAAACCCAGTGTGGTTTTGTTCACCAGGCTCTGAGCATTTGGACCCTTTACTGCAGTGTGAACAACAGCAGAATGGAATCAAACCCACTTTTATCATCTACAGAGTTCACTATTTGTGTGCAGAGATACTGTTTTTGCTGGGACAACAGCGTCTGTAACCGTGTACAATCAGACTCACAGCTTTCAGTCTAAACTCCTCTTACAGACTCATTTCTCTGATTTTGTGCCGTTTAAAATACGGTTTCGCCTCTTTACCCCAAATGTAGTCGATCAGCTGAGACGTGTTTGGTGCTGAAGTTTACTTCTTTAGTTCTAGCACTGGAGCTACAAGGCTAATGTACCTAGCGATAGCAGTGATGGCATTGTTAACTACTTTGTAGTGAAAGTAGCATTGTGCTAACTGCATACCCAAACCTTCACATCCTCGGGGGAAATTCCAGTTGATTCCAGTTGAGTAGCTGCTCTGCAACTGGCTGTCTGCTGATGTCTTTTACCGAATCCAGTTGGTTGAAATGTCTGCGCCAGTATAAGTGTTCAAAGTTCCA